TTAAGTACTACATAAAAATAGAATAGTGCAAATTAATTTACTACGAAAATAGACCATCGATCAGATCGATTTCATTTGTAGCATCAGGGCTGCTGCCGACGAGCAGTCTCGAAGTCTTGTCCACCCCAATCCTTCATCGCTTTGCCTCTAGCTGGTCTGAGAACACGGAGTTTACTGTGCTGAATGGCAACTGCCAGCTTAACTTGATGACCAGGTCGGCTGGTTGGTAACTTGAATTGGTCATTCGAACGAGCCCTGGGAGTCTGGCTAGGGCAGGCATGAAAGACAAAGGCCTTTTAGCAATCACTTGTGGAATTTCGGGATTCTATACCTCGAGAAGGCAATCTTCAATACCACGGTTGTTGACCGCATTTGCGGCCCACAGACATATCACTCAATGGTCTTCTCAAACACACCTTCACCTAGAAATTCTGCTGCCAAGGTGATGGCTCGTCGTGCGGTATTTGCAACAGCGCTGTTTTGGGTTTCTTATCAAGGTCAAACGGAGCCAAGTGAAGCGCCGAAGTCCTAATACTAACCGATGACCTGCTGGTCATGCCGAGTTTCAAACGTCGTTGGCCGGCCGTCCACGCGGCCGCCCAAGGATCTGGCAAGTCTGCCGGTTCGCGGTACGATCGCGCCGCACAGGTTTATGTTCAAACTTTGGACCCCGCGGCCGGCCGCGCCTGGCGGCTTGATACAGGTAGCGGGCGCGGCCGGCCTCCAGGCCCAGCCTTTGTTCGCTTCCGAAGCTGACGGTGATTCGGAAGCTGCCCTCGAGTTGCCTCCTTCGACGCGAACTCACTCACGCAAGGAGCTCAAAGCTGCTTTGTTGCTGTCCTTGTTCACCGGCAATGTACGTTTGCCAGCAGCTCGAGGTTCCAAAAGACGATTCACCTTAACCTTGGTGAAGCCTGTAAGTCTTAAGCCGTGACCGCCGCCGTAAGCGAGCATGGCGCTCTTCGCGCAGCTACCAGCTGACCTGAACGAGGAGATCGGGCTGGCGCTCTCGAACAAGCTCAACATAAGCCAGCTCAACTTCCTGCGCCTGGTGAACAAAACCTGGAGAGGCGCAGTCGAGGGCGGCCAGTTTGGTTCCCTCGGTAGACTTCTACGTCCGGGTCTGCCGAAACTGGCCATCCTATTCCGAAACGACGCCACGAGCTGCGAAGAGTCTGAGCTAGACACAAGCGTGGCGGTGGCGCTTCCCGCCATAGGGATCGTCGATGAAGCCACGTGGCGCGTCCACATCTTTCCGCTGAGCTCGACTGGACCGCTCTTCGTTCATAAACAAACGCACGTCGTCCTTCTGGGGCGTTCCATTTTTACCTTCACGAACCTAAAGCCCAAGTCCATTTTCTCGGGATTTAGGGAAGTGAGGCCGACAAACATGGACTCGTACAATCTTGTCTCGAAGCGGGCCAAAACGTACGAAAGAGACATCCGTCGTCAAGACGAAGAAAGAACGACGTCTTGGTCTCAGTATCTACACGTGATCAATACTGCAAAGCTGGACGAACATTGTTTCGTGGTGTTTGGTCACCGCTTTGTGCGAAGGACAGCACACCCTTATGGGCGTCACAGGAGGAGTCCGTTAACAAGCAACGTCCAAGCATGTTACGTGGTACTGCTTTTCAACTCTCGGAGTGCCACGTGGCAACTTCTCCCGTCTGTGCCGCTCTCTGACCAAAGCTGCGTCTACGACGCCCGAAGTTTTGCCTACGTTTTGAAAGGGCGTATCTGGGTCACCCATGATCTCCAGCTGTACAGCATAGCTTCGCAGGCGGGAACAGAGGAAGAATGGAGACGCGAGGAGGCTTCCGTTCCGGTCCGGTGCCTTGAAGCGGCGGAAGCCTCTTGCCAAGTGCTGGCACCCCTTCGAGAGCTGACGCAAAAGGGGCGGTGGCAGTTAGCCGTTCGGAACGGGGGTCAGCCAGAACTGCTAGAACTGCCACTTTTAAGAAAGGGACTCGCCTCGCGACCAGTGCGAGGGGCTCTGAATCTGAAGAGAGGGCTTCTCATATTGTCTTCAGAGGAAGCGTACTTGGACGGCGGCGAAGTGAAGTATGTTTGGGAGCGGGGCGCAGGCATCGAGTGGTCGCCGCAGAATTGCAGGGTGGTTTGGGCGGCGGAGTTTAAGGGTTAGGCGTAAGAGGTGAGAGCTTGAGGGCATGAGAGGAGATTGCCGAGGCATGTATAGGAGGGGAGGATATGGTGGGCTGAACGACGGTCCTCGAGGGAGGCGGGATGATTTACAATGGATTGAAAATGCAATATGTCAGAAATTTGGTGGAGCTGGCGTGTAACACAGCTGGCCTGCCTATATCTTTGATAGAAGCCCGAGCTCGTTACCGAAGAATTCCAAACACGAGCAGGTTAAGAACAAAGCTGTGCTGTGCATGAATTCGTACTAATTTGGGGAACGTCCAATCAACCAACTTCGAAGGTCCTCACTCCCATTAGATTCTACTTTCGAGCAGACGAGAATTGTCTGATAGTGCCGCCCAAATCCTGCGTCTGCATGCGCAGGGCTCTCGATTACTGCAGCCTATCACTGAATGAAGGAACTGACGTCAACGTCTGAAGGAGGTCCTTTATTCACTGAAGGAACTGCCATCTGATACAGGTTACCACGACTCTTTCAGTTGTCAGTCGACGCCTTCGCAAAATTAGAACCCCACTTATGCGCATCACACATATGTAAAGCGCTCTCGAGCAAGTTGCTTTGAGCGACTCGCTAATAACCAGCCGCCGCCATAAGAACGCTCACTGGATAGATTGCCACATATGAATGATAATACTTGCGGTAAGTGCGAGAATATGCACACGTCCGTATGAGCGGTGCAGGCACTTCACATCTTCGGTAAGGGCGCACGCCTATGCCTTACACAAGGTTTACAACACAGACCAGCTGTCAGATAGCATGCCTAAAACCACGGTTGCACGATACGAAGCGATCAGTTTCGAAAGACTGGTGCAGGCGTTGCTGCGCTGGCCGAAGGACTTTATAATCATGATGAAGCAGCACCCAGTATGTTGGTGAGAGGTCGATTTGGTGGCTAAAGCACGACAATATTGGTAAGGGTGCTGAGACAGCTTGTAAGAGCCTCAGTGCTAGCAAAGAATCTTATCTACAGAGTGCTATGCGTGCAATTTATATTGCGCGAGACCCAGTACTTAAGCTGATCTATACAAGAAGAATGAAAGAGGAAACGGAGAGGTCAGTTCCATCGTATGAACCCGCCTCTCTGCTCTGCCAAACTGACCCATAGTACTGCCCTGCCCAACGCAATGTCGTATCATCGAGGCGTTCGATCTCGCTCAGTAGCTTTCTATTCCGCAACGCGCTAGCTCTGTCTCTTACTCAACCGAGGCATAATGCAGCTGCTCCACGTGCCTCTCGTGCTTCTCATGAACCGGCCCCTTCAACCACAATCTCGACAGCTGAGCCGCGACGGGAATCTCCTCAAGCTGCTCCTTTGACGCAGACCTGTTCTCGTGGACTTGGGCACCCTTCACAGCCTGATGCGACCGGTCATCAACCTCCGACTCCTCCGCCCTCCACTGCCACTGGTACCACGGCCATTTCTGGCCGTCGGATGCCTCCTCGTTCCTCTGCTTCCCACCGTTGGATTGCTTCTGCACCTTCACCTGGTCGCCCTTCTTCTCCGCACCCGCCGCGTGCTTTTGTACACTCCCCTTCTGGGCGCCCACGTCATGTCCTTTTTCCGCGCTGCCAGCTGTCTTTTTCCCCTCCTCCTCCTTGTGGGCGCTTCTCCAGTCCCCCCGGAGCAGCTGCCCGCCGATGCCCTGCAGGCCGCCACGTGGCAGCAGCAGCTTCCTTGGCCGGTCGTCGCCGTCATCCCAGGGGTTGCGGGCCCGGTCCTTTGCCACGCTCCTTTCCCGGCCGCTCGACAGCTGGCGCTCTTTCAACGCGGTCAGGTCCTCTTTCCGGGGCTTCCACAGGAACTCAAACAGCCCGGCGGAGCTCACTTTGCGCGCCTCGTCTGCCAGCTCCGTCTCTAGCTCCCCGTCCTCTCCGACCGCAGCAGTCTGGTCACCATTCTCCGACTCCCCCTCTTCAACCTTTTTTGGCGCCCAGCCCCCTTCCTCTCCGAGCCACGTTGGGATCTGTCCGTTCTCTGCCCCGTTTCCAGACTGACCGCCAGCTGTCGTGGCCACTTTGTCCACATTCTGCACAGCGTTTGACGCGAATGACGCCGCCACCTCTTCTGCGCTCCCAATAGCACCGTCGCTTTCCGAGTTGCGCTCGCCCCCCCACAGCCCTGCTGACCTCACCCGCCCCTCCACGCGGCCACGGGCAACTGAACCCGGCTTTCTCGTCATGCGAATGACCTGGCCATTGAATCCAGGCTTGCTCTGTGTATCGACAGCTGTACTGCTCAGCCCATTGACAGCTGTCTTGCTCGTGACTTCACTGACTTGTGCCTCAAAGAAGGTCGGGTAGTCGTCTCCATACTGCTGATGCTGTGGGTCTGGCTGAAGCCATCCGTCGGTGTTCCACTTCAGCCCCTGCAGAATGGACCCAGAGATTTAGACCTTTGCCGTAATGAACTCAGATCTGCAAGGGATCAGTTGTATTTTGACGGCTGTCAGTAGACACCTGTAACCAGATTGAACTTCGTTTTGCCGAAGTCCAGAGGGCACTTCCAGCAGGGTGGGCTAGATGGAACGCCTGGCAGTTGCAGGATTCTGTCGTGGTGGGCGCGGCCCTTCAGGGCAAAATGGTACAACCAGTACTTCAAAATTGGTCGTCATCCTGAAAAGTGACAGCTGTTGCCACGTGGTACATGCCCCCAAGAACCAGGGTTTGAAGTTACAACTCTGCTGGACAGCTTGACAGCTGTAACTATCTTTTCTCAAGCTTTCACAGCTGTTTCAACACAGGTCCTACCATGCACAAAGGCATTGTTGAGAAAAAGGCATCCAGTGATAGAAGGACTATTTGATTTCAAGGATCTTGCACTCAATCCTTGGGTTGAAACGAGTCTGATGGGCCATCTCGATGCCCCTTAGAAGCCCGAACTATACTGAAGTGCGTATGCAGCAGCTTTTTGAGATTGGCACCGATCATACATCCCAAACCTCCTCAAATCAACCACCATTCCCAGTAGTCTCAGGAAGAGCCACAAATTTTAATGGCACTTGTTTTGCTGCAATTTCAACGCTGTTTGTCCCTACTTTTCGTAAGCAGTCCAAATTTGCTTGGTGGGTCTCCTGAAGGCTGAACCGACACCTGTGCAACGTGCAATCACCTCTTTGCGTTCCTGTATTGGCATGCAAAGCAGCAACGCCCGGAGCACTAGGAAAGAGGTAAGGCTGGCTCACCGCAGTTTTGCCAAGTGCGACCGAGGCCGCTGCCTCATGCTTGCCGGCACCTGTCGGGACAGCATTCCACAGGTGGGATGCAACAAAGCCGGTGAAGGAGAAAAGAACAACAGCAGCAAACCCCAATGCTAGAGGACTCAGGCGCGCGTTGTTCTGGAGGTGGTACAAGTCGCCCTTTGAACTTTTGCGCTTCCACTTGGCCACTTTTGCAGCCGCGCTGCTGGAGCCTGGACTAGCGCCTCGCCAGCTTGGCGCCATGAGATTCGTGCGCATCAAATTTACTCTCTTGGTGTGGCTTGCAAACACGGAGACTGTGTGCTATGCCAAGCTGGAGGAGCGTAATGGTGGGCAGAACTGGTCAAAGCCCGGCTGCGCTCCTAGTTTCTTCCAATGAATCTTGATTGCTCAAGCGCCAATGCTGAAGAGGATCGAGCAAATGCTGCGCCTTTCCACTACGAGAGAGCTGCAATAGACTTGCTTTTGCTGCTGTTGTGATGTCACCAGAGTTTCTTCTCTCTCTCTCCGCGCAATGCCGCATGCACGAAGGGGGGCTCGAGGATGCTGGATTCATGAGGAAGATCTGGGTTAGACCTTCTATCGCACAAGCCCACAGGGCTGTTTCAAAATGCGGAAAGACGGCAGCGGACGAAAAGTACGCTCAGCACTGCCTTCATGTAGGTTGCATGCAGGCTGTTGCATCTGATGCTCCCTACACGAGTTCTGTAGCTCAAGAGTACATATTACAGGTACAATAGGCAGGCACGTTCGAACCTACAGGCCAGCAGACAGAACAGCAGCCCAAAAATGCATGCACGTTCGCCGACGCAAAGATACTTTCATGGCCGTACGATATCAATCAAAATTCTGATCGTACGGTTATCCGGTCGGTGCGCTTCGGCACACTGCCATGTGCAGCAGGCTGCTGGGGTTCGGCCGTCCAAACCCTTCCTTATGAACGAGAATTCCTCTGCGGCCGCGGGTCGCCGCGGCGGCCAAGATGTTATTTTTTTTTTTGACACTCATATTCAAGCGCTATATCCTTTCACTCTTTCTGCCGCCGAAGCGTCATACTCTAGTGTCAGAATATAGATGCGCAAAATAAAGAAAATTATACGATATTGTGAGGCTCTCTCTGGGCCTCATGTCAGTTTACGACGACGTTTCTGCGGCCGCCGTGTCAAAGTGTTCCAGTGTTGCATCCATCTGGCGCGAGGCGTTTGAGGATGCCTTTGTCTCTGTCCGAGAGCACAATGCATAATGTTCTTCTGCTCGAACTCATAAAAGTGGTTGCTTGCTTTTCGATTGGGAAAGCTCTAATTTGATCATTTGGGTTACCAATAAAAACACGACGTTTTTTCCTTTTACATGCATTAAGGTTGCTTGTTGATGGAAGACGTTTCTTGCAAATCTTAGATATAGTATTTTCGATTGGAGGTGCTTGTTCTTGACTTGGAATTTGGATAAGACTACGTTCGGTCATTTGTTGTGCAGCAAGCTCGTGCGTTCGTGACACATTAATATCACGATGACCTGGATAGATAAGAGCTTCGTAATGATTGCCATTACAATGAACGATATGTATCATATTTGCTGATTGATTCGTTTGCGTATTGTAATTTATAATGTCCATCGGTCTTCTTGTTTCCAGCTTCCATATTACAATCGGAAGTTGAAGCAGTTCCGCTATGACATTAATCTCAAGTTGAGTGCCCCATATACCATCTTGGCTCATATAATTAATGTAAGCTTCAGCGTTCGGAAATATTGGAACGGGATCAACATTTTGCACGTCTGGAGCATCTGGGCGATCAGGTTTATGGCAGAAGTTTGCATATAATGAATAATGAATTGATCTGGCATGCAGTCTGAGTACTGCCCCACGTTTGCAAAGGCGCTGCGTCAAGTTGCGAGCCAGAATGCACAACAAAGAGCCGGAGGAAGGAAACCTTAGTGGTTCCGCAATCAAGCTTGGGCTCAGGGCAAGGGGCAAGGGCCACTGGGACTGGCCTAGCTTCTTATTGAACATGTTACGAAGGACACGGCGTTTAGTGTCTTGGGCCAGCTGTGGCCTCCTACCTGGCTCTCAAAGGCACAAAGTTGACCGGCGTTCAAAAGGTCACCGTCTCTGCACCCAGTGCTGAAGCAGGGCGCTGCAAGGACGAGGTTGCAGCGTGGCAGATGGATGAGGATGAGTGTACTTCACTATCTTCTGGGGATGAATTTTATGCAAGCACGGGGGGTTCTCAAGAGGGGCCAGAGCTGATTGGACCACAGGAAGCTGTCGAGAGTGAAAGACCTGCTCCAGGTGACCAAGATTTAGACTCTCCTCAAGAATCAGAGTCCTCAGGGGGCAACAGTAGCAGCAGTGCGCAAGATTGGTGGCCCCAGTCCAGTGCAGGGAGCGGCCAAGCCGGTTCAGAAGAGTCGGGGGAGCATTCCCCAGGCCACAAAGAAAACTCTCTGCCTAAAAAGAAGCCGATGCGGTTAATTGGCGAGGGGGACGGTGTGGAGGGGCCTCCAGATGCGACGCTGCCAATACTCAGCCGGAACTATTGGCTCAACATTCTCTACATCATACCTGAGCAGCTCGCTGAAGCTCTGGAGAACAAGAAGAGCAAGACGGAGATTCTTGACGTGCAGATTGGTGTTCTTGCCTGGATACCTTCTTTAGAGGTCTGGAAGCAATTGTCGTCTAGCGGAGAGTCTGTTGTCATGGAATCGTTTTTGCTGGACGAAGATACGTTGAAAAGCGGGGACAAGGCTCACTTGGTGAGCAGTGCCCTCCGCCCAAGACACATCGTATGGGTAAAGCAGAGGAAAGACCTGGTAATATTTTTGCTGGATATTTAGTACTACTACGACTAGAATCCGTCACAATCATTACCCACATGAGAGAATCAGAGATCTTTGGTTGAGAATCAAAGCATTGCGGAGCTGAGTAGGAGCGGGACGGCAGCTTGCTATGTCTGCAAAGGAATCAAGCTGATTGTAGCTTCCTTGAGTCAATTGTGAACTCTGCACATGCTGCGATGTTCCTGTATGTGCCCGTGCCGGCTGCCCTTGCGACTGTAGGACTATAGCGAGTTGGGTTCGAAGTCTTGTTCTTACGCCGCAAGTACCAGAACCTGGGTGGCAGCTAGGCACTGCGCAGTGAAGCCTGATCTTTCCGGGAGCTTGAGCCGGCACATTCTCATAAGCCCTGACTCGCTTGACCTTCGAACCTACCTGCTAGGACCCATCCCTTCGATCCTGTATACAGCCAGGTTAGCCAGGTCCCTACAGTCTTTGCATATTCTTCTTCTTGAGCTGGCCTCCTCATTCGCAAAATCGTTTCTCGCCCCCTCGTTTCCATGCCATGTTGAGCGGGGGGCATGTGACCTTACATCGAAGGTGACAGAGACCAATCTCGTTCTTTTTTCAGTCCTTGTTAATAATTTGCGGCGGCCATGAGAGGTGTTTGCGTGGTGAGAATTTTGACTTGGTCTCTTGCCATGGTGCTAGTGCGATACTTTTTGGTCTTGCCAGTGCTCATGCCGTTTTCATTATTTGCATATAGATCCAATTTTTTGTATGATGCTTATTTGTCAGCGTGATCCTTGGTGCAACTGCGGGGTTCTGCCTCGAGCTCCTCTTGTGACTATATTGCATTGATCATGGGTGGGCCTCATGCGTGATGCTGTTGCGACATGTTGAATCATTATGTGTTGGCCAGATATTGTGGTGCTCAACGATATACAAGCGAATTGAAGGGCCCACGCCCACGCCCGTTTGTAAGCGCTGTAATTAGTTTAGTAGCATGGTTAGTAGTAGGCTTCGGGAACTCCATGGCCCCGCGCCATAGGGTGTGCATCTAGCTTTAAACTCAAATCGCCATAGTCTCGGCGCACAGTAAGTAATCTAATTCTTGCAGGGTTATGCGCAAAGCCATCCTGCATGCGCAAGTTTGACTGATCATGACATGTATCCAGCATTAATTACTTTCAACGTCACTGCTCAATGTTGAATGATATGCGAGCGATCTGATGACGTCAAATTAAGGCTGAGGCCAACAATAATGGAGTATTTGAACTTGCAACAAATCCTTGGCAAGGGCGAGCCGGATACGTGAATGAACTTAAGTTCAATTTCTCACAACGAATTGCTAGATGTGACATGGTCTCTGATATCTGACTGCGGAACTCGCCAGATATTAATCAGCGTTTTGTAACTGCTTGAAGTAGTCCTGATACAATCCTGCAAGACAAAGCCCAAATTCAGTTGCGGCCTTCTTTTCTGTCGCGCGAACAACAATGATAATAAAGCACCCGTAACGACCGATCCAGCCACATCAACGTGCAGAGGAACGAATGCTACAAGAGATGGCTCGAGGCACCTATTTGGGTTGCCTGGCAAACAGCCCTCTGCTCTTATGCAAGAACAAGCTTCCTTTGGTGGGTGACCCTCACCGTCTCTGATTTTAAGAATCCCCTCGGCGTACTGCTTGTACATATCCAGCTGCTTCAAGTCCCGCTTGGAAAACACCGGCGTGGCCCGCCAAACCAACTGCAAGAACAGGATTCAAAAACTATGAGCACAATGTATGAAAAGATAATGTCAATTTACGAGACTTTTATTGATATGAAGGACAAATTCACTGACATATTGAATCCTGTAGTTAACAACTATGCTCGACAGGAGATCATATAGATAATACTTATGACACCTTGTAGAAGTTTACGATTTTAATTTAACTCGAAATATCGTTGCCCATTTTGGTGGCTGACGATGCTCCGTTCACTACAACCATGGGTACTTACATCCTTGTGAGGTTAAAGTGTTAGCATACCACCGACGGCACGTCGACCATCTGTGTAGTGTACCAGTAGTACGAAGATACACTATACCGTCTTCATGATCGTTGGTAATAACGTTGAGAAAGTTGTAAAGAACCTGATTCGATCACTACGGGGTCACACATTACATTAAAATTGTCAAATGACACGTTTGGAGCAAACGAGTCCGAAAGCCAAAACAAAATGTAAAGGGTCGCGAAGAAGCGAGAGCTTTCAGAAAGGTGCAAGTGGTGCTCCAATGACACGGCTATGGAGAGACGCATCCGGTCGACCTTCACAAATACCTTTTTGCAATCACCGGCAGATCCGACCAGGACCTTTCTCGCGCTTTCAACCAAACAGACTTTTGTGCAGTAACCATGAGGGAAGCACAAGCCGAGAAAGCAGCATCGCATTGGAAAGCGCGATGAGGGCTAAGAACAGCTGAGTAACCGCTGCCCAAAGCGGCAACTTAATGGCCTTCGTCAATGCAGACTCGCTTTATGGACTATGAAGGCTCGCAGCTCTACTATTCTGAACCACAGCTTGCAATCGCCTAAGCCACAACAGAGATAATTTTCTTGGCATGAGGGTCGGTGATTGGGCTGTCTTCGACGAGTAAAAATCTTGTTTCACGGCGCCTTTTAACTAGCAGGCACTTCGTCGCATGCCGCGAGAGACACTCCAGCTTCTCCATTCCCTGAGGCAACAAAGTAATCTCACCTTTCCCAACACTACCAGTACAAGGTACGCTACGAGCAGGCCCCCCGCCAGCCACGCAAAGTCGTTCAATGGTGGAGCTTCTAGCCGCGTCCCATCGACCTTCCGCAGGCCGAGTGGGTTCCGGAAGACCTCTAGGTGTTCTGGGTACTTTTCTCTGCAAGCCCAAGAGGCAGGATTAAGTGGCGACGACCGGGATGTTTCTGACTGATGCAAACGCTGCAACAAAGCAAACCTTTCGCGAAGCAAGTCGCTGTGGAAGCTCGGCGAACCCGTCTATATTTCACACGCACACTCTTATCCGGGACGTGTTAGCATCCGTCCCTTAACAACCAGAGTTAGGACCAATTGGCGACCTACTTGTAACTTTCGCAACGGCCTAGTCTGCAGTGCTTCAAAGACAAGCATAGACGAAACCACCTCGGAAGAAGACTTTAAAATGAGTAGAGAAAATATTAATGGAGCGATGACTCACAGAACGGAATCAACGAGGTCCCCTAGGGGCCCCACTGTGGCCAGTAGCTGGCGGAGAGAAACTAGAATGAGGAGGAAAAGGACGAGCCACGAGGCCAGCAGGAGGAGCAACCCTGCAAGAAGGAAAAGAACAAGGTTTAAGCCAGAAAATCGGATTCGCGATTTAGATTGAAACGGTCGCAGAAAGACCCGGGGGAGTGCCAGCGGGCTCAAGTTTTCGAGGGCATCACAGGCAAGTAGTGAAAGGATTCGGTAACTAGCTGAGAGAGACGGCAGAAAGAGACAGCAGAACGTCAACGGAAAAAGCCAGTCGCGCTGACGAACGGGTTGCTGAGATAGCAAACAAGAATCTAGGCTCATCAGATTTCCCTCACCGTTCGTGCGTCTCGTGCTGTTGGTCTTTCTCCGCCGTTGATCTTCCATTTGCACCCTGCACAGGAGAAGGGATCACAGTATGAGCAAAGGTCTCTTGGAGGAGTCACAAACTTTGAGGTCCCTTAGAAACAGCCACGACAAGACAACCCCAGTAGTCGGAATCAAAGCAGAGTTAGCAATTGGCATCACCAGCAGAAACACGGGTATCAGGCATCCCGACTTTTTCAACACTCCTCAGGCACAGCGCTCTTTGGAGATCCAGGATGTTACAGAACGAGAAGGACAGGTCACAAGTCGCCTCACTCTGCTACTCTCTTCTGGATGGTCTGGCAGTCGGTCTTGACGGACACCAAATTCTTCTGGACCGTCAGCCGGATCGCCTGCAAATTCAGAAAAAGCGGCGCATTGAGAATTTTCTCGAGCGATACTGTGCGGCAACAAGCAAGCGGTACAAAAGCAATCCTGTGCATGATGGCAGTTTGAGTCGGGAGCAGTACAAGGTATGCAGCCCGCATGTGCGAGGGTCGGATGAAGTCGACGGTGAGTCGCGCAAGGTGATCCGAATTTTGCTCGATTGACATGCTCGGGGGTCTGGTGGAAGGGCTGAGGAGAAGGATCTTAGCAACCAAGAAGGCCGAGCGCCAGGACATTGCAGGCGTACCAGAGTGTGCATGCCCTTTCTGTGGGCACCCAGAGAACAAAGGATCCGTCCATCCTTGAGAAGTCTATGTTCCTTGCTTCAAGTTTCAGTCGACCTCGACTTCTGACGAAGGATCTCCAAACGGTTCCGTTCGCAAGTGTCGCAACCACGCTTGCTGAAGGCTGACGACCGTGGAAAAAAGGTTCCGCAAGTGACTGCAACATAGTGGAGCACCGTCAAAAGAGTGCCTCACCTTATCAATACCGTCGCAGACCTCCGAGATGGCGTTGGGAATGGAGGCGGGAGTGCGTGACTCGTCGACAACGGAGGGGAGGTAGAAGGTGGGCAGCGAAAACGCGTGGGTCGACTGCGAAACAATGTCGCATGCTTTTCGTTAGGCAGAAACGGACCATTGGCACTTCCGATCCGCAGCTTGTGTAGCATTTCCATCAGAAAAGCATGCCGTGCCGCAAGAAGCAAAGCAAGAATGAGAGAAGGGGCCGTTAGGGGAACAGGGAGAGTCGCGTTGCAGACTATGTCCTCAATCGCGACAAGCGGAGGTGACATGCAGGATCAAGCATAACGAACTCTGATGACGTCAGTTTTCGAAGCCTGGGAGGTCACTTGAAGACGCATTTCATTTGTCGTGGCGAGACAGTCGACAATTCGTAAAGACAGGACGGGAGTAGCAGAACACAATGACAATCGGCCGGGGAGTGCCGCACCTTGATCCTGGCCGTGACGTTCTGCGTAATCTGGATGAGCACCCGCTGGCGGTCGTCTTCTCTATCAACCTGGGGCAAGCAGCACAAGGGGAAACCGTCAGCAAGCAAACGCCGCCAAGGTCATAAAGACGAGCGATGAGGAACCACCTCTAGGACAAACATAACGTTTGCACCTTCCATGACAAGCTTTCGCTCGGAAAGTGCCTGCTTGCTCGGCCGTGCCGAGAGTTTCCAATCCCACGTGTGATGGTCTTTAGTTGTCCTGAAACACAAGTCTTTGTCCCACTTGTTGAGTGTCGAAGCTAATCAACCGTATGGTGCAACCGACAATGGTAGTGAGCGTGGCTCACCTGATCCGCCTTGGACATGTAGAAGCGGAGCTTTTCGTTGTGCTTCTTCGACAGCCGCTCGATCACGTCCATGGTGCGCGCAGTCAGAGCCTGGCCGATGGGATCAAAGAACACTGCAGAACAACAGCAAAGCGAGGACCTCAAGAAGTGCGTCTGGTAAGCGACTGAATGAAGAATTGAAAAGAGCAGAATCCTCTTATCCCAAGGTTCGCAGTGGCTTTTGAATGCAACAGGAAAAGTCCACTCTCCTGGGGTATCTACAGGCCCCAGCCAGCTCGGCTCGAAGGAGTTCCTTGAAGGATGCTTGTAGTAAAACACCAAGTTCTAAGCAGAGTGCCAACTCTTGTTAAGACAAGGAAAAGGAAAGAATGCAAGGCACGTGACTGCAGCGTACCCAGGATGAGATCCACATGCTCCGCCAGCCACAGGATAGCGTTGTCAACGTCGTAGGGATCTGCAAGGAACGGCTTTCATATGAGCTGCAACTCCATAAAAGACCGCATATTTGTAAAATCCACAGCCACGCCTCGCATTTGCGAGAGAACAACACAATTTGCCGTCCTGGCGAAGCGACCTGACGAAGGGAGTTGCGAACAAGGATTCGGATCAATAATAGTCGGGCTTAGAGACAACTTTACGCTGAAAAGAATCGATGGGAGTACTTGAAAGATTGCAGTACCATCATATTTCCGAGCAACCTTGCCGGGGTCTCTGCTTGTTGTGATGAGAACGAGCAAAATACTCAGACGGCGTTTCGTAGAAACCCTCGACGTTTCATGACCCAAAGTCCTGTAGTTTGAACTCTACTCAGCAAGTTGAGGCCAGACTCACAGTGGATATCCCCATCAACGAGCCCTGGAGTGTCAATGAAGTCAACGCAGGAAAAGTTGCGCTCTTTGCTCGTGCAGACCTGGAGGAGCGGACCGCCGGTCACAGGTTTGAAAAAGATGCGAACTTATCGAGTCTCTCTTTCGTCTGGGCTGGACTCGTTGGTCGCCTTTGTTTGGGGGGGATTTCACCACGGTGCTCCGCCAGAAGATAACTGAGCGGCGCAAGCAGAGGCGCACAATGGATGATACATCATGCAGATACAGCAGTGCGTTGGCAAAAACGGCACCATCTTGGGAATCTTAAATGGAGCGGCTGACCTCGGTAAACAGGTTGGGTACAATCCCATCGAACTGATCGAAGCCCTCTAGATGGTCGTAGTAGAAGAGCGTGGCATCACCCTTGAGAGTGTCGCGCTTCTTGCCGCTTGTCACAAAGTAGAATCCCTTGGTCTCAATGGCCACACCCGTTTTCTGCACGTCAGAAGAAAAATACATGACAGTTGATACTGTTTGACCTTCGCGAAGCAGCTGCACACTTGCCAAGGCAAATAACAAGGCGAAAAATGTCCATTGACGTCAAGACACCTCTGGCTCTGTCAGGATATACTCTCAACGGCGTCTTTCAAAAGACAACCGAGCATTCTCAAGGCCCATGGGTAGTGGCTCTGAGCGGACTTGCGCTGATTTTGAAAGTCCTCGCTTTAAAAACCTGGACAGATGAACCCCAGATTCTCGGCTCACCTGGATCGTTTCTCCAACATACCTGCATCCAGGAACCACCGGTCAGAGCTCCGCTTCGGAGCCGCAGAGAGACAAGAAGCCAGAGAAAGTTTCGAATCGACTTTTTTGAGGATTCTTGAGGCTTTGCTTTCAACTTCCAGGAAAAGAGCGTGGCAAGAAACGAGGAGCATATCTTGGCAATCTAGGTCTAATCAGCAATTCCTGCATAGGAAATGAGTCATGAGTCATATTCTGTGACTCATGACTCACTTCAACCGGCTTGTGGACTAACAGAACCTGTTCATCCTTTCCACGAACGCATCTGGATTACATACACATCACGCCAATGACGGACTCTCAACATACCACCACCCATGCATCGGACGGTCGCAAAAGCAAGCAGACTCACCAATTGATGAACGAGGACTTGCCAGCGGAGTGGTTTCCAACAATCATCACGGACACGCGCTTGCGGGGCTTGTGCAGGTGCAGCCCCAAGAGCGGATCGTCGGCGATCGTCTTCAATCCCAGCGACCCGGGACCTGAAAGAGGCGCATCAGAGTGAGATGGCCCGCCAAACCAGCCAGAAACAGAAATTGGCACTCTACCTGTGGATATGTCACAGTGCCGCAGTGGCCGGAGTCAGAGCTCTGCCGCTGTTTTGCATGGTTGCTTATAACTGCGATGAGTGCTTGAACATAGTGCTTTTACGGGCACGCATCTGTGCACTGTGCCATTGCTGAGCATCCCGCAACAATCACGAAGTAATGTGCCCTGTGCACACCTCCAGTGAGTCCTGGTTGACAAGCAGACTGTGAACAATGCAAGCTTTTGCTTCACTACTCTGCTTGTGCTTGTTGCCTTCCAGTCACAAATCTCAGAAGGATCAAGAGAATTCAAATAACCAATTTTCACAGTGCAAACCCACATTGCTATGAATGGACAATGGATAGACGAGACACCGAACCTACCTCCACCTGGTCCAGTCTCATAGATATCTGTAATCTGCTTAAGAATCCTCTCTGTTACCCCCATTGTCACGCTTTCCGTGTCATTTTGGGTCTGCAATTTCTTCACCGGCTTCTGCTTGCCCTTCCCACCACCGCCCATCATATTTGGATTGCTCGTTGGGGCGGCTTTTGTGGAGCTTGTGCCAGCAGGAACAGGTGACTGCTTAGTGGTAATCTCCTCTGCAAACAAGCTTTGGTCCAAAATGTCCTTCGAGCTCCTGGGATTGGTATCTCCGGTCGCAGGCCCTGCTTCTGGCACGTCTACGTCCTGCAGAACGCTGAAGCTATTTCCAGAGCCTGAGGAATGCTTGCGCCCACGAAACATCGAGAGCTGAGCGCCCAGCGTTCTCCTGTTCTCCGCTCAAGTGCTCTGGATAGGCCGTGTACAATGGCCGTATATGCAATGGTTCGAGAGCGCAAGTGAGCCGAGTGAGACGGCCTGTTTCAACCGTGCGATTGACCGCATCTGACCGCCAAGGACCTGTTTGCCCATAGTGCGCGAGCACATGTTCGTTGTTTCATGATTACGGTAGACCCGTTTCCAAAGTACTTGAGACAATGCTGCAGTCGTGGAGACTTGCGAGTAGGTACATATTGAACTGTATGATGCACCAGATCAGGGGTGTGATTCTGAGTGAAGGGTCCAGCTCGCACGGCCGCACTAGGTTGCTCTCCATCTTCATGTGGTATTGGACTCAGCAGCAAAACGTTGTTTAAGCCCATTGTTCATGATGAGTCGGAGGCTTCAAACCAGGACTTTAACAAGTATTAAGCTTGTATAAGCGCACGCGGGAGCGCACGAGTTGTTTACTGACACTATATAAGCATTGAAAAATGGGTGCAAAAGGTGGAATCTGGACAAGGCCCAAGGAATCGGCTGCCTTTCTAAGTTGAATCAAGTTGAATAACTAAGGGGACCTCTCGTGGAATAGCAGATTCCTTGATTGGATGAGCCGTGATTGAGCTGGACGTGCCAATAGGCCTGCATTTGGGTGCACTCACGGCGCAGTGACAGTTCATCCAACAGTCTTTACTAGCTACAGGAGCAATTGAAAGCGACTAGTGCAGGAGCCCACCCCAGCAACAGACGGTCACAACGATGGCGGCGCTCGAGATTGGTGAAGCGGGCGCACATCTACTAGCTACTGCATTTCGTGACATCAAAGTTGACAGCTCGACAATGTCTGCACAGCTGGCCAGCGGGCCTGGCTTGGGTGTCTCCAACTTTGATGAGGAATTTGTAGACCAAACAAGCAAGCTCGGGTCGGCCGAACTCAATAAGGAGGAATCTTACCACATTTTAAACAGACGATTAGTGAATGTTGTTCTTGACGAGGTGCCCGCTCCCCCTCTCAATACCAACAGGATAGAGAGCTCTCCAAGGCCTGTCTCTCAGCTTCTGGAAGAGGAACGTCCTGAAGAATCTTCGAAGGTGCAAGAAGCAGCAGCCCCTCAACCAGCGCATGCTTCTGGTTGGTCTTCAGATGAAACTGAGAGGCTTCAGAGTCATAAGGATGCAACCTCTAGTAGAGAGACTGGAAAAGCTCCTTTGGGGAAGGGGTTTAGGGGCTATCTCGTCCAAGACTCGCTCAGCTCTCAGGCGCATGCAGAGCAGTACAGGGCTGCATTCAGAAGCGGGAGCATTGGCAGCTGCTTGGAATGGACGGTGTCAAATGATGGCCTTGACATGCTACAAGGGAGACCAAGCGAGTTGGGTGCGCACCTTCATGGAAAGGAACAGCTGACCTACTTGTTCACCGAGCAGCGGCGGCTGATGAACGATTTTTTTGAGAGCCTAGATATGGACCAGGTGGGCCCCTTTAATACTCTCCTTGATCTTCAAAATCAGCTGCTCTGAGCTGCCTAGTAAGCAGGGTTTCCTTACGGGCATATGAATCGAATGTCAAGCTCCTCTGCTTGCTCAAATCTCTGGAAAGTGTATACAAACGACAGACCTGCAGTCTTAATTTATCAAAAGACTTGCCTGAAGTAGAAGTAGACAGGTTGTGCTCAACAATTCAAGTGGGAACCCAGATCTTTCTACCACTAAAGCTGTCCCTCTTTCTACCCCTTCTGTAGGTCCACACATTCACGCAGCTGTGCCTTTCCTGCCAAGGTGTCCTGATCTTCACCGGGGTTGGCAAGTCGGGTTTCATTGCACAGAAGGTTTCACAAACGCTGGTGTCGACAGGAACCAAAGCCCTCTTCCTGTCTCCAACTGACGCTTTACATGGAGACATTGGAATCATTGGCCCAAAGGTGAGAGGCAAAAGGCCCGTCTGGTCTTCGGTTGTTTGGTGTCAAAGAGTATGCAGCATCAGGAAGGTGCGCCAACAGAAGTTGAATTTGTTCGACGCAATCAGTGTGAGCACCAAGAGCACTAAAGGTTCTTGCACTCAAGTCATAATGTGCACCACCTAAGTGATGTAAAAGGATGAATCGTACTAAAAATCTGCTCTGGTTTCAACTCACTTTCTGTCATTTCAGGACATTCTCGTGCTGTTCAGCAAGAGCGGCGCAACTGAGGAGCTGACCAAGCTGGCGCCTTACGCCAAGGCCAAGGGCGCGTACCTGGTGGCAGTCACGTCCTGCCAGGACAGCAAGCTGGGCAGGATCTGTAACATGCACGTCCACCTACCACTGGAAAGAGAGGTATCATTGAAGTCGCTAGTACCGCTCAATTCTATGGCATCGAATGTTGCTAGTGCTGGGCCCATCAAAGCCGTCAGTAGAATCTGCTCAATCAGATCGAAACGCTTCAGGAAGCGATGATTATGGTAGGAAGCAATGAGCTTTGACACCAGTGCACTTGCGTTTGTGCAATAAAATCACCCTAAGGACTTCGAATGCGGTTCTTATGACGTTCCTAGACGCCAAGTCTTCCTAAACCGACAAAGGCGTGTTTTTGCAGCTGTGCCCGTTCAACTTGGCCCCAGTCACATCGACCACGATCCAGATGCTGTTTGGCGACACAGTCGCAATCGCGCTGATGCAAGCCAAGCATCTTACGAGGGAGCAGTACGCCAAGAATCACCCTGCGGGTCGGATTGGGAAACGGCTGATCCTGCGGGTAAGCCTGCAGACAAATCTTTCTGGAAGCAAGCGCCAGGTAACGGTTGTTTCTGTAAGCCATCACATTACATGCAGGCCAAGCACCATAGAAAGGTCCTGATACGTAGGTGGATAGACTGTCGTGCTCTTGATCAGGTTCTTCGGCCCCCACCTTTGACGCTTGATTCTTTACATGATCTTCAGTACTAGACAAGGACCGCCAAAGAAAGCACCGCCGTAACTGAAGCTTCCATGTACCGATGCAACAACCCGCCAACAGGTGATTGAAAGCAACCCCGCCAACTGGTAATGGGAAACTTGACTTGGCTTCAGGCTTCAGGCTTTGACACGGTCCTCGTGAGCTCAAAGAAAGATTTGAGGTGCGTTGATCTGAGCACGTTATCTTTTTTCAAACAGGTTCAGGATGTGATGAAGAAGGGCGCAGAGCTGCCGCTGTGCGCACCCGAAGCTCCCCTGATGGACATGCTAGTTGAGCTGACGCAAAAGGGGTGCGGCTGCCTGCTGGTGACCGATCAGGTACGTGTGACGGCTCAGCATCGGATGTTCTTTCTGCTGTTATTCGCAACCGACTGTTCGCGCCAAAGTCTCCTCCGCAAGCTGAACCAAGAGAATCGGGTTGTTGATCCGGCAGAAGCCTGTTCGAAAAGGGACAAAAGGCCATATTTGCTTTCTTTTGCAGCAAAAAAAGCTTCTTGGCACGTTCACGGACGGGGACCTGCGGCGGTCGCTAAACAGGTTCGGCTCGGACGTCATGTCGAAGCGGGTTGGGGAGCTGATGAACGAGTAAGCTTTTCCAGGACACATCCTCATCGCCTTGAGGCACAGGATCCGACAGTCGAGTCTGTTTCTACCTGTGGAAGGCTTTGTTTCGTGCCGTATTCTCAGCTGAACCAAGTTACCTGGGTTCCCGTCTTTGAGATTGATTCTTGCCTCAGGTCCGTACCTCGTACACAATCGCAACTCATTCCAGATCAAGTGCTACCTGGCCTGGGCAGATAAGGACTTGAGCCAGAAGCTCATGTCGTCGAAGTTGCGGTACAGGAATCCACGTGCCGTGCCTTTCGACTCGATGGCTGTCGAAGCGCTGCAGCAGATGGAGACGTCCAACCCGGTCACTTTCCTACCGGTGGTCGACACCCAGCGCAGAGTCACTGGGCTCGTCACCCTGCATGGGCTAGTGGCAGCAGGTCTGTGAAGCTGGCGGGTCAAAATGATAACCAGTAGCCTTACGACAAGCCCCCGATCCGTTGAAAAGACTTTCTGGCGGGCATTCTTGGATAAAAGTAGCTTTTACTATTGCTCAGAGAACATCTTGACTCAGGCGGCGTTCGCATAAGCGAATGTTGCTTTCTAAGCCGTGTCAATCTCGCACTGAACGTTGGCCGGGCACGCTGGCACGCAGTAATCCATGTAACTTATACATAGGAAGCTTAGAAAAGTACGAACCTCACTTGGGCATGCTGTTTAGGGCATTGTACCTCTTTGCGCTCGCTAGAAACCGCTTCTCCGACGGATTTGCCTGAACCAGAGTACAGCATTTCGCGAACCTGTCAGTGTTGGTGGTCGGACCATGAGGTGCTTGACAGGTTCTGGAGAACCGAGGAGCATCAATTCTGCAACAGCCCTGGTCTCTTGCAATTTGATCGTTGCGAGGACTGGCTGCAAGCTGACAACTAACGTAAAGCTGCAATTCTTCACTTATTTTGGAACAACAAAGTCGAAAGCTAGGGCATACATGGAGCGTAATGAATACAGCTGTACGGTTTGTCTCGAAGCAATTGGGCATGACACTTAGCATGTGCGGTTCCACTTTGTATCAATGAGAACTCCAAAGAGCGTGCAATGCGCAGGTAAAAGTTGTGCAATGTCCGATGCAAAAGGTTCTAGACGCGCAGGAGGCGCTGATCATTAGTCAGTCCAGTATCCTGGAGTGTACCAGCTGTCCTGCTCCTCATCTAGACTGTCGATCAACGCGCTTACCAACCCACATCTCTCCGCAATCCAAGCTCTCATGTCCTCTATAGTGCTCATGTTACGGTCGTACTCCTCCTGTAATTTTGAATGCCGGTCCACACTTCTCTGATCAAAATCTTCCTCGGCACCCGTCTTGATGCAGAATAGCGGTTCATATTCGTTCTCAAGCGCCCCCTCCTCATTGCTTATGACGAAGGGCATTTGGTTCCTGCGGACAGTTTGTGTAAGAAAATGTCTGTGAGATCGACTCTCAGGGCGTAGACCCGCAGGGGGAGACAAGCGTCTAGCCGTGTGATGATCGTGATGATGAACGGCGGCCATGATCCACTATTCTTGCTGTGAATAAAGAGATCGGAAGATCCTGGAAGAAAGCTGCGCCCTGCGACAGTTTGTCAGGAATGACAAGATTTTAGCACGCGCCATGAAAAAATCTGAGACACTAGAGTCGTTTTAAGAATACATTAAAATTGGTAACATTTGCAGCAAGATAACTCCAGACAGATTATGACCTTGTGACAGTCTTACCTTCGGACGGAGTCGATGAGGTGCTCCTTAGCGTCGCGGCCCGGGCACGGCAGCTGAAGTTCCACTCGGAACGGATCCATGCAGAATTGAACTAGCTGCTTGCAGCCTCCACAGCCACAGGCGCTCGCGGTGGGGAGTACCCAGACGTCGAGCTGGGGGGGCTTCACACAGCGGCTCTCCAGAGCGTCCAGGCACCCCCAGTACAGTTTCACAAACCAGGTTTTCTCGTCGAAGCGGCTTCCTAGATATCCAAGAAGCGGCTCAACGGCGGGGAGAAGGGTCTTGTCGAGGTCGTACAGTTTTGGTGTCACGAAGAAGTGGGCAACGACGGCTTCCATTCTCTCTCCGCTGAACGCTAAGCTGTCAAGGGCTGTCATCAGGCTAAATACGAAACCGCCATTGCGAGCGTATGGTGGCGGCAACTCCGTTTTGAACGGTGGGTCCTCTTCGTTGAGCAAGGCGTCGACCTATTTGCCCGCGTAGTGTTTGTGGAACCTCTCGGCGACGACGACGAGCCTTTTGAGGGAATCTTGCCCAGGTTCACGCTTAGCCGCTCGCTCTAGTTCGATCCCTGCCGCTATCATCGTTGAGAGAAGGTCGGCCGCCGATTGTGAGTCAAAAATTAACCCTCTGACGATCACCTCAGTTGCCGGCGCCATCATATCCCACCCGAACCGCTCAACCACCCTCAGATACAGTCCGATCACTCGCACTTCCCGAAGATCAGGCATCGGCGGGCAGTGGGTAAGACCCAAAAACGTTTGCGCTTCGCGACCGCAAACCTTTGCCACGAAGGCTTCCACAGCTTGTCGAGACATTGCTTCTCGCTCACTGTCTGGTTGGCATGACACCTGACCGTCACTGGTTTTGCTTCCTCGAGCCAGCCCTTTCTCGATTTCGCATGTAACTGGGCGAGGTTCCGCTGTGCCTGCGTCTTGCGACTTGTGCTCCTGTTGCGGCGGAGCGATCTCGAGCAGAAGCCAGAAACCGCATTGGAAGTGCAGAGCAAACGCGTGTAGGACGGCGCGCACGATGAGCGGTCCCAAAGCTTTCCAGCCAAACTTGACTCCGAGGGGAGGCACGATGCCGAGTTGGTACAAGTGGCGGTCCAGAACCTGGCTGGCGTATGCTTGGAGGAAAGCCTGAGGTGGACAGAAAGATAGAACAATGACAGTGTCCCGGGGAATCGGCTTGCAGAATCTTTAGCTTTCAACCTGCTAAGCAAAGCTGAGGTGCTACCAAACCAAAGCATTTGGTGACAGGGCAAAGCATTGGTTTTCAGGGGAGCCGTCCGCGGAAGAGCTCGAACAAAAGAGACTCCCGGAAAAGACATGTATGAGCACTTGCTATTCTAAAGAGTCCAGGAGATCGAAGCAGAAAAGCAAAGATTTTGGGATCAGAAGAGAAAGCACTGAGAAACCTTCTGGGATCGGGAGAGAAAGCTCTGAGAAACCTTCTCACCTTCGCTAGCTCCACGTCACCATGACGGATGATCAGGTGAACCAAGCTTCTCGCGGACGGGCCGAAGAGCCGATCTGCTCCGTGCACTGCCAGAGCTTTGAGAGCACACGACAGCTCTGTTACGGCGTGAACTTGGCCGTGCTCGAGCACCAGGTCGGCCACAGTCTGGGCTTCGCCGGGAGAGAAGCGGCCTGTGGCCAGGCACGCATCCTCGAGAAGGCGCGGCAGGGCTACTACAGTTCTCGACAGCCAACATGCTTCCTGCGGAGAAACCACGTGTGCGGTCTCTATCAAAACATGTTCTCTTCCTTAGTTGCTTTCTGGATCTTTTGAATTAGCTTTAGCACGTCGGTTGTAGCCTTCTCGCGCATCGCTGTCTGCCGCTCTGAAGAGGACAAAGATTCATGTCTAACACCGGAGCTGCAGATTGGAGCCTTGCTTATTGGTACATGAGGGCCAGGAAGATATCGCAAAGAAACGACTGTCATTGCCGTACGCCTTACCGCGAGCGCTGCGACCGGATTGCTGGTGCTGCGCACTTCCCAACGCCTGTTGAACGGCCAGACTATAGCTGCGGCCCCGTAGGTTCCGGAAGAGTTCCAAGCATCTTCGTCGTCGAGAAGTTGGTGGTGGGGAGCACTCCTGGGAAGCAGCTCTGCAGAACAGTGTGCCTCAACATTGATGGTGTTGATTTCCGAGGAGTGCTGAAAAGGCACTGGATAGGACGAACTAAATCTCTTTCCTGAAGGACGATGGAGGTACGATGGTTCCAGTCAAAGGAAAAGTGCATGAATTCATCTTTCTGATGCAAGACGTTGGGTCCACAAAAAGGTCGCCATTGTTAACAAACCGTCATCCCGTAGAGTCTTTGAACGTTTCTTCAAAGAGTATTCTCACCTGGGGTGTTGACTCCGATACGGAGATAGCATCCCAGCTCTCCCCCGCATCCTTTCATGTGTATGAGTTCCATTCGAGGGTGCGTCTCGTGCTGGTAGCGTGAAAGGCATGTTTGCAGCATACCGACGTCGATGTGAAAATGTTGACTTTCAGGGCACTGCAGCAACGAGCGAGGTCCCTTGTATTTTTAGCTGGGTGTCTGACGGAGATCACCGTTTGACAACAAGATATCCAGAACGCACTGTGTAGGGATTGAACCTTTTGTGAGGGTACTCTATCAAGAGAATTCCTGGAACGAATACATCTTGAGGGAAGTGCGAACCAGGGTCAGTTCGGTGAGGGTAAAACAGAATTCTCGGCTCTACTTCGCCTGCTCGATGCAGGCCTGCTTCCAAGCTTGAACTTGCTACTGTCGCTTACCGCAGCAGCTTGCAGCAAAGCGTCGAGAATGGCAATGTCTGTTCCCCGGAGGTTTTCGAAGGACAAGCTCCTCTCGGTGTATCTGTGCACGAGCGGAATCACGAGCTTCCGGGGCCCGCGGGCGTCCTGGCTCCAGGCGCTCATCAACTCTTGAATCGTCGTCACGGCTTGAGTGTTGTCAGCGGGTTGTGGGACGGACGTAGAGCCCTGCCAAAGTACATACGAAGATGGTGACGCTGATAGAGAAAATGAAACTGATGCTTATAAGAGGACATTTCTGAGCTTTTTTTGAAGCAAATGTCTGATGGCAAGCGTGACTGTCGACTTCGTGTCTGCATGTCGTTGACATGGAAAACTCAATTGGTATGCAATTTAGAACAAAGCATTCAAGACTACTGTCAGTCGGACCCAGCTACACAGTGACAGACGTGTTCAAGTAGACAGTTTTACGTCTACCTCAAGCTGACGGATCGCACTTCTCCAAATGGGAAAGAAAGCGATGTAAGAACGACATGACACAGAAACGGTTGCCGGCTCTACCTGTGTAACTAGGTCATAGACGAGCGTCAGAAGAAAGCCGGTCCGGACGGGCAGAATCTCGTGCTCACATCCCGCAAAGAAGGCGGCACAGTGAATATTGTACAGGCCGTCTCTTGCAACGGAGAAGGTGCTTTCTTGGCCCGCATAGCGCACGATCAGTTCACCTAGAGTAAGCCAAGAGCCGGTTAACACGCCTTCCTGAAGAAGATCTGGTAAATCCACCTCTCTGACTTTAGGGGAGCAGTAAACTTCAAAAGTCGAACATGCTTTCCTTCTGAAGTGGATTTCAATATACGAGACATCAGGACAGTGGAGCAATCCTGAATGTCAAATTCTGCAATTTGATTGCAAGCACGACAAAGTGAATTAATTTGCCAGCGGTTTCCTCACCTCCCGAGTGAGCTGCTGGGAGCACAATCATCAAAGTACCGAAGGAGCCCTTGGCCTCCGATTTCCCCATGTCCCGGTGTTGGGATTTGGAGAAGCCACCAGCATCGTACAGAAGAAGCTTGCTTAGTCTTGGCTCCACCCTCACTGTATTCGGAAGGCGAAGTGCTGGCTTCACCATTTCATTCACAATCTCGTTCATTTGGGTCTCCCAACCGACGCCTGCCAGGCTGAAGTGTCTGGGTGAGAGCTGCAGACATCCCCACCTCTGGTTGTCGTCGATCATCGCTCTGCCAAACAAAGACGAAGCACAAAAGTGCTCAGAAATGGTTGGGGTTGAAAATGACAAATGATGTGCTACACATCATTTCTGGAAGCAAACCATCTTCTCAAACTTGAAAGGCATCAAAGCTAGGCTTAGCAGTGCCCCGATACATAGCACATCCCTAGTCAGAATTTGACGACTCCTGGAAAGAAAGCTCCATTCTTCAACGTGCAATCTTCACTCTTACTTTGAACGCACTTGGGAAGCCAAGTTCTGTGCTTGCTGTGGAGCAAGTGGTAAGCCAATGGGTCCACTTCCGGGGATCTCCAGTCCAGGGGGATTGAAGGATCTCAGCGAACCACCACAGCTGAACGTGCCAGGTCGGGATATGCTTGCAAGTGCTGAGCTCAAGTCCTCCCGATAACTTCGATCCTGGGGTCCTGAGGGAGCCTCCATCAGGGTTAGAGCTTCGGAATCTTACACGTGACCAGACAGCCGACCAGCATGCAAAGAGCTGAACACCGCTTTTGTTCGCGGTTCTCCAAGTAGATATGGCTGGCAGCACGATATCGCTTCGCAAAGGGTCCTTCGTCGCAACATATGCACAGTTGTAAACCTGATTGAACTTACTTGCGCTTTTGAGCCCGGCCTTTGAACTGTATAGAATGACCTTTGACTGCCTCTCTTAAACGAGAGCTTGCCTATAAATCATCCCCGTCAGACCGTCACCCCGGCCTGCGCGAAACGTATCCTCGGCCGGCCGCCGCTGGCCCGCTGCTTAGTACCGCGCAGGCCCGAGGTAGGAAGGTTTACTAATGAACCAGACTTCGGTTCGGCCCGCGCGCGGCCGCCTGGGGTGGCCGCCGTGGCGGCCGCGCGATGGTTGGCCGCGCGTTTGCATGGGGCGGCCGGGCGCACGCGCCCATGCACGCATGGCAGCCTGCCGGCCAGCTCGCCTAGCTGGGGCCAGCCTAGCTGGCCTCGGAGCTATTAGGGCTCCGCTGGGGCGCAGCTTGGTAGGGCGCATGAAGCGCTGGGGCCAGACGCTGCAAACTCTGTACAAGTAGGAAAGCAGTTGCATACTTTCATGAGCACCATGGTGGCTTCAGAAAGTGCAAATGATGCACTGCATTGATTCCTTAAGACTTGAAAGGTAGCTGTTGTGAGAGCATGCAATGCTGCGACCCTCAGGTTGATATGTTTGAACTTTTCTATGCAACACCCACCCACGTGGAATGTAAAGAATCATAGACTAGATGGAGGGAGAGGTACTTGTGATTCTCGAGAATGATTTGGCTGGGGGTCCAGCCCAAGTGACCAAGCGGTACCTTGTGTTGAAGGGTCGCAGGTTTGAGGTTTTCCCAGACAAGCCAAGGGAAGGAGAAGTGAGTAGCACACTGAATTTTGAGCTGTGCACCCTACATCACTCGCACGAATCCATGCACGCTTTGCACCCGCCAATTGACTTTTAGTAAAGTACTTCTTCAGAAGCCTCATGTTTGGACTAGAGTGCTAAGCGAGGTGGTGCACCACCTTCAAGATATATTTCGAAAATCCGCTCCTTTCGTGTGCCTGCGCTATGGAAAGTCAGAATGAAAGTCAGCGCCGCTACGCCATAACTGCCACTATGTTTTGTCAGAAGGGCTGTGGGCTTTTCTGACACAACCAACAACCAGGGCCTTGCATTCTGTGCGCATTGTTGGAAGTTCTAGCTCACAATCTACAGCAATATATGCAGAAGCCAACGAGTGTGGGACTTCTTGGGCCGGACATCCGAGTGAAGCAAGGAACGAGAGAGACTGTAGCGGGGCAGGTAAAAACGCGCACTTCTTCAGGCTCATTGTGGGGCTCCCCCCGCTATTTGAAGACATAATGAATGAACAGAGAAGCTTCTCTGTTACACCACTATTTTTGATAGTGGTCCAAGAACCTCATGTGACCTTCATTGTGACGGTGATCTAGATATCTGGTGGCAGGCAAACAACCAATTTCTAAACCTGTCTACCGTCCACCTTCTCTTTGTTAGAAGACATATGCTTACATGCACTGGAACTATGGATCTCAACCCCCCCATCTTGTTCGCAGAAGCTCTTCACATTTGTCTTGTCCAGTACGTTGGCCACCAAGAAAGAGACGAAGGTATGTCTCGGATCCTTCTGGTTCTCCCCCCCCCATTATGTGCTGTTTCTTATTCTGGAAGGCTCTGTCTTTGAGCAGGGCTTTTAATGCTGTGAACTCTTGGAGTACTCAAAGCTCTTACACACGGGGACCTTACAAGTCTTATCTTTTTCTGTACCAGCTGGGCACCAAGGCTGGGAAGGATGCTGTAAAATGGATCCAAGCAATTACGGCCAGTGTCGAAGGGGTAAGTGGCTCAACTTTCCTGTCCCACTCCTTCAGAGAGCTTTCGGACTTCATGACCAAAGGCAGACCAAAGGCTGACACTTTCATCACATTGCTTCAAGTCGTACAGAGTCTTCTTGTTGAACGCTTTTTGCAATGCGGAACATCCTGGTCGTCTATCGAGCCCTCTATAGGATGCTCACTTTGATTACTTCGACCGAAGACCGGAGGATGTGTGGACTGTTTTCTGCTTCTTGTCTACTGCTGCTTCTCCTCCTTTGTATTACGCCGATGAGATTGCTGATCTATGTTTGAAGATGCTGAGGCCGTGCAATAGGTGATTGCAACACCCTTCCAATCAAAGGATGTGGACAGAAAGGAAAAGAGGAAGAAAGCTGGCAACATACATCACATGTCTCGTTTCGTGGAGCAACTGGCCAGCAAAGAGTATGTAACTTTCGCATGTAGTCCCTCCAACGGAGCGAGAGCTGGAAGCTGGCCAGCCCTGACGATGCCGTCGCTGTTAAGATTGGCGAGGTGGACATTGTGGCGCAAGTCGCGTGGAGACTGTACAAGTGCGAGAACGGTGAGGAACGCCCCTGCTTACGTTGTGAGAATTTTTAAGGCGTCGATTCCGTTTTGGCCACAGTTGCGCCTCCATTTCGTTCAACAACCAAAAGTCTAAGCCTAACGGATCTACTGAATAACAGCTAAAGACAAGGTGCAGCTCTCTCCGTGAGAGCCACACCTGAATAGATATCAATTCCAGACTTTGACGACACAGAAAGTCCCCTGTTCGCCTTCTATGAAACCGCTTTTGATATATCACAGCTGAAAGGAGTTGCGTAGTATTTTTGAGGGTCTTCAGGCGCACTCTCGATACAATGTGAGACCAAAGGCGCAAGATATTCGTCGCTCTGTCGCAAAGGTTCTCAAGCGGCCGTTATGCTGTATGTCTCAGGCTAGCCCGTTATCGATGGTCGACACTTCTGTTTGAATACATCCCTTTAGCTCCGCATCGGAAGAGTCTTCCCTCGAGTCATATGGTCATGATGACGAGTCCTTGTGCCTTCTTTTCTCTTCACGGGCTTGTGCTTTCTCGAAGAAACTTATCCGTTCTTTCTTCTTTACAGGTTTGCGCTTCTTCGAGGAGACCAGCGCTCAGGGCAGCGCACCAAGGCAGCGGGTAACGAAGGTTTTGGGTGTGGTGGAGGCATCGACAGAGGCAGTGTTCAACCTAGTAATGGACCTGGGGACCACACGCACAGAGTTAGCCACTTGCCTTTACTTTCTTCCATCTGTCGTTTCAATTGTTGGTTACGTGCCGTTCCCTGGAGGACCAGCGAGTCATCTGGAACTGATTGCGCCCTCTTGTGAAAAAAGGGGACGTTTCTAAGCCCCGCGGCAACAAGTTTGTGATTCCACACGCGAGAAGTGCTTCGTAGACGTGCCCTGCACAACAGAGAATGCAGGTAGAAGGAAGGCTGCTATGACTGTGCGGGTGGCGATAGGAATGGCTTTAAAAGCCCGCAATCGTCAATGGTCCCTTGAAGAAAGATGTTGAAATTGAGCAGGGATGATAGTGGACTGGCAGACCCGTATTGGAAAAGACGCCTGTTTGTCACGACGAGCGGTCTGCATTCTGATATTCTTGCTTACCTTCTTCTGAAGGAACGTCGAACAAGTCACGAACCGTTTTGCGAATGTGTTCGAAACAACACGACGCTGTTTGAGGACAGTTCCCCACACAGACCTGGCTCGAAACCAAGAAACCAACTCCTCACATTGAGAACAGCGCAGTGAGAACAGCTGCTTGTTTCTTTTTAGTTTCAGGCCAAGGTACGCCTCAATCCTCTTGCCACATAGTTGGTGCAAATGCTGACGTCAATTATGACGTTGCAGATGGGACACAACGTTTGTTGGGGGCGGGCTGGTGGAGCAAGTGGACGACCATGTCGATATTCTGCACCAGCTTCTGGAGTACAGAAAGCAAACGTGCGTACAGAACGTCCTCCCTTTCTCAAAGAATGTGACATAAGAACCAGTCAGTGGATGACCGAACTCGTTGTTCAGAACAGCAGATTCTTGGGCAGATTCCTGTATCCCATGAAAATTCTAGCACAGGTTGGCCGACTGCGCCTACCAATGTATGGCGCTACGATGTTGCTGTCACACATCCTGCGACCCCTTAAGAGGGCCGAAGCAACAACGAGTTGCGGCCAATTGGCAAGGACGATTAAACAATACTCTTTACAACGAATTGCTGCTGTGCTGCGCAGCTGGGACCTGTGCTTGACCCGGTACTGGCGCTACCAGACCGACGGATCGTACGGTAAGCACCACTGAAACGCCTTGGGAGCCTGAGAATGTCAGGAAAGAGGTCGCTGATTCCCTCACTTGGAAAGGGAGACATTTAAAGTTTGAGCTGCGGCGATCCCCTGCTACACCACGACTTGTTTCTCCGGCAGTGCTCGACAGAAAGGCTTTGCATGTAGCGGGGGTTTGCATGTAACGTTGGCAGCTTATCGAGAGAGTTTTCCTTGCGTCGAAACACTCCCCACTCTAACGGACAGTGATTGCTCATGATTGACGTAAAGAAAGAAAGTAGCTGCATGCTCGTACAAGAAAGTACTCTTTGATCCGGCTTCTCGAAGTCTTTTCTTAAGTGCACTGACTTAGACGCTACCTATTGTTGCAGTGGTCTTTTACGAGTCTACGAAGCACAAGGCCTGCAAGCCCAGGTGGGGAACCCAACGGATCAGTCTCGAGAGTGAGTCTTTGCGCAAGCCGTCGTCAGCAAACCAACAGTCTTGCCGCGACATCCTTCGTTTGTGAAGTCGGAGGTTAACCTCGTTACCGCCACTCACGCTCGCTCTTGGATACTGCCCTTCTAGAATTCAGACTTGGTGCGGGTGTCGTGATGTAACCTGACGCGATGCCGTTTCGTGCTGCGGTCCGCAAGGTTTATCCAAGAAGGCATCGACTAGTCGGGGCTTTCCAAACCCTCAACAGTCTTCCTGTTAAGAAGAATTCACACCCTTGAGAGATTCTGGTACCATCTGGCCCGATCAGCGGGGCCGTAGGTCCCATTTGCCCCTCGTTCTTTCGTTTCCACCTTATGCCGTTGCTCATCAATCCGCTTAAGGGCCCTTCCATGAGGGTTCGGCGGCATTCGCTACAGTAGCTCTCTCTGTGCTTCCTCGCAGAGTCGTCCAGCCAATAAGTTTGCGGTGGTCGCCTTCGTATGCTGCTATTAAGTCACGGATCAGTTTGACTTTGTCTCAGGTGGCGGCCTCAGCATCTCCCCCCTCCAGAGCCCCACCGGCTCGCCCCGCGCTCTCGTCGAGTACACCCTCGAACTCGAAACCGGCGCCTCGCCCCACTTCGGCTCCGGCTTTGGCAGCTGGCAGCAGAGCGTGACGGCTTATCCGGAGGGCCTGCGAAACGCCCTACTCGGGCAGATTGCCGGTAAGGCGCTCGTTCTCAAAAGTCGTCGTCAGTGCTCGCGGAAAAGCCCGTTGTGTTTAGCAGACCGATGGTAGAAGTCTGTCCTGTGAGAACGAGATCTGGGCTTCTTTCAGGTTGTGAACGTCTGATTGTTGTCAAATTGTGCCTGGGCAATCAATGCTGTCGTTCGCTTTACGTGTGGCAAGGGGCACGTTATCGGGACCATTAGAGCAGTGGTCCTTCGAATGTTTTGGACTTTCCTTTTGACCCCCATGCTACAACTCAACACTGGGTTGCATGCCCTACTCCTATTTACAGGCATCCGTGACACTACTTCCCCGCATTGGACCAAAGAGAACCCCAAACCCTGAACCTCAGAGGGCGTCAGGTCGCCGCAAACTTCAGCGACGCAACCAGTGCTAAACCTGCTTTGCAGTAAGCCGCAAGTAGTTCTGCTGACATATCGTGCAGCGATGGCAAGCCAGAATTCTTCACTGCGATGTCGCTTGACGTCCGGCGTTACAGATGACAGACCCCCACCTTCACATTCAATTTGGAGTCAACAATCGAGTCTGACTATCAACCCACTCTTGCAGGCATCCGTGACTACTATGCCTCACGTTCCCGCCCCCGCGTGGACGTCCGCCACGACAGCCCCGTCAAGGGCGTGCTCGAGCTGCTCGCGCCCAAGAAGCGCTTCCTGGACCTGCGATTCCCATCAGCCGCGGAGGGGGATAAGCTATCCTCCACCCCCGTGCTGGAGGTGAACGGGGCAAACAGGATCGACGAGGAGGAGGAGGAGCTGGAGGAGTTTTACGACGCCTTCCAGGACATGAGCTCCAGCTCGAGTAAGAGTTTTGGGACGTGGGTTGGGAAGTGTCCGGAATCGCTGTTCGAGAGTGTTTTAGAGCGGCTAATGGAGAGTCTCTGTGACGCTTGTTTGGGAAATCCATCGCTCCAACCTGGGACCGGACGATGAGACCGCTTGTTTAGGTTCACGTTGGCGTACCTGGATTCTCCCAGTGTTCGGAGAGGGATTTTGGAAAAAGACTTCCTCGCAAAAGTGCTGGAGTGATTCAAACACGATCAGGGCCTTGAGCTGATCCAAAACGACGATTGATCTCACGTCCAAATCTGGTCACTAGCGGAATCTGAGCAATCAGTGGCGGGCTGTGGAACAGTCACGTCAACCTGAATGTCCGCTTTCAAGAATTACCCCCAGCTTGGAACGTCAATGCGTCAGCATTTGCCAAGGAATGGCATTTTGGAAACAACTCAGATGCCCTCTTTACAGAGTAAGATGCCTTCTCAGAGTCTACAAGGAGCTCGGGTTCAATTCACCTGAATCTTCTACTCGTTTCCTCCTGTGCTTTCTCTGTTCTGCTTCTTAGACGATGTCTGATCGCTTCTTCCGTCCTGTACAGCCAGCACCACGCCCGAGGGATCCCCCCGGGACCCGGGCTTGTGGCAGCCGGTGGAGCGCGCGCCCATTGACTGGTCGGCGTTCCGGGGCAATTTGGAGCAGGGCCCCAAGGAGAAGGGCAAGAACTGCTACAGCGACCCCGACATGGAGGTCTTCCTGCTGCGGGGCATGACCTACTTCCAGGACCGGAAAAAGGTGCGCAGCGCTTGTGTTTGGTTGTGCGAGCGGGGCGGGCTGCCAGCCACACTGGATCACGAGTGGCTGAGAAGGCCCACATTTTGCAATATTATGACGATCTCAGAAGGAGACTGATCATTGATTCCATAAATTGCCACTTATGCAGATTGCGGTGTCTTCCGTTAAAAAGGAGTTTTACGTGACTTGGCTGTCCAACAGCTTCCTATAGGGTGACCACGGTATTGCAATTTGAGGAATTCTCACACTCCCTGGTGCTGTGTTTCAGATACCAGCTGGTGAGCCTCTGCTCCGATTAGCAGCCGTCGATTGGCTCCGATCAACCGCGAGGATCGACCGGATAGCCCAGCGTCCCAATAACGCCGTCATGCAGGTGAGACAGTATTTGTATCCCTTCGTTCTTAGGCACCGTTCTTCACTAACCAGGCTCCCCCTTGATATTGGTGCATGTGGACTTTTAGGTTTCAGTCGCTCGAGAACTGATGTGAAATTGCCGCTCAACTGCTGTCCACGTCCAATACCGTACTTGCTTTCAAAGGGCAGATTGAATATTTGAGGCGCTGGTAGTCGGCAACGCGCACTTTAACTCTGGCAGCCGCTACGCATTCCCTTCCTCGAAGCCCAACCTGTAGATCCGCGGCTTTCACATTTTGCAAAGCCTAGCGCTTGATGATGCAACCAGCCGTTCAACACGAGGGTGCTGTTGTGTCGGTGCAGGCGGCTTCGAAGGTGGACGACCTCTTCGCGATGATCATCAACATGCAGGTGGACTATAAGAACCTTTCCTTCTTTCGTGCAATTCGCTGAGCAATGTCCAGCCGGATATACCTGCGGACCTTTTCAAAATGCGCTGCATCTCTTGCACGAAAGTCGGCCTCCAAAGGTTCCGGAGGGACTCTTTTGAGGATCATACAGAACGTTAGACGAGCTTCGTAGGAAATCCTTCGGTCAATTTCTTTGCCCGGATGGACGTGGCGGCAATGACGTGATTGAAGCCTGTACTCAACAGCCTGTGACGCAGCTTAATAAGGCTGGCGCACATGCAATTGCACGCTTGGTCGTACAGAAGGAGAAGTCAGACAGGGTGCAAGAAGACCTTCTTAGAGACGGGTTTCATCTAGATCAGTGCCAAAAGCTCGGTGTTCACGGCGAGTTGGGGTACCTTAAAGGGTGTTCACTCCTTCTTTAGATGATGCTTTTGTTCCAAACATTCGTGGGGTTTCGATTCTCGCAGCTCCCGGGCAAGACGCAGTACAGCATGGTTTTCTACTTTGTCTGCACATTAGACGACATCGAGCCGGGGTCCGTCCTGGATGGGTTCATAAAAGGCAGTGACGCGCACCGAAATAAGCGCTTCAAGTTCACGCCGCGAATAGCCGAGGTGAGGACTTAGAGAAGGTAACCTTAGAACAGGGGTCGCTTAGCTTGCTTCTTAGACGTCCTTTTCTCAGAGCGCATAGAGCGTTTGAAGGCAGTACTTCGGAAGCGGCGACGATTCAGTGCCTCGATCCACGGTTGATTAAGCGACGCTCGTGCACTATTCCTTTCCTCGAAAGCAGCCTTAGAAGATTCCCTGCGTGCTTCCTCTGCGTTTCCTTTGCGTGTTTCCTTTGTATTGAAGCCACCCAGGCTTATTGGGTGGGTTTTAGAACCTGCGTGAAAATGTTTGTTGCTTTACTTGAGACTCTTGCTTGCGAGCCTGAGCACGCTACACTAGTCCTCCTGCGTTGATTGTTCGGTGTGGGTTCTGTACGCTTTTCACGTCGAGCAGAGGATTCGACTAGCGGGTTAAGATTGGCTCAACGGAAACTTATGCTGGTGGGTTGCAGGGGTCGTGGCTCATCAGACAAGCGGTCGGGGAGCACTCCGTCACGGTAGCGGACGCACTAGGCGTCACGTACTCGTCAGGGAAGAACTATCTAGAGGTATGGCCACACGAGCGCGAAAAGCGCTTCTTGCTTGCGTTCGAGTCTGCAATGCAACCTGGTCTTCGCTTGCACCGAGAGGCTGACGACCGCACCTCCTGACTGCCGTTCGTATAAGAACACAGATTCTGCGCGGACAGATCGTTAGACGGAGCGTACTCTGTTTGTTGCTCACGGGATCTTTTCTCAGTTGACCTATCTGGCGCGTGAAGTAATCACTTGGATATGCGTAGATAGTACGACAGATTCGACCCTGCAGCGAATCGGCGAGGGACAACTGTCCCTTTTCCATGATACGGGCCCCGACCTTGCTTAACTCGTTGCATCTGCGCGTACACTCATCACGAATTTATCTGTCTACCCCGCACTTGAGATCACGCGCACTAAGCAGCAGCATCCACCCGGGTTGCAGGTGGACGTGAACATCGGTTCTTCGCCCATCGCGTCCAGTGTGTTTGGGCTGGTAATGGGTGTCATCACAAACGTAGTCATTGACTTTGCGTATGTCTTAGAGGTGAGCGTGGCCCTACGTCATTGGTTTTTCAATTCGTGGCGGTCCGATACACTCTGTTGAATGGTGCGGCGTTACTTCAACCGATCCCATGAGGCTTTTGCATTAGGTGTATTCATGAGCAGCTTAAGGCACGGGAGACGCGCGATCCCCCTTGCGCAAGCAAGCTTGACTCGTGAGCTTATGTTTTTCTGATGAGTAGGATTTTAGCATGCTTGGCAGGTTCCTACAAGCACTCAGCGTGCAACTGAACAGGTTCACGAAGGACGAAAGATTGTCAGCATTGTGTATCTGAAGAGATGCATCTCTATTTTTCTTGATTTGCAGGCGGTGACCGAGGACGAGTTGCCGGAAGAGTTGCTGGGCGCAGTGCGCCTATCTAGGTTGCAATTCTCATCGGCCGTCCAAGTCGATCCGCTTTGATGATGTTCTCTTCAATCTAAACCTTGTAGTAGCCTTCGAGAATAGGGGCAACATCGTAAGTGAGGTTGAAGAGACCACAGCTGTCGACGACATGAAGGATTGCCACTGGCTGCGAATGAGAGGGCGGTCGACTCCTTGATAAGGACATTCAGATAAGAGTGAAGGCCAAACGAGGAGTACTAAGCAGGTACTTTTACATCGGGGAGTTGAGACATCGAGGCGCTCGATTCTCCTGTCGAAAATTCAATCAGACGAATCCCGCTCATTTATGGCGCGTGATCCGAATCGGATGGCGTGGATCGAAGGACATGTAGTCGAGTCTGCATGCCATGAAGGCGGCATGCTCAAGCTGCATGCACATATGCGCATATGATAACCAATTAAGGGCCACCCAGAGCTCCCCAATAGTGCTGCGATATACATCGGATCGTCGAATTGTGATCGCTGTAAGTTATCTAGTCGCGCGCTACATGGAGCCAAGTGCGCATTTTTTGTTCTGGCGAGCCCGCGGGCGCTGAGAGCTCCGTGCATGGGTTGAGAGCCAAATCTCAAAACAAGCTGAGCGCTATACGAGCATGTACTTTGACAGTCGGAAGCCGCATACTCAGACATGGATAAACGTCATATCCTTGACACAATCATGCAAGGTCCTCCAGAGACCGGCAAGGAAGTAGACGAAGAGCTATTTTCAATACAGGGTTGTTAGATTGAAGTGCGTATCACTTAGATTAAGACTTTCATCTCACGGAGTGAGTCCCCGCTTGCGTAACGTTAGCAGGCCAACAAATTAGTCGACGCCAATAATGTTACAATGAACCTAACTACAATAATCCAGGCTCAGAAACTAGCCAACGAACTTCCCAGCACATCGTCGGTACGACAGCTCTTTCACTTGTGTTCCAAAATCGAGAACCCATTCTGATCTTGACCCGGCTCCTCTCTGGACCTTTTGTACAGGCAGCATGACACAATCAACAATTAAAATCAACATCGACCAGAACCGCCAAGTTTGGCCGTCATCTAGTTCATGGCGGCCACCTTCTGCCAGGAGGGGCGGCTGGAGATCCTCTGCCACCAGGCCCACACGTTGGGGTACTTCTTCAAAACAACCTCGCCGCCCCCTTTGTTGACGTAATAATCTGCCCAGCAACGAGACAGTAAACGGGTGATGTCACCTTTGAGAGTCAGTGTGAAAGACCAGCGGACCGATGAAGGCTCCACAAACGTCGGCAAACCTACGTCCAGAATCTAGTTTTGCACCTCCAGCCTGCCAAAAGGTGCTCAGAGTGGCTAGCAGTGTTCCGACAGGCATACCTGTGTTGGGAAGGTGGGAGAGATCAGCGGCGGAGAAGCTGGAGCCGTTGAGGTATTCCTTGTCGGCTAGGTGAGCGTCGTATACAGCGAGCACCTGCGCCGTGAAACAGAGCTCTATAAGTGCACAGAGCCAATGAAGGGCAGATGAAACTCTGGCAGAGTATTTCCGTTTCTCATTCAAGGCAGCGGCATTCTGGAGGCAAGCCGGCATCTTGATCTGCAAAATGAACGGTTTCATCTACTCTGAAAATGGAAAAGCGTTTGCTTCCAGCTTGAAGTTCGCATCGTTCACTTGGGGCAGAAGGGGTTTGTCGACATCAGGACGCTTCTATTAGCCCGCTCGAAACGGACGCCGAAAGTAACGATGCCGCTCGTCAAGGTGACGTCAGCGGTTCATATTATCTGGCCGAAACAAGGTAAGAGGGCCGCAGTTGTTTGAAGTATTGGCAGGCCCGTGCGGAAAGTTCTAGGTGTCACAAAGAGCACTTTCTCGACGGAACAGCCTCACCTTCTCAAGTTTTGTGGTCTCTTGAGCAACAATAGCCTCGTCCGCCTGTTTTCCATGCATGGCTCTGAATACTCTTTGTGCGACTATCACGCTGATTGGAGGATCGTAGTTTTGGCTCTCAACCTGCAAAAATGTCCACGTCGGTTGATTCTGGGTTGACCTGGGTTTGTGGGATACATGCAGCTTTAGTCTGGATCACTCAACCGCATCGAATCGATCAGTGTTTGCACTCATCTCAACCAACGAACAAGTCCACTTGTTCGGACCAGGTCGGATGTACGGTATTGCGGACACAGCACACACTATCAGCAGTCGTCAAACAAAGGTTATATCCTCTCTTCGTCTGGCTCACTGTACAATTAAAGGCAGGAGAAGAAGTTTTGCGATTAGCCCAGACGCTTTACATTGTAGCGTTGTCACGCGCTCTGTTTCATTCGCAAGGTCGTGGAGCAAAAGCGCACCTCAGTCCAGGTATCAGTGAGGGCCTTCTCAGCGGCGGTCTTGCCCAACAAATCTGTTCCTTGGCTGGCCCATTTGTTGGCAATATACCTATATGACAACGGGCCACATTTGGTAATAGCCCTCAGTCCAGGCAGAAGGATGGCCCCTTTGGTAAGGGCCCTTTAACTTATACATATGGAAGGGCAAGGAATGTAACTGACGCCATCAAAAACTTTTGCTAAGTTCTTCATATTGTGAATGTTAAGAAAGGCAATGGGACCCAAAGTAGAGCCACCCGAACGTGTTGATCAAGCAACCATACAGTAGACATTGCAACCCACAGCGAGGAAGGACCCACATGGCAAACACTGCGACACCTCCACAGGTTTCAATCCAAGCAATCTCCTATTGATTATTTTTCTACAGGCCATGAAAGGGCAGCCTACCTGACGATCGCCCTGGTTTCAAACATCTTCACATCGCCGTCCTCCAAAGCAGGGACTTGACCAAAAGGTTGCCTGGCAAGGTGTGCAGGCTGCTTGCCCTCTCCCTTTGTGACGTCTACAATGACGAACTTATAGGGGACATTTTTCTGGGGGATGAGAAGGGGCACCGATAAGGAACACTGATGAGCGCACACTGAGAGAAGGTTCTGCGCACTTATGGTGGACCTTACGCCTAACATATTTATGATGGTCTTACCCCTGAAATATTTTAGGTTGCGGATGTGCAGAGTCAGCTGGCATGTTAAACGTCATCAAGTTAGACAACCAAAAAGTCATCGAATCACGTTTGTGACTCGTTGCTTCTGTGTAATTTTTTTGCAGATCAGCTTTAATGTCTGACCGTAAGAGACTGCAAGTGTGTGGTCTCAAACTTAATCAAAGAGTAGCCCCTCCTCAATCAATGACAAATCAGTCGGATAAGCCCAATAGGAAGGCAATGCTGCTGGCCTTACCTCCTCTAGTGCTGTCATCACCGTTCTGGTGCAGGTGCTCAAGTATCTGGATAGAGGAATGGGTAGAACAAGGACTCTGAATCCTCACATGTAATGTCTCAATACAGAACCTAGACTTTGCAGCAGACTCAAATTGGAGGCAGACAAGACATGTGTAGCTTGTCCACTGGTGATTCCAACCAGCAAGATAATGCATTAGGCACACATTTCGGCATTCCGGCAGTGACACTTACACAATCACAAGGGCACCCATACATGATGAACAGCTACTTATTGGATGATTCAATAGCAGAAAAAGCGATTTTGGAGACAAAGTGTCGGCGCATTCAAACCATGATTGAAAGAATCACTTACATTCCATAAAGGGTGACCGTGACTGGCGCCATCTTAAGAACTTGTAATCTCACAAGCTGCACGCAGCAGTTGAAGGAAGATCAGTAGGCAAAACTGGCAAGACTTTGCAGATGGAGAGGCGCTTGCTGCTCCTCATGGAAGGCTTGGGGCAAGAGACGTAATTTGAGCTCGATCTAGAACAATATGGCACATTTGCGGAAGATATTGAGTCTGCTGGCGCGGTCACTCGTCAGATTGAATGATGGGCAAGGCGCTAAACGTTGACGGAGGCTGGCGGATGCTTTGGTAGCAGACGTCACGTTGGGGCTGCTAGCTGGGAATCCTAAATTCCGCCCGCTGTCCAGAACGCCGAGCACCCGTTTGCCCGCTCGGCCTTACTTGTGAGTGTGCCGGTCACCCTCAACTTTCAAGGCTCAACAGCGGGCGCAATGGTGCACGATCGAGCACCGGTAGGTGGCGCATATCATGGCATATGGCATACAGTATTACAGCGGTCCGCCGGCCGCGGGCACTCGTGACGGTACGACAGTACGGACGGTAGTACCGTCGTTCAGTTGCCCTGCAGTCACGTGCAGTGTGCACAGCACGTGCACAGCGCGGCCGAGGCCTGTTTCCCGTGCGGAACTGCCGGCTGGAAATCGGAATCCGCGGACCGTGTTCCGGAACCTCGATGTCAGCTTTGAGAGATGAACTGATAGCTTGAAAAGAAGTGACCACAGCATGGGATTACCGTAGTATCAAAGTATGGGTTATACCGGGAACCCTGCATATTGATTCCCACTCTCTTCAAATCATTCCCTCCGACGTACTAATACTCATTGATGAGTTATCGAGGCTTGCTGCACGATAGAGATTTCAACGCAAACGATTGACTGCCATGCAATTTGTGCTGAGATTTCTGATCCTGCGGCTAGTGTCTCTTACACAGTCATGTGTCACCACAGGTGCAGGCCCAAATGTAAAGTTCAAGTCAGCAGCGACGTATGCCAAGAAATCTGCATGATTGAATTCACGATCGGAATCTCAATCGGTGGCCACATGAACACCTATCGTGGAACCATGAACCCAATCCCAATGTTCCGATGAAGCGTACATGAGCGCTATGTCTTACAGTGGTAAGTGCACAACAAGAAGCATCACATGGTGGACGATCAGAGGTGAGACAAGCTAGCAATTGGCAACCTTCAATACAGCTTTGAATCTCAATCTATAGGTCTAGCACTCAATGGCACTCTAGGCAGTAGCGTGTCCAATGACCTGTTTTATATCGTACATTTCCTGCTCTACATCATAACTCTGCAACCTAGACTGAAACCTACGATGTACCAAACTGGAACCCAGCACAGCCACCTCTAAAGGACTGGAAACGAGAGATTGCTGGCAGCTGCACGGTGGTTGCCAACAGTGCGCTACTCACATGACAGGTCACAGTACCCTCACAAAGCAACACAACAAAAATGACAGCGCATTCCTTAATCCGACCACTCTGGTGGAGGCTGCAGTGTTTAACAGCCCCTAACTAATACCTCATTTCTGACTCCGGTTTGCTTTTTCTGTGCACGTTGTCTGCACACCAGCCACCGTTTGCACGTCCTCCTCCATGCCCCACAAACCACTTTTGTCACTTCCAATGGTTTGAACTCCGTCAAACAACCTGGTTTGAGGATCTTTCCTGCCCCAAAAGCATCGACCGCCACACATGCACCCCTTGCGGTCAAAGAACGTCTTTCGCTCCGCATCCCATCCCGGCAAATGCTCTCACCCCATGCTGCCGCATAGCACCCGTTCCCGTACTGCTCTGTCTGTCTGCTGCCGACCACCTCCTCTTTCCCTCCGATTCTGCACCCCTCAAGTCAATCAAGTCGGCTTCCTTCACCTCACCCCCCCAATGAGTAGGCCCCTGCTCTTTCCTCGATCTCCAAAGAAACTCAGAAGCTCGGCGCTTCACCGTCCAGGGGGGTCTTTGACCAGCTCCGCTGACTGCCGGTCCCCTCCGCCTGCCCCCCGTTGCCACAGCCCCTCTTGCCGAACGTCCCCAGCCCGTGCAGGCTGAACGTGCAGTTCAGATCCAGGCGCAGCTCCACCCCCCGAGTATAGTGGCCCAGCAACATGCACCTGCAGACCGTTGATAGGGCTGACTTTGAGCAACTCTCTCTGGTAGCGGATCCTCTAAATTGCTTGCTCGAGTAACTTTGATGTATGGAAGAGCAGCCTGCCTCCCTCGATTAAGGGTTCACAGTTATGCCCAAAGTTCCACGCAAGGACTTGTAGTGTAAGCCCAGGAGAAACGGAAGGGGCAGAGGTGATCAAATGAAATAATGAGAGGCATGACCTTTGAAGCCTTTAAAGCTCACGTACTCTCCAAGCCGCGCGCTTCTCGCTCACTTGGAAAATCTATCAGAGCATTGCATTTCGCAGCCTCTCATTCTCAGTCCCTGCTAAAAGCGCTGGCACTGGGAAGTCCAACTTCTAACGTTGAAAGCTCTCCAAAGTACCTCAAACGCACTCTCTTCATCCCACCTTAACACAGGGCCACAAACAAGCTCAATACGAACTCTACAAGAGTGCACCAGCTCTTTCTTGGACCCTTCCCTGCCCAACCCCTTGCTAAATCCCCTGACAACCTGCTCTGGTGTCTCTCTGACCAACTCCTACACCCATCTGCACATTCTGTTGCAAAAAGGCACTGAGAGCCACTGCAGCAGAATGGTCCTCACCAGAACAGCAGCCTCGCCAGATAGTCCCTGCTCGCTGTCACCGTCTGCTGGAACTCAAGCCCCGGCACCTGGGGGGACGCCCCAAGCCCCTCCCCCATCACGGCCCGCCTGGTCTCCCATCCCCCCCCACCTGCCCTCATCCCCGCCCCCCCATACGCACCCCCCCTCGGTGCCCCCGCCTGCTGACTTGGACCCAGATTGCCCAGCAGGCCATCAATAACCGCGCGAATCGCTTCTTCGACATCGGGGGTCCCAGGTTTTGAAAGCTCCGCAACTTTGTCTGCCTCCAGAGAGCGGAGGTAATCGAGGAGAGCGTTCCCCTCATCCTCGCCCGTAGGTGGGGGCACTGGGGTCACACCTTCCATCTTGAGGGCTGAGAGGGTCTTCTCCGCAGAAGACAGGGCCTGCAAGAGGATCGAAAACAATCAGTCTTCTAATAGGGAGGTGCGTCCTCTTTCTTGAAACCAACACCCCTTGAGCTGGAACCCAGAAGTGCTTGGAAGCAGCAATCGTACTGTAGGACCTCAGCTTGTATACAGAGGGGAGGACCCAGAAGTGCACCGGAAACATTTTGAAAGTGAAACAGAATGGGGCCTGTCAGATGAGAACCCATCTGGTTTTCACAAGCTCCTCAATGATACACATGGGACATACGCTACTCGATGCTGCTCCAGGAGAATTGAGGTTCACAAAGAAGAAAGCAGTTGCTCCTCACATCTTGCGTTTCTGCCAGCTTGCTCTGCAGCTTCCGCACGTATTCCGCAGCCTCCACAGGCAAACCCTCCAAATCCATTCCAATCATCCCCACTTCTTCCAGTTCCTCCTCCCCCTCGCTGCTCCTCAATTCTACCCCCCCTGCGGCAACCTCTGCTTGACGGCTGTCGTTGTCCAGTGCCAGGTGTCCATCCACTTCAGGGTGTCCACTGACTGGCACTGATTCCAGGGGGGGTGCCCCCTCCTCTCCACCGTCCGACTCCCAGGAGCGCTGCAGGCTGAGGCGATACTCGGCATTCCGCAAAGTGTAGCTGCAAATGAAAAAAGTATGCGAAAATTCAACAATAGAAACAAAAGACTCTCCTGGCCTCCAAGCCAACGCAAGGGGCTAGGAAAGAGTCAGTCAACAATTTTTCCATCAATCTGGAGTGCCTTTGCTGATTTCTTGTGGCAATGTCAGGACACCCGAGGCAGGTCTGATTAGTTTTCGGCAACTCAGGCTTGTCACGGCTGCCAGCTTCTAGGGTCAATCAGAGAGTTGCTTACTTCAACTCCAGTTCACATGGGCACCTTAATGCTTTGCAGCACATGACAGCTGTCAGTGGCCCAGAAAGGACGAGAGTGGGAGCAAACCTGCCTCTGTGTTTCAGTCGCATCGGCAGCCTGCTCCAGACTGCTCCGAGTGACTCTTAACTGCATCATTCGAGGAAGGGGTCAGAACGCTGGCTCATGGGAGCACAGCAGGGGTTAGTGTGTTAACCGGGGTTTAGTATGTCCGGACCTGAGGCCCTGTGCGGGCGAGGGTCGTCACTCACCCAGTCATCATGGAGGAGACCAGCAGCCGCGCCAGGGCCTCCCGCTCCGTCTCCACAATCACACTGAACTGGTCCGAAGGAAGGAGCCCCAGCATCCCAGAGATGGTGCGCTTCATGGCGTCCATTGCGTCGGACGAAGCGTCCTGCGCTAGTTGCTGGATGTCCAGGGGCTCGATCTGGAGGATGATGTCGCGCAGCACCGACGGCATGTGCTCCTGCACAGGAGAGGCAGTAGGACGTCCAAAGTTTTGACTCTGAACCTCGATTGGCATGATAGGAAACTGAAATCCTGAAGGAGACGGAAAACTTCAAGAACCTAAGCAGCAATGCACTGTATGGCTTGTCAATGAGCCAAAGCAAAACCTCATCAACACTAGGGCCGAAACCTGGAGGTAATCGGGCACCACAGGCGAGGGCTACTGCAGGCTGAAATTAGAATGGCCACAAGCGAAGGGCAATCAATGAGGAAGTTATCGCAAAAGATACGACCAAGAAGTACATGGCTCAAGCAGCCTGCAGAGCAGATTCGGAAAGAACACTACTGTTGAGGTGCAGGTGTTAATGAGGAGGCGGAGTAGCAGGCAAATCTATTCTGCTCTAAGACAATCCCAGATAAGCTTGTTGTCTCGATCACGGTCAGATGAGTCCCCATTACAGGCTAATCAAAGATTCAGAAACCATGGACCTACGGCAATTGCTTTGAAACACTTCAGCGTCCTCTTGCAGCCAAGCATCCAAGCTCTCAGCTGTGAGCATGCTCTGGATGTACAAGAAATGCCAGAGCGCCTTGCCAGAAGGGCAGGCTGCCAGCTGTTTTTCGTCATCAATCTTGAAATGCTTCAACCATCCAACCCTACACGATATGGGCCAAAGCGCATAAATATGAAGATCGAACACCTTATGCAAGCAATTCACAATCCATTCAACAGTATCCTACAGGAATAGTATGCGGGAACTCACCGATCTGTACGGCATCCTCCCCGTGAATGCAAAGCTGTTGGGTGTCCGCCTCTCGGAACCATCCCAGAAACTGTCACCAACTCCCCGCAGCAGGCACCTCACTTTGGACCCCTCGGCCCGCTGCTGTTCCCGCGCTGACCTAAATATACCTACTGACGACTCCAAGGACCCCATGTGCAGACATCCATTTCCAGACTGGCCCCTCAGCAAGTCTACCTTTAGCCTTGATTGTCTCGCGCCTGCATGGGCCCGAGGGGCGACATCCACAGCTGTCTTTCCGCAGCACCCCGCCTGCGACGTAGAGCATGCACCGCCCGATCTCCGCACGGAAAACTGTTCTGTGCCACGCCCCAGCTGTGCCATGCCCCCCACATACGCGGAAGACGCCATAGTGGACACGAGGTCTAATCAAAGGCTGCGGCTGTGGCCCTGTTGCAGCGACTCCCTCGTCGCTTGAGGCCGCCGCACCGCCCCTGTTCAAGGTCCCCTGTCAATGTTCATCATTGCTGGCTTGGCAGGCACTGAAGTTCGAACAGAGAAGGCGCACGCGGCTTTCCAAAATTTCCAGCGCAAGATCTCAGCCACCGAAGGTGATTGTTTATTGGCGACCAACACGGTATTCGAAATCCAGATTGACGGGTAACCAACGTTCCACGCCATCCTTGATCGTCATCTGACGGCTTTAAAGATGCCAGTGTGGCATGTGGGCCGGCCTTCCAAAATCCTGGAAGCGATCGCTTTGACGTGATTAGAAGATATTCAGAAATCCGGGGGGTGAGCCTGGAGCCTGAATCTTTACCCCCGTTCGTCGATGCTTTTGAGGAAACCCTTACCGCCACATTGCTATTGAGAACCGTTACCATGGATGATCATCTGAGCATCTGAGAGACTGAAAAGCTCAGTCTCTTCGTTTGCAGAGCTCCAGACTCCAGACTCCAGTCCACTTTCGTTACATAGAAACTTGAGGCGTCATGGAAAGCGCTGTGGCGTCCCTTCAATCTGTGGGCTCTTTTCGTGTAGGGGTGTCCAACAAGAATGCCTGTCCACGTTGCGCTCAGCATTTGGAGATAGTGCAGTCCCTCTCCCAGAGAGGATTGAGGCGCCCCCGCTGGTCTCCATCAAGTTTCAGCATCGACCCCTCGTTCGGGCGTCTGTATATCCTTTGTACTCATCAATCAAGGACAGAAGAGCCTGCTATTTTGAAAATGGGCACAGGTGCTACCCAAACAGGTATGGTTGGAGCGCAGGTCTCGAGTAGCAGGTCCGCTGCTTCGGAGGCAAATGCTGAAAGTAGTGGCGAGAGCGCTAGGCAAAGGGACAGTGGATTGATGCTGACTGGGACAGTGCGCGAAGGCGCACTTGACTTGTCTCGTGACGACATGTGTGCATCTGCCACCACCAATCCATCGCCACTTGTCGGAAACCCACTTGACAACCGAGAAGTGACGGGGTCAGGAGACGGGACCACCGGCGAACGAGGAGTCAGTGGAATTGTCGCGGATGCTTCCAATTCACAGAGCCACCTAGACCAAGAAATGTATGCATCCACTTTGGGCCAAAGTGGTCAGGAGGACTTCTCAGAGGAAGCGCCTGCTCCTTTTAAAGGCGCTGCCCATAACAACGAAAGCATTGGTGAGCATCTAGACCTTGTCGATGATGTACCCGAGGGGCACACGGAGTTGAGAAGCTTTGGGCAGTGGGGGGAGGAGCCAAGACGGCCTGCTAAAAGAAGCAAGCGCAAGCAGTACGTCTGGCCCGAGCTTAGGACAGCAGAGAACGAGGAGCCTGATTACGAGTACCTGGAAGTAGACCCTTCGGAGCTTCCCGAGCGGCGAACGAGCTCGCAGAAGGCGTCGAGCAGCGGGCGTGCCATAAAATACACCGCCCCAAAGGCGAAAAACAGGGGTCAGAAAAGCACGGCCAGTGTCAAGAGGGAGCCCAGTGCGGCGGCCCAGGCGTGCTTGACACTGCTGAGCGAGTACCAAGATCCGGGATACTTGCCATACGAGGAGTTTCGGGACACGTTGAGGGAGTGGGTGAACGAGCAGGCGCCGAGGAGGGCAGACGGAATGGACGTGCTAAGGGCGCTGCTAGACTACCGGGAAACGCAGGTGTTTATCAGAGTGAGTGGAAGGAGGATATCCAACGAAGATGTCAGTGACTGTTGAAGGTAGATCGAGCGATGCAGACCCTTCAGATGCACAGTTTTACACAGAGGGAGAGTGGGAAGTTAAGAGGCAGATGAACGAAAATGTTGTGAGGAACCGAGGACATGTGAACGAGAATTATGTGAATTCTGAGAAGGCAGCACTCACTCGAGATTGCTTCTGCTCTCAGGCATGGTTCGTCAGCTCTTCGAGATCCGAGCTTGAATGCCTTTTGGCTTCTTTGCTAGCTATTCGCAGAAGCGCACCTTGCATGGCCCAGTTCATTCCCCCCATAAAATCCGCCTGCTTGTGGTCCGGGTCTTGTCTGTAGAAGGCTGGAATGTCCAGCAACCTGTCACTTCCGTATTGTTTCAAGGTCAAAACGAAAGTGCTCTCGTCAGGTATTGAGCGTGCGCCCTGATTCATTCCGTAGGTGGCGGAGCACTTTATGAAAGAGGGGTGGTTCCGGTCCAACCTGGCCGACCACAACAAGCTGCTCAATGTGTTCGTCAAGAACGGCTTTTTTCTGAAGGCCGAAAACCGCTACCGCAAAATGCTCTCAAAAGGTGGGCCGATTTCCTGCAGTGAAGGAGCGGAGGAGATTATCTCTTAAGTTTGCACTGTGTTTGTAGATGCTGTTGGGAAGTGGTCGTGTCGGAGGTAGAAGTCTCTCTTACTGACCTTGAGGTTTCGTTAGCATTTCGCGACGACATTCTTACAAGAATCCGAACGGAGGTCCAGTGGAAATCGCTCTTGTGTGCGGCTTCTCTATCTGCTTCTCCCCCTTTTCACTTAGAAAGGACGTAAAGTAATGCACTTAGAAAGGACATGAAGTAAGATAATGTCAGGAAAAACTGGAGATCCAGTGTTTCTCAAGCCTTCTTGTGGCTACTCCAAAAGTAGAGTGGCTTCAGAGTTTATCCTCCCAAACTCCCCGCTGAACCGACATCACTCACTTTTAAACTTTTGAACCGTCCAGGTATCCAGCCAGACCGCACGACCTACACTCTGATGATCCAGCACTACGGGCTGTGGAAGAGGCCGGACCGCGCAGAAGAGCTGTTCCTGGAGATGAAGACCAGAAACATACATCCAAACGAGGACACGTTCGTTGCGCTCATGGGGGCGCTGACAAAGGTGAGGCCGGACTTTCCCTCGGCTTACAGATCCACCTCATTGTTGTTACGATAACAAGAAGTTGTATTGTACGTGCGCCATGTCTCTCAAAGCTTTGCCGTCTGCATTTCGATCTTAGACTTGGAGTCAAACCGGGGGTGAGCCGGATTTTAACCGAAGTATGTCGTCCTGACCAGCCTCTCTATCGGACCTGGATTGTGACGATCAAAGTGCATGTACCCGGCAGAACGAATGTAACGGAGAGCGTCATCCGAGCAGCAACGTTACTTACTCCGGTTCCTATCCTCTTGCTTTACCCTTGCCATGCCACAGGGTTCGCTTCGGGTCTCCTCTACTGGAGGCGCGTCTTATTCCTCTGAACTGTTGTTCCTGGCTAAACAAGAAGGCGGACTCTTAGTCTGGTTATCTTTCAACCAAGTTGGTTCGATATGTTAACCAAGATTGGTTAGTTTTGTAATCACAAAATTTCGGTTCTTTTCCTGGCAGGCGGGCCGGTTGGTGGAGGCAGAGCGGCTGCTCAAGTCGATGCGCAAGTCGCGGTGTCCCCGGGGGCCAGCCGCTTACGTCACGCTGATGGAGGCGTACGGCCGTGAAGAAGAGCCCGAGGAGGCGGAGCGCGTCTTCCTCATGCTGCAAGCGGACGGTAACTCTGCAATTGTCCGAAATGTTGTACGGCGTTTTTGTTTATTCCTTGCCGTCTAATAGGTTGTTCGCACCTGAATTTTATTTTGACGCCGTCGACGGACCACTCCGTCGACGGACTTCCTACAATTCGACGGAAACACCCGGTTGTTCGCAGTGTCATCTTTCCGTCGACGGACCGTCGACGATCTGTCAAAAATCTGCTCGGAAACGCGGGCTATCGCAAGCGACGGAGTCCGTCGGCGGACACTGCTCCGTCGACGGGGAGTTGGGACCTACCAATCTTTCCGTCGCAGCCGTCGATGCTCCGTCGACGCGCCTTCCGAAGTTTAACGGAAAATAATCGCCGCCGTCGCCGCCGTCAACAAATTTTCCCTAGTGCGAACAACCTATCAGCATGACTGTTTCATTTCGCGTCATCACCACGAGCGCTCTCCGCCCTACACGCAATTGTATGGGGAAGGGCACGGTGAAGGGCAAAAGTGACTTCGCTCTTCAATCAAGGGTACTTCCGAAACCTGGCCGAGCTGTTGTTGAGGGACACTGGTCCGAGGTTCTTCGCGGCGGGACGCTTCGATCTTTGACTGTTGCGAGCGCGTGCCTAAGATTAACAGGTGGTGCGCGCCCTTCGACAGCCGTTCGGCCGTTCAGTTGCACCGGACCTCGGTTGAGGGAATTCTAAGACCTGCATTGAACACTTACAAAGGCCTGCACTTTCACGCCCTGGAAAGTTCCCCACACTTTCCGCATCGACTTCACAACCGTCACTGTCTGTCGCTTCTATTCCACAGTTTCTAGCTTCAGGCTTTCGCGATTTTTACGTTTCTACTATCTCCCTATGACTAATTTCTATCTTCTAACCCACTCCCGTTACTCTTCCAGGGATCCCCTTGGACCGCGCCGCATATCTGGGCCTGATGCACGTGTACTCGGACCTGCGGAAGCCGCACCACGTGGAGCGCGTGTTTCGGGACATGCTCGCGCAGCGCATCCTGCCGGACGAGACTTCATACCTAGTTCTTATCGACAGCTACCGCGCCGCGGGGCTCGGGAAGAACTGCGAGCGGCTCATGGAGGAGATGAAGGTGGGCGCTAGCAGCTGATTCTTCGGTTTAATAGAACCGTTTACAAAGCTCCTCGATGTTCAGCTTCGTCCACTGCTTTGCTTACTGAGTCTTTCGGATCAAGCAGGAGAGCGGTCAAAGGTGTGGTACGAAGCTTCTTTACCTGCTCAGGAGGAGTGTTCGATCATTCCTTATACGGAAACGGGCGCCGAAGCGTATGGCTCAAGCCGAGTCGGGAGCGTTTACAGATCCAATTTACTTGTTCCTGAGGTTTGGGATGCGAAGTCTTTTCCTAATAGGAAGGGGAGCTGGCATCGGCTAGCCGCGGCCGGTTATGTGTTGTTTACGGAAGTACTTGCGTAGGGGTTTCTGAGATAGGATGCCGCAAGCATTGATATGGATATAAGCACTGATGCAGTTCAAACGCAGCCCTTGTTCTTATTCCGACTTGAGTCACCCGTCTCTCTATGTTACTCCGACACCCGAGCCTTCGTGACTCGTCCCGGTCTTTTCCGCAGCTGCTGGGGCTCTCCCCGTACAAGGCCGCCGCTCTCATCATGGAGGCGTACGGCAAGGAGCAGCTCTTCTCCGAGGCCGAGCGCATTCTCACCGACCTCCAAGCCACCACCGGACGTAAGCCTGGCGTCATGCACTACAACGCGCTGCTCGCGAGCTACGGCCGGCACGGCCTCCACAAGGACGCCATGAAGGTCTTCGACTGGATGACGTCAGCGGGCGTGGCGCTCAACCAGCGGAGCCACGTGTTGATCCTGGATCTGTTCGACCGCACGGGGCGGAAGGCGAACCTCCGGGCGGCGTTCCGGGCGATGCAGTCCGACGGATTCGGGTTGGAGTTTGAGGTGGCGCAAGAAGCGGTGAACGATTACCGGGCGTCGATTGCGGAGTACGAACTAGAGGCGGAGGAAGAGCGGGAAGAACGGTTGAGGAAACGGGCGGAGCGCACGGCGCGGTTCATGGAGAAGTGGGACACGTGGAGCCGCGAGCTGGACGAACTAGACGCGGAGATCGCGGAGGTGGAGCTCGCGGCGGAGCGGCGGATGGACAAGTGGGCGGACCGCACGCGCACGTACTAGCGATGAATGGCGGCGTGTACTTACGTCAGCGGAAGAGCTGTTACTCTCGAGGGGGACGGACAGAAGGGCGGCGCGCATGCGGGGTAATCCTGCATCCGTACGAGCTGAGGGTGTTGCAGAGTGTTTTGGGTGTTCAAGAGCTAGCCGACGGGTGCGGCAGGCCAGTTTCAATACGCCATGCTCTGAAGTGTGGGACGGCTGTTCTCGATACTTAAGACGTTCACCGGCGACCTTTATCAGCCGAGTCGACTATCTGATCACGCAGTGGCGGACGGCGCTTGCTGTTGCATGAGGCATCCAGCTTTTCAGTCCCGCATGTGCATTGGCGGCCGCTTGCCAAGAAAGTCAGTGCAGAACAATGGTCAATTTGCCACGACATGCCGGTTCATCGGAACAGTAGCTGCAGAGCCCGTGCAAGCCCGCGCACCTAGATGTGGCCCGCATCGCGCTAGCTAAGGGCCGGACCCATGTCAATGCTTATTGAAGAAGCCATCAATCCGCCCAGTCGGCCGACATTCAATTTGCCATTCAGCTACGTTTTCTATATATTCGATGACTCGAGTCGTTTGGTTGATTATCAACAGGTATGCATCACGGATTTCACAGATCAACGATATGGCCCGCGGCCGCGCTCGACGAGATGTGATCTTATTGTCCTGGGCCATGCGGGAATTCCATGCGTCAATGATGCTGCGGGATGCCAAAAGAACGCGTGCCAGTATACTTAAAATTTCTCTTATTGTCAGACTTACACCCACACCGTTGTTTAGCAAGGTGCCAGGTTGCCCACGGCAATCACCAGCTCGCAATCCGATCGTACACGACAGTCTACTTCTGCATGTTCGACTGATGTCTTGCCAGATTGCAATGAGGGCCATAATCCCCTGGTCACGAATATTGTGAGTCCAACAAATGCATGTGCAGGCAGCTGCTGCATCTCGATATGCGCAGCAGTAAGACCTGAAACCTGAGAACCTCGCTGTCTCGTCTGTGCCTACGCGATTCGTTGACGAGCTTCAGCAACTAGTGTTGACCTCACTCATGCCCATAGACAATGTTCGAATCTTCCGGGCGACAAGCCCTGCTGACACGTCACCTAGACGCAGGGCTGCTAATCTGATCCAGTGCTTGCTTCTTCTTTTCGAGAGCTCTGGCAGTGAGTTGTTCTATCCAGGTTTGCGCACGCTTTGGCCGGTTGACCCAACGCAGCTCAGCCGGGTGGAACTTCATGGCTTCAACCTGCGGATAAAAGAGGTCGCAGCACTGAAGAAAAGCCTTCCAAAAAGAAAGGAGAGGGTCGAAAGTAACACAGCACCTCAACGTATACGAAGGAGCTTCAGGGTTGGACACGCTGGCACTGAAACCTGGGTAGAACTTCATAATAAGACCTCTTTGGTCAGAAAAAGCAAGATTGGTCTTCAAACTCACAAATGCCAAGCTTCAACATCCTGAAACATGAAGACAGCCAAACTGCAACGTATTCGATCAACACTCCGAGCCACTCAGACGAGCGTCATGAGGATCTTGAAGGCCCTCGCTTCTTTGTCAGAGTTAGAAACGATGAAAACGTGCACATCTGTCGCTCCAAGAAGGGCGGTGCAGTCATGCGACGGAAGGTTCAGCAACAACAAGCGCGGTTCGCTGGGAGTCGATATAGCTCCCTAAAACAAGCAGCCTGGGCGACATTGATCGAAGCTCACTCCTTCGAACCGGGCGCTTCAGGATATAAAATGCGTCTGCACGAAGCTTGGAGGGCTCAGGTCCATCGTCAGTGCAAGGCTCTGCGGCAACTCACCTTTCTCAGCTTCTCTGCCTTTGGAGCTTCGAGCTCTTTGAGAATGACGGTGAGGTGCGCCCGCCGCCGTTTCCGGACCCCGCTGCGCCCTTTGGCGTGGTACGACAGCCGCTTCAGGTGCTGCCCGTGGCCGACAAAGCATTTCTCTACAGAGGAATCACGAAAAGGTTTGCTCATTTGACAAGCCGCCAGTTGTGCAATACATACCGTAGTTCGGATCCCCTCAGAGCCAATGCGTTAATGAGAAGATCTACAGTGGCAGCTGATTGGGCAGCTTTGCTACACAAAGCGCTCCTCCAAGTTGCACCCGAGCTTTCTTATGCTGACGTAGACTGGACGAATCTTTCAGAGATATGAGCGATGACAAAGCAACTTGCTGCAATGAAACAGCTCAAGCCGAAAAGCAACCCACTCGTACAGAGGCAGCAAGGCACCATGACAGCCCCATCCTTCTAATACGACGCAAGTCCGCAGGTAAAGAAGGAAAGCCCACCTATAACAAGTCGCTCCGTATCCATGTTGTGCGAGTGGCCGGCGTTTGCCCGAGCAGAATGGATGGCCTGGGGGAATGAGCGAATTCTTGATAAGCAACGCGGCAAAAAATTATCTGACTGAGAGCGAAAGAAGGGCAATGCAGCAATTCGTGAGCCAAACCTTCCTAGAGCAAGGTGTGGCAAGGCCAAGCGAGCCAGAATCTGGAACCCGCCTGCTGGAGTGAATCGTAAATTTCTCGAAGCTGAATCGTACGGAGTCTCTTTGGAGCATCTGAACATTGTGCCATGTTTCAGAGTTTTGACCGCTCTTTACAGCAGGCGGGCACTGGCAGTCACACCTGTAAGCAATAGATAACCGCACACCAGGTCCATGTATATGCGCTTCCAGAAGCTGGCTTTTGGTTGCTCATGTGGGCTCCGGGACTGCCGTGTCTAATATGGTGGTAGTACGAAGCCTGCAGCAACGGCAATTCCCCGCCTACTCCGATACATTTCAGTGCTACTACTCCTCACCTTGTAGACTGGAATAGCCGCCCTCTTCGGAGACGCCTCCAGCTGGTCCAGCGCCTCTTGCACACTCATCCCCCTCACCACTTTTGCCACCAGGTTCAGCTTGTAGGGGCTCATGGGTAGGCCTTTGGCAACGCACTGGGCCCTCTTGGCTTCTTGCTCTGGGTCGAGGGCGTCATCTAAGGTCTTGACAGGGCTTGGGAGCATTTGGAGGGGGGAGGGGACAGGCCGGGGGGCTTCGGTGGCGAACCCAACCTGTTGAAAAGAAGGGGCATATTACTGTGAAGGGTGGGTTAATCATTTCACAGGATCCCTAGGCTCTCAATCTGCCTTGTAGCAAAGAGGGAATCGAGCTCTTGCCCAGTCCAGTGGTGGTGGAGCGGGCTTGGTCGAGAACAGGACTTCTGCTCATTTCCAAGGCCGCTTACCTCAAGATAGGATTCGGAGTTCATTCGAAAGGACGCTGAACCCCACTCGTTGCTCCGAGGTGAGCCAGATTGGGACTGATAAAAGGCCACAGCGGACACCTCAATCTGATTACATTCGGTTTGTCAAAAGTGGAGACTGACACTTTCTGAGTTGATTCACTGAGCAACCAGTGTGAGGATCACCTGTACCAGAACAGGACCATCGGATACGGTGTGGCATCACATGTCTACAATGACAGGGTCCGCTCATTACAAGAAATGACTGCTGCATCGTAGTTCAGGAGAAAAAGGGGCGCTGAGCAGCCCATTTTTCGGTTGAAAAGGAAACAGCATAACTTGTTTGTGTACACAGCCGGAAAACCAGAGCGCAAGGCCTTCTGTCTCAGAGTCTGGTGGCCGCGGTGTCCAATAACTTTGCCATCCGCTCATCAGCTAGCACCTTGTTGTCTGCCCACAAGTGCTCTAAGAACAGCTTCGGAATCAGACGAACCTGCTCAGAAGCGACAACCCACCTTCTGTAGGAGTGTGACCGGAGATCGAAAAGCTGTTCCATATCCCAAGTTTGCTTGGCACAATCCGAGCGCTGTCCTCCTCAGCATCCCATCTGCGTTTGCAACATTGCCCCCATGCATTGAAAACAGCAAGTCTGACCACAGCAGTCTCTTATCTCGGGAGTGCATTGATCTGCCGGATGCGGCATTCTCCGCCGACCCATTCACAAATTGGACGTCCGTCCCTTGTGATCTGTCCTCAACTACAAATGTAGCCGAATTATTTGCTGATCGGTCCGTGCTCCCCCCACTGCAAGTCGCTTGACCACCACTCCATCGCCTCTCCCAATCATCAGACTCCGCTTTTTCACTACTTCTGTGCAACTTGGAGATTTCAAAAGTCTCCGCAACAGTGATAATGGTCTTGTTCCGCCACAATGCGCTGCCCTGCAGAAGCGTAAGAAGATTCTCCTTGGTTGGCTGGAAGGACAAACGAAGCGAACGAATGCCCATCATTGTGTGCCGCTGCCTGTAACTCTCAAGCCCGCAATCAGCTGAGCACTGGCGTCCAGGGTTGCAGTGACAGCATGTGATGCGACTTTGCTCGCCCCTCTTGTAATAAGCGCCCGCCGCAGCTCACACTTTTGTCCCCTCGCTTTGAGGCACACCTAGACTCCTAAGAAACTTGCCCCATGCTAGATTCTCGCCTTGTACCACCTTGGAATCAAGAGGAAGCTCAAGAAGTTGCGAGCTGCGAATCAGCCTGCGATCTCATGTTCAAAAGTTCCACAGTCCGGCTCTGACCGGCAAAGGCTGGGAGAGTTGCCCTGAAGGTTGACACAGCTCAACAGTAAAGCCCGGATGGTGCGAACGATCCGTAGATGGTGTCAAGATTGTGCTGAGAATGCTTGCAGAGGCCTGCTCTGTAGAGTAGCTCATCCTTCCAAGTTTCAATGCAGCCTTCTGACATTTCCACAGGGTTGGAAAGCGACTGCCCCATGGTCCGCCCCTTTGCACGGGTCGATCAATGACAGTTGGTCTTCTGGGCACCTAGTGCACTTCCCCCTGCCAGCTCTCCAGCAGCAATGAGAAAACTGGGAACATGCCGGGCAGCTGAAAAACCAGGTGACGCGCAGCTGACAACACGCAATCGCTGACTTCACAGAAGCCGAAGACAGCGTCACCAAGAAGGGGTTTGCCAATGAGCTCTTTCGATTCCTTGCAGAGTGTGGAACAGGTGCGCCCAACCCATCCTGTTGTCAAAAGCTCACAACCATGGGTTCACTTGACACTCAATGCTGGATGTTTGATGAGCCCCGTTTGAGCTCCGTCAATCTCTCTCTGATTTGCTGAAGTAGCTCTCCAGTTCGGTATAAGGAGTGTCGTTTTGCCTGCACTTTAATCAGGACATACTGCTGGCTTCCTGAAAGGTTCTGCTTGGGGCATATCGATGCAGTGAACCGGTATCTAATGACTTAGAGCCTTTTGGATGAATCAAGTTGTGTCTCCAACAGTGTGACTAAGCTGTCTCCTGAGCATTCTGCAGCGAGTCATCCGTGTGGTCAACATTGCCGCCACTGTCATGGAGGAGATGAGCAGCACCAGCGGGCCTCGGCAGGATAGAGTGACATCGTTGTGCTCAGAGTTCATGTCAGAGATCAAGGTGAGATTGGCCAAATCCACTTTGATCGAAGGCTCGATTGCTCTGAAGAACTCCACCACACAACAAATTTAGAAGGATGGTCATCGGGATGCTGGACCCTTTCACCACAAAGACAAGCACGATTATCCTCCCTCAATTCTTGAATACGTTAACACATGTCAACAAGTCTCTGTGACTCCAGTCAGTCTGTGGAATGAAAAGGCTTTGAGAACTACTCATGGTACAGATGACAGAGCAACTCTCTGGAGAGGTTTGTAAGGGAGTGGATGTTATAGAAGCGAAAGCTTCCAACCTGGCCCACCAGCTGTTGCAAAGTCTTGTGGAAGGAACATTGAGATTGATAGTTTACAACACTGTCATCGACTTTGACTAACATTTTTGAGGGCTAAGCAAAGGCATCAAGTTCAACAATCCTGATGTCGGACCTGTTGCTGGACCAACGATCACTGTCCAAGATCGTTGAGCCTGCATGTTGTTCTCGAACTCAGTACGGCATTGCCTGCAGGAGATACAATCTCGATTGAGGGAGGAGATCAAGAACATGACGGAGTATAAGCCCTTTGAAAACTGTGACTATGTAAGTCAAGCAAAGTCGACAATAAGTGCAGAAAAAGTTTCGAACTTGCAAAGGCAACTCGAAGAGCTACAAAAAGATGTGGGAAGGCGAGAACCTGATGCAAATCTACCGTTAGAGGTGGTGCCATTAAGAACCGAGATATCCAATGGTAACCACAGCCTTCCAATGGAGCCTGGGGGACGCGAAAGCAGATAGTTCTGGAGCTATGTACCGGTGCGCTGCACCTGAATTTGAATGCACCCTGGTTGGTTGACAATGTCTTGCATCAACACAGCTAGACATGAACATAGGAGGGAGTCGGCAACAAGCATGGAAAAGTCCGGCATGTTGAACTAAAGCAGACCACGTATTGCGGTGTACCGTCCCATGCCACATGATCATCGCTGTACCGGGCTACATGTCGGATCAGGAAATATCATGATTGCATATATAGGGGTCAGATGTATCGAACAATTCGCTGGCCATGGCTGGGCAATGTTACGGTACTTAAGGCTTTGGTTGTAAAGCCTATGCACTGGCGAATAGCCGCTGAAGTGTGAGTAACACCGTTAATCCGGAACATGCGAGCCTCGATCAATCTTTTCATGAAGGAACTTGCGGTCACGCGCTGTCAACGTCACAAGCCCTCGAGCAAAGTAAGGATGTGTTGACGGTTGACAAATCTTCTTTATATACATCAGCCTGGCTCCTTCCGTTTCCTGTCCATAGCGAATGCATCTTTGACCTCTATCTCTGGCCCTACACTAACAGCTGCTGCTTGTCCACCTTCTAGGGTCGATCGCGACCCATCTAGAGGATCTACACTTTTCTCATCGGGTGGCTCATCTTGTCTGCTTTCACGATGCTTTCGCAGTCGGTTCGTACGGTAGTACTTCCAGAAATAAAACTGCTGGGTGTGCAGAAGCTCCTGTACAGATGCATCAAACAAAGTCATGAAACCGCCACACAAGAAGAGAGCAAATTTGCAAGGGGATTCATCACACGATGTCTTGCTGCAGTAAAATCACCAGATTCCATTATACTGAGAAATGCAGGGCACTCCTGCATTCGTAAGTGTTCAACACCTTCACGCGCAGGTTGAGGAAGCAATTCTAACGGAAGAGGTTTTGGTGGCTGGCGAGACCTCACCTTGTTTTGTGTGGACGCCACTACCTTTCTGAACTGCTCATCTTGAAGCAGGTCGAGAAAGTGGAGACAGTGGGGATATACAATGAACTTTGCATACTCCGGACGTTTCCAGTACTGGAGATACTGTAGATACTTTACAAAAGCAGGGTCCTCAAAGAACCGGTTTTGTGCGAGGTCTGCAAGCCAACAAAGAGACGTTAGAGTAGTAATGAGACCATTGACTTGTCTGCAAGGCAAGAAAGCCCGTTCAAGGCAGCAGAGAGCCTAATGATGTATCCAAAGCTCCTGCAGACCTAGTTTGCGGCAAAGACTCTGTGATGCAGCTCAACATCGACCCTCCAAGGGGACCTTTTTCCTTCAACTTGCACCACTTGTTAGTGGATTAGACCGGCCAAGAGCCAAGCAAACATCACAAAGGTGTATTCATATGGTTCATTGAATCTCACCGAATAGCAAGTGTAAAAGCTTCATCTCCAAGTAAATTCAAAAACTCACGATTGATATATGCCGGATTGGCCAACAGCTGTACAAACTCCAGCTCAAGCAAGAAGCGCTGCCGTCCATGGTCAGTCTCTTGAAAGTCAAACTGCCTGCAAACAACAGTACTTTAAAAGATTCATGCTTAAGCCACCTCAAAGATCTAAAACCAAGAGACTCCTGTCCTGTCCGAAATCTGCATATTTGACCTTTGACGTGCTTGCGAAGAGCATGCAGCGTTTCCTGCTTGAGCAGGCAGATGCACATTGCTGGCAACAGAACAAATTCTCATCAAATATTCTGAGATTCTGCCCACAGACAAAATTTCCTTGTGCTTTTCTTCCACTATGATGTAGGTAGCAAAGATTGGTGTACTTGAAGTGATCAGCATTCCCCTTGCCTCACTCTCTCCAACAGGGTGCTTCCAAGAAACAAGCGAAAGGTTCCAGCACCCTTTCAACACTATCATAACAAAGTTTTGAGTGGAGGCTTACTCAGCAGCTGCTTTGCCGTTCATCGCTTCCATTGCAGCGATCTGATTGCACCCCAGCATACAAAAGACGCTGAGCTGGGCCCAATTGCTTTCCCAGTTGTACGTCCTGCTTGATGTAGAGCCCCGCTTTTGTGGAACTGAAGCGCCGCAATTGCTCGAATGTTGGATCGCAACAAAATGTGATCACGAAGTTTCCTGACCTGCTCGAACAGCTAATGTTGAAGGGCGCCCAAAATTGCTCCCATCAAAGAGTTCCGAAGCTGAGAAAACAAAAGGCGACCTTCAGGACCTCGAAAAGAGGTATCAGGTGGGCACATGGGGGGGCGCCATGGCTGAGAAAGCTGTGAAAGCCATGCAGATTGTCTTCCTGGGTTGGCAAGGTACCTTGCCATTGGTACTGCCAGGTATGTATTTCCCTTTGGTTTTCATCAAATCAACAATTAAACCACCACCCAACCTATAAAACCGGGCAAATTCGATGCTGACGTGGCATAAATTGCCAACGGTCGTCGAGATCGGGCGATTCAAACGGTGACTCATGGGGCGCATGTTTTTGAACACTCAAAATGGCGTCTACCCAGCACGATAGCAGCATCAAACCTTCACCAGATTTGACGGTGTCAGGCTTGCTCGCCTGGAACAGGCCCCGTTGAGATGCGCTCCTTTTCCCGGCTCTTCAAACGGCCAAAAACAAGGCCTGTATCGTAAGCCCAAAAAAGCCACACTCAGCTTATTTGAGCTATTCTTGGTGGTTTGAAGAGCTGAAAAGCTTGGCGCCTTCTTGCAAGGCCTCTCTGTGGCGACTGAGCTTGACACCGCCACTGAAAAGCATGATTTGGGCATTCTATGAGCTGGGCAAATGCTACATTTCAGTGCCAAATGCGTGCGCCCCATGAGCGCAACTTGAACTTCACACGTGAAGTTCAAGTTATGAAATTGGCCAGCATTGCTGGCCCATATGTACCGGTTGGGTGGTGGTTTAACGAGGAACTCGTCCAAACCAGTTGGAAAGACGGCACAAGCTTTATAAATGTCTCATAAGACGGCGCAATCTTTGCGGGCACCGTTGCCGGAGGGGTCTGCCGTGTCTTGGTAACCGCTACTTTCCACGTCACGAGCTTCCCTGAAACTCTATGTTTTAAACGTAAAACACAATTCTATTTCCAGATTTTATTGATTTTCAAAAACAGCAAAGCGCAGCCTCCTGCCTCCGTCAGGCAGGAAGAATGCTGTTGCAGTAGTCTCCTCTCTGGAATAAACGTCTTGCATCAACCCAGAGTGCCTGTATCGAAGCTCCATTGTTGTCAGCAGCGTGGCAGCTGTTGCAGAGCTGGTCTCCTGTTTCTTGATCTTGAGGTGTTCTGAGAGAAAACATGGGTTATGGAGGCCCTTCTTCTTTATAACAGCGAGTCTGAAAGTGATGAGGAGTTGGAGCCCTCTGAATCCCCTCCACGCAAGCGTTCTTGCAAGGGCCTTGACAATTCTGGGAAAAATGGAAGACCCGTCATCTTGGAAGGAGGGGCAGTTGGCCTTATTTCAAACAGCGCAAGTAGGGAGGGCACCGTGCAGATTGGGAGTGGGATAAGTCTTCTTCAGTCTACTCCAAAGCATGAACCTTTTACAGAGCGAAGCGGCTCTAAGCCTTCAGCGATTGCTGGCAGCTCAAAGGCCAGCTTGCCAGGTCTTCCTTTTTCCAATCATAGTGCGCCAACAGCCTTGTTGTCGCCACTCCCAGGCTCACTCCAAGGTACGCCTTCATCTTTGTCTCTGTAGCTGCTGGAACTTCTTTTGATGCCTACGACTGTTGTTGCGTATCGCAAGGATGTCGTTGACGAGGGGAGCTGATAGACACGTCCTTGACTTTCTCGTGCTTTGAGAGTTGCTTGCAGTGGCAGGCTTAGATGCATGCTTCTCGCATACAGGCAGCGAGAGTCAAAGAAACACAGGACATCAAGGACGAGTGCGCAAGTTCCCGCACGTCGAGGGCAACTATGCCACACACGTCTACATTCCAGGTGGGTTGTGCTAGACCAGAAGGAATTCATTCTGGTGTACATGATGAGAACCATTGGCCCATGAAAGTGACATCATCAACATGGCTTTGCGTTGCACTGAGAATGCTGCCTTGAACAAGCTCCTTTTATCATATATAATGTTGGGTAGTTTCCTTTGTTTGAAAGTTGGAAAACCGGATACGAAAAAAAAAATGGTGTCACCGTGTGGTTCATTTCCAGCCTGCATATCCTATGAACAAGCTTTTCTTTTTGTCTGGCAGTCAAGGTGCCCAGGAACTTCAAGACCACTTTGACCCGCTCCCTCCAACGAGCAAAGATGCTTTTTCCAGCTCTGCAACCAATGGAGGGGCTCTCTGGGAACCAAGACTGCAACGCAGGACTATCAAGAGTCTTGGAACCAGCTGATAGCTACCACATCAGCCTTTCTCGAACGGTCCCAATCAAGCATTATCAAATCGAGTCTCTCGTTGAGATGCTGAAGGAGAACTTCATGAGCCAGAAAAGGTGACTAGACGAATCTTTGAAAGAGACTGGCACACGAGTGGATCGAACTTTAGATGCGACTGATTATGGCATGACTAATTGCGGAGCAATTTGAAGGAATCTTCTGGTGTGTGTTATTGTAGGCTGCTGTCGATTCTTTCTCAAACCATTCCCCCTTGTTTCAGGTTTGCTTTGAAGCTCGCAGAGTGGCAAGCATTCGTGAACGATGATTCAACGCGATCCTTTCTTGCTCTTGGGACTACACACGGGACAGAACAGGTGGGTCGCTTATGACTTGGCATGGCTCTACGAGCTGCCCAGGGCATTGAGAAACGAAGATAAATATGTTTGAGCTTTAAAACCACCCGTGTAGTGAGTCAACTAACCTATCTGCATGCTGAAGTGGTTTTCGTCGGCAGCTTGTAACGGTTGTACGCAATCGTGGCAAGAACGTATGTGCGTCCTGGTATGAGTCTTATTGTATGTCGAGGCCTTCTTTTCAAAAGCCCGTCTTTGCACCTGTGCAGATATGCGAGCAAGTCCGTCTCGTCAATGAAGCGTTTGCTGTGCACGAGCTACCTGTCTTCTACAAGGTACGTCTGACACCCCAATTGGGTACAATTATTCTTGTCCGGAAGGTAGCATTGGAAATTGCAGAGAGGCCCGCGTCTGTCCATTTTGGGTTTCAGCTGGTTTAATCGCAAACAGTCCGTAATTCGAAATCGGCAGTCTACTGGAGGACTTACCTTTCGGTACCACCAAAGAGAGAGGACAACCTGACCTTGCAGAGGCACAACACTGACCAATTTAATCTGGATTTTTTGTGGGTCTTCATGGCTGCAATTTAATATTCCGTGCAGGAACCTCGTCCACATGTCTCTGTCGCCTGGTGCCTTGAAGAGAGGCTGGCCGATCTGAAGCAGATTTGTGGAACCCTTGACGTGCCCTGCAATCCCAGCGAGACAGACCCTTCCAACTGGGAGAATGGTTCTGAAAGATGGGGCTCTGAAGTAAGACGAGTTGAGTGTAAGATAGGAAAGAAGATATATGTCATCTGGTCAGGCTAGCCCTCCCATCCTCGAAGCTTGTCGTTCAGGGGACATCAAATTGACGACTTGAGGAAAGAAGTATGACGCATCAACTGGCATGGTCAGGTCAAAGCGTGCAACCTTAGTGCCATACATAGGGCGCAAGATGGTCAAAACGGCCATAATTTTCAACCGTCTTTGCATGGCGCCTCCCTCATTATAGTCGTACCCGGCTGGTGCAAAGCATACTTGCACATGCGGGGTTTGTCTTGAGTGCAAGTAACATAACCTGTGCCTGCACTGCACCATGGAAGCCTCTTTGCTCCGTTCAAGATCTTTCCAAACGATTCGAACATGTAGCAGCTTCTGTATAGTGCCACACAAATCAATCACGCGCTTGGCGGCCGCGGCGGCTTCAATAGTGCGTGTGCATGCAGCATGCCTAGCTTGCGCGCTGCATCCGCCCTAAGATCCTAGATCGATCATGTTGAAAGGTCGAGGAAGGGTCGTACCTCGGCGCAGGCTTCTGGTCAGTATGATAGGCTCACGGCCTGTGCTCTCGCGGAAAAGCTTTCCTGCATATTGGGCCCGGCCGCCTAGCTGCGTCAGCCGCTTCATATAACCATCGATTGAAAGAAAGGAAGTCGAACATTGTAAATGGCGCACACATGATACGCAGCTTAGACGACTTCTCTTGCTCAGAGCTTCAGCTAGCCAGTATTTACTAGGGGAACAGGCTATCATGGCCCATAATTCAACGTGTGCGGATCATCTGAGCTTTTCTCAAATAGGTGACAGTGGACTGAGAGAGATTCACGAGCTTGCGAAAGCAACGACACAATACAAGAGCAAAGAGACGCCCTAAAGCAATTGCGGCAAAATTTTGAAAGCCTCAGTCCCGCGCACAAACAAGAGTTCCGAAATACCAGAGATCGCATGGTTGCTTTAGATACTCGCGATGAACATGGGCCCGAGGAGGAGTAGCTTGAATACGAGCAAGAGCCGCCTCCGTGTATCACCATTCACATGCATCGAAAGCTGAACTGTGTCCGGCAACGACAGATCCTTCTAATAAGTGTCTTTCGCAGTTTGAATTTACAAGTGTTCAATTGTTTCTACGTGTCAACTCAAACAACAAATGCCTGCCATTGATATGGCAGTTGAAAAAATTGCTGTAGCTTTCCTAAATGTTTCGGTGGCGGTCCAAGCTGTCCTAACTCGACTACAGAAGCTGTAATGGCAGTATCCGTAAAGAATGTTCTTGCCGGTCCTATCGCTGTAAGCAGATCAATTAGCTACAGTTCTTTGGACCATGAGTTTTCCCATCCTGTGACTTTCAATGAAAATCAACTGATCCCTGCGTCACCTAGCAACTCGCCCCGTCAAACCCGAAACGCCCCGGAAAGACGTTGACAATCTCCGAAAGCAGGTTAAGGTCGATCTCATCCAGTCCAACGCCGCGCGCAGCTGCAAGGCCTCCTATTCTAAACCAAGCCATCATTCACAAGTCCAAAATCTCTCAACCCTCGGCAAACCCCTCGCACGTGTCAACCCGCTCCAAAGCAACCCCGAAACTTCGCTGTACACGACAAACGCTCTGAACTCCCCACCTCAAACCCCTCGCTTCACTTTCTGCAAATTCGCTCCGAAACCCCCCAAATCATCGCTGGTAACCCCCGCCGTCAAAGCCGCCCCAAAGTCGCCGAACCCTCGCTAAACCGTCCCTAAAACCTCGCCAAACGTCCACCGGTCACGCGGCCGCTGTCGCGCGTGCCAGCCAGCTCAGGTTCTGTGAAATGTGTAACAGCGCCTTTTGCAGGGCGGCCGCGGTGGGCCGCTCGTCGGGCAGCGTGTGCCAGCAGCGCTCGACCAGCGCCACCAGATCGGAGCCGAACGGGTGGATGTCCGACGGCCACGTGTACCGCAGGCCTTCGTCGAAATGGTCGCGCAGGGCCTGGGGGAGAGAGGGGAAGGATATCAGAACCGACGATCTACCAATTGGTCAGAAACAAAGGCGACTTGCATGACTTTGCGAGTCGCGAAGCTTAAACCGTTCCTGACGAACCGCAGTCTCCTTTCGAGCTACTCTTGGGTATGATGATCAAGAAACTTCAACTGGGCAGTCAGTCAAAACAGACGTGTATGAGTTTACGCACAGATTTAGATGAAAAAGGAAAAAGCATGAGATCAACCTGAAGGAGAAAAGACGAGGAAAAGAAACGAGCAGCAACGGCTTGATGGAAAGGGAGCCGAAGGAGCAAGCAAAGCGAACGGAAAGAAAAGAACCAAGAACACGGAAGAAAGATCAGAGCGAGGGTCAGGAATCCGCAAAGGAACTCTTGCAGAGATCCGCAAGCAAAGACGGATGACTGCGTAGGACCATCAAAGCAGCGGAGCGCAGCTCACCTCGACGTTGGGGAACTCGAAGCAGGGGCGGGTCCCGGTGAGCAGGTTGTGGAGCGTCACGCCCGCAGCGAAGATGTCCGACGCGGGGCTGTGGCAACGCTCCACGTACACCTCCGGGGCGATATAGCCATGCGTGCCGCACTGTATGCACAGAATTGATTATGATTTGAGCTACATGAACGGGGAATGAGCACACGCGCGAGCAAACGCAAAAGCACATTCCGGCAGACGGGCAAAAGGGATAGCAGAAATTCAGAACGTCAACCACGTCCTGACAGAAGCAAACGGACAGGAGCGAACGGAGACGACCAAATAATGAACTCCTGCCAAGCTTGTGCAAGGACGTGTGCAATGAGCAAGTTCGAACGATTGAGCAATTAGAAAGCAGCCACTGATACCATATTTTGTGCGTATGCATTTCTCGTTTCAGATAATCTGAAGGCCACACATTAAGCGCACAAGTCCAAGACTTTCATTTCTGAATGATTGAATGATGTTTCGTCCACGGCGTTGATTAAAAGAAAGGGAGTCAGCTGGTGGTTTCCTCACGTCGCCGCCCTGTGCCGCCTCCTCAACGGAAGTCACCAGTCCGAAGTCCGCCAGCTTGGCGACCCCGTCCTTGGCGAGAATGTTCTCCGGCTTGATGTCCCTGCGAAGAGAACAGAACTGGTCAGACGTCGTCGGCAGAATCTCCTCTTTACAACACTTTCCCAGCAGAAGCGTAGGAGGAAATCCAACGGGGCGCGGATGGGACAAGGAATGGTTATGCCCCAGGCGCGGAACGTCAGCCAATTCATAATGAATAGGATTTGCGCTCAACGAAAAAGAGTCCGACAGATTTGAGTCCGTATCCTGGCATTGACAGATTGTGATGATAGCATCTCGTCTGCCGTCCCTTTTATAGCGGCAAGAGAAAAAAGGATGCAACAATCCGCCAGGACCGTCATAACCCTTCAGCGTTGCCTTTTCCCTAGTACCACATGTCGAAGTCACCCTAGAAGCCACCACTCTCTACGGCGTCATTGATTCATCCGGTTTCATTCAGAACATCAGAATAGCTCCGCTCACCGGTGGATCAAGCCGTGCTCGTGCAGCCACGCGAGCGCTCCCGCCACGTGCCCCATGTCCCGCGCAATCTGGTACAGCCGGGCGGGGGTGAACTTGGGGGGGGCACCGGCAATGCTCCACTCCGGGGGGGAGTCCGCGAGCTCGAACAGCAGGCCGAGCTCTCCCCCATCCAGAGTGTAGCCCTCCAGGCGAATGATGTCGGGGCAAGCGCGGCACTGGATCAGATTCTGCGCCTGCATTTCAAATGAGCAGAGTAAAGACTCAGACGTTGTGAACCGGTCGTCAGAAGATATGATGCTGGAGGCCGTCGAAGAGCGTTTTGATCCGGCTTAATATCAGACTTGGGGTCCTTACTAGGATCAGGCTTCGGTTCTGAATGACAACACCTTCGAGAACTCCTTGCTCGCACGACTTGTGGTTACTTTCTGCTGATTCAAGACCCGAGGAGGAAGTTCCACCGGAAGGATCCTTTTCAATTTCGTGACCCATACAAAGGGCCGAAGGATTGAACAGAATCTTGAGCCGAACATTGACGTGCTCCGCACCCGAATCTGTCCAAAAGTCCTATCATCCGACTCTTGCAGTCAAAACAGAAACGTTGTCACTGAGACGCCTTCCTCACCTCTACCAATGACCCCCAGAAAAGGAACTTGGCAGCCAGGATGCGACACTCGCCCTGAGAGTTGAGTGCTTTGGTGGAGCACACAATCCCCTGACCCCCCTGCGGAAAAAAGATGCACGAATTGATTCACGGTTCTCGCTGTTTGCACCATGGGGACTTTGATTCAAAGACTGGGCTCTCCATCAAATCTGAAGACGCAGATGGACTCCAGCAATTCCCAGCATTTCGTTGCAGGAGCCTTCCTTGTGTCAATCATCTTTGAGATGAGAGAACTGAGGAGCTTCACCCGCACAAAATTGCAAAGCTTTTAGCAGCAATCAACAACCGATCGGACATTTAGCTGCTCTGAAAATGGTCCGTTTGCCAACAGTCATACATCCTAAGTTCGGGGGCATACGGCCTTTTGGTGAAGTCAGCAGTTGAGCTTACCCTGCCCAGCAATTGCAGAATGGAAAGCTTCGGGTAGAACTCAAGGCCGGCTGCGACCAAGAACGCGTATGGGTCCGTTGCCGGCTCCTACAGGCAAAGCAGGAACAATGTGAGATACTTGCGCTACTAGCAAGTGTGCTAGAGGATCGCCAAGGTTGCGCGCTGAAACTGCAGGTCAACCTGACTTGAAACTTTCTCTAAGCACATCCTTCAAAGATCCACGTTTGGAGATGTGCAAGACGAACAACCGATCGTTCTTGCAGAGGTTCATGCATTTTCGACCGTACTGCTGTGTGAAGTTGCGCTTCAGTCCTTCAAAAGCCACTTCCTGTCCTTCAAACAAACCTGTTCATCACAAAGCAGACTCTTGAGACTCACCTGAGGCTGCAGCCACTGCTGAGTCAGCGCCGTGTCCCCCGCCCTCTGCCACCGCGAGTCCCCCACCTCCTTATCAACCAGCGCACCCCCAATCCCGTGCTCCTCATCCCCCTCGCTGACGTGACCCGCGACCGTCTCCACGGACTCAATACCGGTCTCACTCCAGGACGAAAGCGGGGGGGCCGCTAGCACGTCGCTACCGGGGAGTGCCTCAAAGAGTGTGACAGTCTCTGCTAGGGGGGCGGAGCGGGGGGAACTAGACTGGGCGCCTAGGGCGTGTGGGCTAGGCATGGGGAGCGCCTCCAGGTCAAAGTCAGGGCCGGAGAAGACGCCGAACCCTGGGGGAGTGCTCTCGGGGGGTGCGAATGCGTCGGCGCTGAACAAACCCACCCCGTCCAAGGCAACCTCGAGGGGGGCCTCCCACGCCCTGCCGCTGTCCCCCTGGTCGTGTGCGTGACTGCTCGGGGCATCGTGTGAGACCAGGGGGGCAGCGGAGGGGGGGCAGGGAACCGCCTCAGAGGGCCCGGAGAATGCTACCTGGAAGGGGGAGGTGACTGTATGAGCTGGTAATACAGGTGGAAAATGCAATGGTCACCATTGTGTGCCAGTGAGCATTTGCCAGGTCTGAGGAGTGCGGGAAGCACACGAAGAGAGGTCTTTCCAACGAAGCTAAGGCTGGTGAAGAAACATGCATGTCGGTTGCAAATAGAAATATTGTGACTGTTTTGCAAGTGCAAGATCTGTGAGAAAGAGCACAAACCAAGCAGAACAGAACCAGAAGCTGAAGCTTGCGTTAGGCGACAAAGAAAAGTTTCTGAAAAAGGGTTGAAATCATCAGCCCGCAGCTTGGCATTTAGTTGCAATGTCGGAGGTTCAGTGGGAAGCAGAAGAGCTCGATGATGAACAAAATCCTGGCTTATGAGTCTATGTATAATGCACTTTGCAAGGTCTTACAAGATCAGCAGCCAACAGGAGCACCATCACTGGAACATGGTCTTTCAACAAAAGTATGGTCCTCAAGAAAAGCATGACAAGAAACACAAAATGCTGCTGCTTGCCTGGCCCCTTTGCATTCTGTTGCATCTTCTCAACAGCTTTTTGCAGCTTCCTTGCTTGACAACAGGATAGAAACAGCTACTCTGGAATCGGCCACCGAGATTCTCACATACCCTCTTAGTAACGTCAAAGCTCTTTAAGACCAAGAAATGCTTACGTCTAAACAAATTGAGCAGAAACTATCATCCAAATCTGCCCACCTGCTGGTCAGCATCCTCCATAGAGTACGCAGGGCTGGCCTGCTGTCCCTCCTCCTCCCCGCTTGGGAGACCCTGCTCCACCTCTGCTCCCTCCGCGATCTCCTCCTCTCTCTCCTCTCCCCCCAAGAACTCCTCTCCCTCCTCCCCCCCAACCTCCATCACCATTTCCTCCTTCCCCCCCTCCTGCTGGCAAAGCTCCTGCCCCCCCTCCTCATCCCCAAGGAGTCCCTGCAGGGCGCCCAGCGCAATCCCCCGCCCCACCTCTACCAGCAGATCGTCAAATGAGAGATCATCCCAGCTGCTGAAGAGGGGGGTCATGCCCCCGTAGACAGCGCCCCTCACGACAGCGCTGTACCTCTCAAACACCCCCAGAAAAGTGGAAAAGAAGCCCGCCATGGCAAGAGGCCACGCGGAAGGCGCTGAAAACACTCTCGCTATCGCTGCTCGCTGAGAACTCACTCTCAATCTCGCTGATGGCGGGGGCTGATAAACAAACGCTGAAGGGGCTCAAAGCTGAAAGCTTTGGACAACCTGAGAATGTTTGTGACTTGAACAAATGCAGGACCTCAGCATTTGAGCCCAGTCAATCATCCGCGTCAGCTAAGCTCGAGCAGGCAAAAGCCTTATAGGGATCCCTCCAAGGTCTGAGTCAGTCTTGCCAGGAACTCTATGGATAGCGAGCGCTTGAAAGCCGTCGATCTTATAAGACTGACGGTGTCGATCGGGCTCTCACACGTTTCAGATCGCGGCCGGCTGGTCAGTGGTGGCGCGCGCCGCGGCCGCGAGGTTTTTCGAGGGCGCCACAGGATTGTGCATGAAATTGCTTGCCTTTTGAAGCAGCAACCATCGACTAACATGATCATTGAACTGGATCGAAGCAAAAGCCGTTGCTCTAGTGTACGAGTTCCCAACTTCCGGCAAGGCCCGGCCTAGGCGCCAACTTAAGGGCAGCGCTGTGGGTGAATGGTGACATGATGTTGAATTAGAGAGCTTGGCGGTTGATGGAGCAAACCCGTGGTGCATCATATCATCGCGGACGCGGCCCAGAGATCCTGCAGCAGCTCCTACTGCATCCGGAAAAGCAGGACCGATCCGGCTGACTTCACTTCTGAAATGGAGAATGTCATGCAGGATCATCACCATTGGAATGCCGCGAAACGGAGATGATGCTGATTGTCTTTAGTGATTGGAAAAGTGCCTTTGAAAGCGACAATTTGGTACGGATTGAACCTGCAGTGCCACCTAAGTTGTATGAGCGGAAGGCGCAGGACAAAGGATGACGATACTAGACTAGAAGAGGCTGTGCTCTAAAGTGCAGATGGCATGCCGCTAGCACCCGCCGTCTGATCAGTGATACTGAGATTCGGGCTTTCATCATGGGCACACAAGCCATGCTCGTCGGGCAACTGCGTATCAAGCACAACATTGATCTTGGACAGAGAAACTTTGAAAATCCCGCTTGCATCTACTGCACTAAATCAGGTCTCTATTTGTATTGATTACCAGTGAATTGTCAATCTGTAGCGGTTAAAAACTAGACTAAAGCGCGGCTTGCTGTACCTAGGTATCTAGCTAGTGTCTGTTTGGCTAATGCCCACAGATTCTGTGTCGGTTACAAACAGTTGCGGGCGCCTGTCTATCAAACTCAGCCCTTAGCAAAAGCAACGAAAACAATCTGCTGCTACAATGCTTGGCAGCAACCTTTCAATAGGTCTCAAAGAATGGTTCGACCCCCGCTACTCCCAACCCCCGGTCAGTTGTTCTTGTGATTTACAACTCGCGCTGCCACAACAATCATCTTTGCTTGCTCCCGGGAGGGGCCAGGTCTGCTCTTGATCTATGTGCGCGCACTACAGTAATCGCTCACTTGAAACCCGTCTCTCTTATGCGGTCCTCCACCTCCATCCCCGCTGGTTGTCAGCTCGCAAACACGCTCGCAGTTGACAGTATACGCAACACGCACAACACAAGTTGGGAGACTCATCGCAGCCGCCTACTTACAATCAGTCCGTCAACTTAATGGATAACTTCTACGCTAGTCAGTATTGGGCCCGTTTCCCTCTATCTTTCCCCTCTACCCACCCCACGCCGCCTCCAGCTCGTCCTCGGAGCACTGCGCACGCAGCAGCTCTGCGATCTGCAGCAGGTCGTCTGCCACATGGCGCGCGCTGGGCCGCTGGCTGGGGTCCACGTGGCAGCAGCGCTCGACGAGCGCCACCAGGTTCCCCCCGTAGGCGTGCACTTCGTTCGGCCACGCGAACCAGAAGCCCATGGCCATGTACGCGAGCAGCGCCTGAAGAAAGAAACGGGCGAAAGATGGTAAGAGATGGAAGGGACATCGACTGAGCGGAACACTGCCTTTGGCTCGGAAATGTGGTCGTCCGACGAGGACGTCAAGGACGATTCAACCGAGAGTTCCAACCAGTCAAGAGTCGGGGGGGTGCAAATTATTGTTAACATGGAACAAGCGTATACCAACGTGCACTGATATTGGCTCGAGAAGTTCGATTATGTGGATGGGTGTTCTGATAAGAATCACGGAAACTGCAGTCAAACCTTCTCACCAGACCAGAAAGGCTTCGGACATAAGTCTCTCACCCGAGTATCGTGGAAGCCGTAGTGTGGCCGGCTGCCTGTGACGAGGGCCCAGAGCACCACTCCCAGGGCGTACACGTCGCTCTCCTTCGTTTGGTAACCGTGGAGGTACACCTCGGGGGAGAGGTACCCCAGGGTGCCGCCCTGCAGAAAACCAGGGTTAACGAGAAGTTAAGACACACTTCAAGTGTGATTGAAACAGGCTTTCAGAGAAGGAGAAGAGGCATAGGCAGCGGACGCACAAGGCTTGGGCAAAGCTCAAGCAGGCCGTTTGGCTGTTCGAGCAGATTCGGAAAGGTCCCTCCGTGACGTCACAGGTACATCTCTAACTTATGATCGAAATTTAACATCCCAAGGCAGACCCTTCCAGGTAACGAAATTTGAACCGAACCGGAGACTCTCCGAGATTGCGCTCAGAACCTGGAAAGAAGTCGAGTCTCCATCGCATCGGAAGATCAGTTGTGGGTTTAAAAGCAGAAAAAGCTACAAACGGAAAAGCAAGAGCCTTACCGCCCCCTTGGCAGCAGCCTCGGTCTCGCGCACGGCAATCCCGAAGTCCGCCAGCACCGCGCGGCGCAGGTCAAAGAGGATGTTCTCGACCTTGAGATCGATGCAGGAGAGGCGGTAGAGGTAGATCAGAGTCAACGACAAGTGCATTTCACGTGGATTGTAAGAGGAGACCAGCTTCATGAACAGCAGTCGCAAGTCAGCGCAGATTCAACTTTACAGATGCTCGCCAAATTACACTTTTTTGAAGCGTGATCTGTTTCTGCAATCATTCAGCGTATTATCATACTCTGCAAATTCCACCAACGTCAGCAATGCCGTTCCATCAGCCGCTACAGCTTTCCCTGCCGAGCCAACTTCAGACCTATAGCCCAAAAAAGCATTTGCACTTCAGTCTCTGCTAACATCCGACCAAAGCCTTGCACCACTCTCTACAGCACGATCACCGGATCAAGAGTTTTCTCAAAACCCTCACCCGTGCAGCCATCCAAGATTGTGCATCCCCTCCAGCCCCAGCGCAACCTGGTAGACCATCACGGCGATGTGGTACAGCTGGGGGGGGGTCCACTGCGCGCCGGCCCCGGGCTGCGTCCAGGCGGGGGAGGGGTCCGCGAGCGCGTATAGCGGGATGAACGTGCCCCGCTGGACGGTGAAGCCCAGGAGGGGGATCACGTTGGGGCAGGCCTGGAGCTCCACGCAGACCAGGGCCTGGAGAGGAGAGTTGACGAGTCAGCGAGAGACTTGCTGAGGATGCCAAAAACTGAAACCTGAGAGTTGAAGGACCCTAGCCCGTCACATCTTTGAAGCAGGTGTAGAAGAGAACGTGATGAAGTAAAGGTAAGCTAAGGGCAAAATAAAGACTTCAGGAAGCCTCATGATTGCGTCCGACCGAGTCAATTTCGTTTTAAACCCTGACATTCCTAGAACCTAGAAGTAATGAATCTCGAGATCCTCAATCTCAGCGCCCGACCCTTCGTAAACAGCAACAAGCAACGGGATTGCTGGCTTCCCCTCACCTCTTGCAGCAGGTAGTCCCCCGGAAGGCCTGCCGACGGTACCTTTGTTGCAACCGGGAAGCGCCCCCGGTCCGTGCTAAGAACGTCCGCCAGGTATACGGTACCCTGCCCGCCCTGCACGTAAGCCAGAGAAACCATCAGCTGCCTTCGTGTCTGCAGATCGCAAGAAAATGAACCTCTAGAACCCTCCGAATGATTGTTCACTGCCAAAAACATCTCCGTCATGCCTTTTCCAGAGATTCAGGGTTTCCACCTTTTGCCTGCACTTCTTGAAAGCCGAAAGCCTACACAGCACCATCCTCTGTTTTGTATTTGGAGACTGGTGAAGAGCCTATCGAGGCAGACAGCCAAGAAAGATCATATTCAGAAGGAAAAGGATCTTCAAGTACCAGAAATTTCTTCCCCAGAACTCTGCAGAAGCGAAACAAGGGAAAGGCCGTGGTCAGAGCTGGAGCAGAGGAGTCTCCCGGCCTTCTTTTGAAACAGGACCTGCTTCTTAATTGTCGTGCTTTCAAGCTAAGATAAAATAGTGATTAGTCGAGCTTTGAAGGTCTCAGCAGAAAGAAACGTAGTGCTGGCTGCTCACCTTGCCCAGCTCAGTCCCCATCATTACGTGCGGAAAGAACTCGAGGACCCCAGCCAGGGATGCGTACTGCGGGGGGAAGCGCGAAGCAGTCCTGGCGGCCTGCACGCACAGTGGCAACCTCGATCAGGCTCTATGCACAGATATTCTCATCATAATAGTTGCACAGAGGCGAGTACACGTATATTGCAAGCACACCAAGGTTCTAGAGTGCCAGTCCTCGTGCGACGTTGTTGAAGCTCAACACTCACCGATGATCTCAAGATGTCAGAATACGAAGGGGTTTGAGTTCTCAGGATTTTGAGCGAAGTCAGACTGTTTTTATGCCGAATGTTTTCATGCCGGATTCAATGGAGAATCAAGGGTAAAGGAGAGAGGTGGCGGAGAGCGCACCTCTACCGGATGCTGGTCCTGCGCGACGCTCTCCTCCCTCGGCCCCACCTCCTCCGCACCCGCTGTCTCCATCAGCACCCCCCTGGGCAGCAGCGCCTCTCCGCAAGACAGCGCCTCTGCCTCGGCCCCCGCTATCTCAGCCACAGCCCTCTCCTCCTCAGAGGCCGTAACCCCCTCGTCAGCAGCAGGGAGCGGGTCAAAGTCAAACAAGGGGTCGGAGAATAGGGTCCCGTCATCGCTAGGGAGGACGAACGCGTCTGCGCTGAATAGTCCTCCCTCTGCGGATGACGACCCGCCCCCGCCGCTGCCCCGCTGCTCCTTCTGGGGTTGCGTCGAGTGGGGGGCCGAAGCGGCGGGGGGGTCTGCGGCCGCCTCGGCGAGGGGCGCGGCAGAGGGTGCCTGTGGAGAGAATGGAATAAGTTGCAGCAACTATATACTGGAAGGGGCTGTAACATGATGTGAAAGGTAATCCTACGAGATTGTTACTTTGCCAAATGTGTTTGTTCAAGAGCGCATGATGCAGGACTCCCTCATAAGCACAGCTTTAAGAGGTTTCTACTGATATGATTGATCCAACTTCTGACCATCAAACAACGGAAGGTGCACAGATTCCTAACTTCAGACCAAGGATGCCTTTCCCTGCGCAAGTGAAGCATGTTTGAGTTCCGCTTTGAATTCCTAAGCAAGTCAGCCACCATCTCATCTGCACTCCTTGACTACGTTTCTTTACATATCATTTTCTGCTGTCTTTCCTGAAACAAACCAGTGCCGTACCTCGTGGTAGCCACCCTCTGCGCAGGAGGCGCCGGGAGACCGATCCTCATCCCCCTCCCGAGCGCCAGAGTCGTCTGCCTCCTCCCCAATGACAGTGGAGTCCGCCTCCGCCGCGCCGGTGCCCCGCTGCTCCGTCTGGTCGGGCGCAGAGGCAGCGGCGGGGGAGGCGTGAACCACGTCGAGGAGGGGCTCTGCAGAGGGCGCCTGCAATGGGGAGGTTGTTGCATTCAGAAAGCAGGCCAGATCTATGTAAGACCTCACTAAACACTCCCCTTAGAATGGTCAGAGGCGGGCCTCGCTGCTGGATTGAACATGGAGAAACCCGCTGAATCTCAACGATGCTGCAGCATTGTCCATGAATCTAAAAGCTACTGCATGCCCGGATTTGTTTCTTCAGACACCATCGAGGTGGGCAAAAGAGCACAAATGAACAAAGAGAGAGGTTCTTCAGATGCGGAAATCACTGACAAGCAGGACTGTAATATCAAGCCTGTTGAACAAAATGCACTTGACAACACAACACAAAAACGTTAGTCTGGAAAGGGCGCAGTTGCGGGGAACAACCCTCTCTCTCATTACCCAGCTGCCGAATGCCAGAAGCTGAACAAATTTGTTCGAGGGTCATCACCTCATGGCAGTCACCCTCTGCGCAAACTGTCCGGGGAGACCCTGCCGCATCCTCCTCCTCTCGGACACCCTCAGTCACGACCACCAACCTCTCCTCCTCCTCCCTCCCCACCTCTCCCTCCTCCTCCCTCTCCACCTCTCCCTCCTCCTCCTCTCCCTCCACCAGCCCTGCCACCATCCTCCACTGCCCCTCCGCCTGGGCCTTCTCCTCTGCAGGGAGAAGCGCATCCAGGGCCTCACGGGCAACCCCTGCCAAGAGCTCCCCTCCAGGAACCTCGCTCAAGCTGGAGCTAAGGACTCCAGCAAAATCACGTGCTCCCTCACAAAAGGTGTGAGCGAAGTGCTCAAGGGGCAGCGCGATCGCCTGCTCAAACAGGCTGTAGAGAGACGCCATGGTATGGCGCTCTCGAGTGCTGGCTAACAAAACGTGGGGGCAGGGGACTGACGGCGCGATCGTAAAGCAGGCACACGCTGGAAAGCTGGAAGCTAGGGCGCCTGAAAGCTGGGTTTCTCCAGAGAACTGAAGAATGAGAGATTCTCAGCTCAGATTCGTGCAAAATTTTAAATGCAGCTTGCCAGAGCTAGAAATCCCCGTCAGCTTTGCGCATCAGGATCATAGGTAGTATGCTTCAGTCTACAGATGACTTTGGCGCCATATTTTGCATGGGATCACGTGCTCGCTTGGGCAACCGGCGGCAGTGTACGGCAAGTCAAGAGAGCCAATGGCCGTCCAGATACCCGTCCTTCTCATCGGACGGCTGCTGAGAGAACCGTGCCTGACGTTTCTGTATGCAAGCACATACTTGACTTGAACGGCCAAGATTGACCCTGCTTATCGGACGGTCGAGACGACCTCGCTTCAGACCTCTTACTAGGACCTCGCACTCAAGCAAAGTTCAAGTATCGCATTGCGGAACATTGAAGATCAACTGCATAATGGGCTGCACCTGTATTGCACTTGCGTTACACTCACTCCCACGCCAATGGGAGCTTCGACTATTGTACGTTCGTCATCAAGAGATCGAAGCAGTCCTTGCGCCCAAGCCGGGCCTCTCGTAATGTTGCCAGCATCATATACAAGTCATTTTTGATCGTCCTCGTTTGAATGATGAACAAGGAATTTAATTGGCTCATATCCAAGACGACCCGAGCCGCTAACGTTCATGGATGATAGCAGTGGTTGGCTGTTTGCGCCCGGTGAAATGACCGTCCGGGGCCTGCCACGACGACTATGCGCACATACATGTTGTGCAAATTATGTTCGATGATTGCAAACCAGCCACAAATATGCAAAACTCCACCGCTGCGACTTGATTTTTCTAGAAGATCGATCACATGCCAATCTGGCTTTTCAAGGCCACGCCTGCATTTTTGCAAGTGAGCGTAGAATCTGGGAAAATTGAAGAACGGTCTCGGCTATATATTGTTCTATTGTTCTGAGGAAGAAATGCCGTGCGGGTAGTCTCGACTTTCACCTCGTTTCGTTCAGACGACACTCAAATGTCCTGCGTGAACGATGGCCACGTGATGACTGATGCGCTCACTGAAATATCAGTGGGCCCTCACTTGCAACGATTCACGAAAAGCTTGTAGCTTTGCGTAGATATTACTTGTCTGGCTTTGGTTGGATGAACGGAGCGTTTATGCTCAATACATGATATTGCGCCTACAGCTGCCATGTTCGCAAAACTCGGATACTGATCATCCACATTTATCATACTCACTTTCTTCCAGAATTGCAAGTGCATATTTTCTTATGACGGTTATGCACAATCTGGTCATATAACACTTGAGCTATCTACGGTGGGGGCTATGACGCGTCCCGGTTCCCGTTCCCCGGGGTGTACTGCGGCGGTAGGGCCCGTCTTCCAACGTGCACGGCGAACTGTCCCAAAGGGCGTCCGAATCGGCATACAAACCGTTGTACGCTGTTCGAGCGTCGTTCGCAACACCTTCGCCTGGCTCGTCTAGGAACCGGGTGAGAATAATGGTCATGTGAAGCTCTCCCTGCGGGTAAGCAACAAATTCGGATCTCAAAGTAGCAACTTGCTGGTTGTAAACAGGGCCGATACAACAGGACCGAAGTTGCACTGGCAATGGCCTAATGACAACCAAAATTTGGAAGCGCTTTCCCAGCGCGCGGTACGGAAGCAATCGTGGCGCCTCCAAATCTTTGTGTTACCCTTCCTTCGGTATCAGAAGTTATGTGCTTACCTAGCGCCGCCTCTTCTTCAGAATCTCAACGTACAGCCTTTTCAGCTGACCATTGGTTGTTTCGCCATTCATGATGCTAATCCGTGGAGTTTAGAGACGACAAACGTACCCGGAATTTCTCGTCGATGACCGTTCCGACGATGATGTCTGCAGCGGGGTGCACGTGACCCGCTACAATCTCCGCAACAGTGGTCATCTGCACAGAGACACAGAGTAGGATCTTCATGGATCTTTCAAATAAAGATCAATCTTATCATTCTAATCGTTGTAGGTTGCACTGCTAACGAGCATAACTTGAATCTTTGACGAAGCGCTAAGGAGCTGAATGTTCTTATCACCGCTGCGCTCTTGGGGAGATTCAGACGCAAAAGTCCGTCGAGCACAAGGGAACGCACAGAAATCACAATTTTTCGGCCAAAACGAGCGGCACAATTGGACATCTATCGTGATGTCCATTTCATTTTATATCAAAAGGCTTGCTTTGCTGGAAATATTCGCGCCCTTACCAGCAACTAAAGTCTGGCTTCTTTGTTACTTAGCCAAAACTTCGTCGGCTCTTGTGACGATCCCTCTGTCTCATCGGGTTTAAATCTGCCAGGAAGTACACTTTTCTTCTCAGAGATTGAAACGATGAGAGCGCTTCACCTCTCGTAAGGTGAGGTCTCTCCCAGATGTCAGGTTGTAGATCACGCCCGTCGGCACGCCCTTGCCCTCCAGGCTCTGCAGCGGCGACCCGAGCGCGCGCGTCGCGGCGGCGCGCGCGCGGTCCGGGCCGGAGCCCTCGCCGATGCCCAGGATGACGTCACCCGCGTCCTTCATTATAGCCCTGACGTCAGCCAAATCCACGTTGACCAGGCCGCGCGTCTGTGGAAGCGGCGTCGAAAAGCCGTCAGGCAGAAGCGCGGAAACTGCTAAATGCAAACGGACTCTAGAATCGGCCGTCACCGGAACCGCTCGAGTAAGGTCTTTTAAACCACAACAGGCAAACACTTCTCGTCCGCAGTTATCCGATCCTCGCCAAGCACTTTCAAGAAAGCCAGAAAAAAGTAGGCCGAACGTTTCACTTCGAAGAAGAAAGACAACGTTTCAGAGGCGGGAATATATTAAGAATAGGTAGATTTAGAAGTCCGGCCGAGCTGGACCATAAGTAGGGGGATTCGGGTGTGCTCGACGCAGGCACCGGGATGGGAATGCAATCCCTCGAAAAACCAGGGGCAGGGAAGGGCACTTCGCTGCCCAGGAGGAGCCCGGCGCGGAGAGGGGGGTGAGAGTAGGGGACTGGAGAACCCCCCCGAGACAATACAACGCTTTGTTTAAATGGGCTGCTCTCAACTCAGGGAACATTCCAAACTGGCAACTGATGAGAATATTATGCCGCTTGCTTGAGCATTCTGAAGAGGAAAGGGTCCGTCACTTACCGTGATGATGTCAGAGATTCCCTGGAACCCCTGACGCAGCACCGCGTCGGCCATGCGGAACGCCTCCTCGATAGGAGTCTGTGGACGGAAAATGGGTCGTCAAAACCAATCCTCGACTTGTACTGTGCTGCAATTTGTTCGTGTTCCTCAATTGGCAGAGAGTTAAGGGAACAATAGGAGATGCCCAAACCAACCATCTGGCTTGTCCTGCTTTGCGGAAAGAACGCCTCACTTGTACTCTTCTTAAGATCCTCCGGCCGTTGCATGGTACGTGCCATTAAACGAATTGAAATTGACACTTCCTTCTGAAAAGTATAAGGAAGTGACGGTGTCCGGCAAACCGGGCGCACAAACCTTGTCGGTGATAAGGTCTAGCAGTCGGTCGTTTGGCACCACCACCAGCGCATCCACGGCCGCGCGCAGCGCCTCAATACCAGTGCGCACCTGCCAGGGGGGTGGAGAAATACTAGTAAATCAGAAATTGTATCGTTCTTTCTCATCCAAAAGACAGGGGTGCCGGAAGCTTCGCGATCGGCAATAAACCCTCCTGCCGGTGTTCAATCTGGTTACTGGTACCAGAAAAAGTATCTCGAAGTGAATACGAGTCCAAAGGCTGTGCATTACACCTTGTTTTGCCTCAGTCGCCCTTCCTGGTATGTTCAAAAAGGCGTATCCGCGTCCGCTTACGATACCTGGCCGCATTTCTGGGTCCGCTGAGCAGAAAGCGTAAAAAGCGTCAAAAACTTTGGTTCAACTGGTTTACCATAAAGGCGGCACCAGGGGTCCGGAAGCCCCAGAGAAAAGCCTTTTCGAGTCTCTAGATTAGGGCCAGCTTCCAATCGGGCTTGATATATGAAGTCTCTAAGATTTCGTAGCCAGAAGACAAGTCTGTTGTACGATCTTTGCATCATAATATTTTCTTCAATTCCTTGCATAAGTTCTCACTCTCAAAGAAAGGGTCAAGCGGCTACAACCCACGTCCAACTATTGAGAGGAAGAAAGAAGCCTCTCCATCAATCTCCTACAGTTTTCTAAATTCTTTAAGACAAAAGTCGTCGCTTTGTCTCTCAGAAACCTTTTCAAACACCCTGAACTCCGAATCTGCCACAAAGCAAATGTTCCACTTACAATTTTGGCGCGCTTGGCTCCTTCAAAAGCGAACGGCTCCGTGACGGTGCCGATCGTCAAGGCCCCCGTTGCTTTTGCTAGTCTGCAGTGGCAGCGAGTAGATTAGGAACATGCAGTTTGGATGAGGTTTCAAGGTCCTCGTCCCCGCTCACATCAGCAGCCCTTGTACCTATGAGCATCTCATTTTTGGCTGTTTTTCATAACCACTCTACCAATCTTCGCCCCCAATATTCCTGATTGGCGCTACGATGTCTACGGATTTCAGATAGCGCTTCCCGCTATCGAAATCCCGACCATCCTCAGTGAATTCAGCTGTCTTGACCTTCCCGTAAGACTCATCCCCTCGGTACGTACTTGCCGACAATTGGTGCGATGCCGGTGCCGACCCCTCCACCCAGCCCGGCCGCGATGAAAACTAGATCGGCGCCCTTGACTGCATCCTCCAGCTGCTTGTGGTGCTCCTCCGAAGCCAGCTCGGCCAGCCGGGTGTTGCCGCCGCTGCCTGCACTCATTAACTCGAGCAAACGCCGAGTTCCCAACAGTTGATACCGCAGAGGATTTTTCAATGTCTGGATTCTGGGCTGGGAATTGGGAGTTCCATAACGGTTCCTGAAACGCAAAATTCTCAGGCCGATATTAGATTACGCCTCATCAGTTGATAGTTTCGAAGACTATGTTTCGGTTCAAATATCATTTTTCCCGGCGAAGTTTTCAAGCGACTGCCCAATGAACAAAGGCTTCTCACTTCGAAGCCAAGAACAGGTTGAGAAATATGAACAGCTGTCAGCGAGCTGGGATGTAACCTCCAGGCAATCAGGCCGCGTGAGGCAAACGACGCAGTTTATTTCACGAAAACGTTTCCTGTCAAATCATCCGGGAACGTACGGGCAGATTGCCTCACCCCCGGGCAGAACAGTGTTTCTGCAAAGGAGCTGAAGCATTGGTGATCATCAGGCGTACCTTTTCCGTGCGTGATGGAGCGCCCGATCTGCATCTTGTGCTCCGCGTGCGACAGGCGCAGCTGCTGCGCGTCCGTGTTGATCGCCCAGAACGTGACGCCGCCCACGCCGTCTGCGGCATGCAGATGACGTCAGCGATGGTGTTCAGCGGCAAGGTCTTGACAGCAACGTACAAAAGTAGGGGAGTATTGAGTGGTCTACGCTTCTTTTACCAGCCCGCCGGCGGTCAACTCTCAATATCAATCTTCGGTACATCTTAAAGCATTCACGTTCTTTCTGGGATACAGTAAAGTATACGAAGGCAGAGGAGTCCTGAAACGCCTCACTCCCTCTCTTGCAAAACAGTTTGATGGCCCTGCGAGGGCCCGCAACCATCCGTTCCTCACCTTGAACCATCCTGTCGACAGCATTACAGCCCCCACCGCCGATCCCAATCACTTTGATAACCGCCCTCCCCGCAAGCGACTCTTCCCGCAACGCCTCCAGATCGCCGCGCGTCTCAAAACCCAAATTTTCAGACCCCTCCCTATGACTTCCGTCGACAGACCCGTTCTCTCCTCTAGAGACTTCGCTTCCGCTTGCGATGACTTCCTTTTCGTCGAAACTTTCCTCTAGCGCGGTTTCAATCCCTGCACCAGATTTCGGGACCCCTTCCGCTTTCTGGGGCGGCGCATCCGGCTGCGGCAAGACGAGCGGGGCGAGGTGGAGCTGTGCAAGTAATGACGTTAGCAAGTGGAGAGCGCGCGCGTCGTGTTTCAGCGTCTCTGACGTCAGCGCGCTTTCTGTCGCGCGCGCACGCGCTTCGGCTGGCGCCGGTTGACGGATGGACGGCTGACCACTCGGATTCGCTCCCTTCTCCTCGCCCTCTCCTTTCATCTCTCTATGTGGCTCTTCTTTTCGAACTAGTCCGCCATCTATCTCTGCATTTGCTGTGGATCCGTTTTCTTCTTCCCGGCTGACTCTTTGAGGCGACGCCGCACTCGCATTAGACTCTCTCTCAGTCGCCTCTACGAAGGCGTTATTCTCCGCTTCCCGGTCATCGTTACCCGTCCCAGCAGCCTCTATCCCTCCCTCCAAGTCGCTCTCAGGCAGAACCCCATCCGTTTGCGTTTCTGGTTCCAGATCAAGAACCCCCGTCTTCGACGCCTCATGTAACGCTGAGTCGTCTTTCGAACTAGGCGTTACAGCCTCCCGCCAGGTTTGTCCCAGCTCCGAGCCGCTCAGCTGCGCGTGCAACGGCACGTGCCTGTTTCCCGTCGTTTCATCGTCTTCTCCCGCTTTTCTAGTTTCCTCGGTCGAACTTTGCGCTCCTTGGAAGAGCTCCATAACCTTCGGCGCGTTCAAAACCTTTGCCTGCGTTTGCATCTGATTCTCCTCACGCAACATTGTGACCTCCGGCTCTCTGGATCGCTCAGGCGCCTGCGTTTCTTCCGGACCAACCTCCTCGTTCTGTTCGGCCTTCACCCAATTCGACCGTTCTTCAGACCAATTTCCGGTTCTTGAGTTGTTGAGCCCGGTTTTTAACGAATCTGCCCGCCCTGGTTCTGTAGGGTCAGTCTCGCTTGTTGACATCGGAGCAGAACTACACCGGGCGTCGCGATTCACCAGGGACACAGCCGAGTGGAGCACGACTGACGTCCCCGGGGCCTTGAACCGGGCAACCGTAAGCTCGCTCTTAGTTTGCATAATAAGAGCAGAAGCGCTCTTCGCCTCTCCACGCACCAGAGCCACCACACTTCTCTTTGTAGCAACCGGTAACAACAGTCCAACCTCTTGCTGCCGTCCCTCCGGCTTGCTCTGCTTTCCTTCTCCTGACTCTTCCACTGTTCTCGAGTTGGAAGGAGGCTTGACTGACTCTAAGCGGAGGGTTTTTCCTTTGACGTTTGATCCTGCCCCTCTTGTTGCGGAACTGGACGGGATCTGCAACCGGGCTTCCCTCAGGTTCTTCTTGTGCTTGACAGACGGGACAGCAGGGGCATGCGTCACCGAATCACGTCGCCCGACCCTTTCTTCATATCCCTTGGCACCCGGGTTCTTGCCTGGACCTTTCTCCTTTCTGATGTGCCTAATTTCAACTTTTCTAGCGTCTGATTCGACCTCCACCTTTTTCTTTTCAATGTGGTGTCCGCTTCCCGCTCCTGGTCCCTCTCTGCCTTTAAGACCGCTGCCACGCGCTGTCTCATCCTCATCTCTTCCTTCGCTGACACTTTTCCGTAGCTGCTCGTTCCGTTTCCTTTCTTTTGATTCCTCATCATCCTCATCTTGCCCTGTTACTCCATTCGTTTCACCCCTCTGCTCACCATCCGTGCGCCTTTCTTCATGCTCCAACTCACCATTCTCTCCTTTCCGCCTGCCCTTGCTGAGCTCGCGGCGCCTTGCTACTTGCTTTCCACAGTCAAGGTGGCACCTGCCAAGGCCCCATGTCTTTGTTCTTCCATCTGCTACCGGGCATGCATTGCTGCCCTTTGGAAGGAGGTCAAAGCTCGTACGACTGCGCGGCGTATAGCATGTCTGAAGAGCGATTGAGCAGGACGAAAGCCTATTGGCTGAAGGATGACATCCCAAAGGCCCCTCCAGCTTTTGAAAGGCGCATGGGACTGCCGCCATGCTTCCTGTGTGAAGGCGGAGTGATGCAAAACGTTGGAGCTTCTTCAAGCTTCGAAAAGTGGCAAACTCTTGTAAAAAGATGATTGAATAGAGGCGCAAACTACAGTACTTTGCACTTGGTGAAAATCTACCCGCTGCTTGTAGACTTCGCTTTCACTCTCGTACGGGCACTCTTTGTAGGAAGAACGAAGCTCGCTTGACAGAGAAGGTAGCCCAAGGTAGCAGCCAAAGATTGGAGTTGTAGCAATTGTGACGTATGACACGGAAAGCTTTGGAACCGACATTGCTTGCTTCGAGAATCTTGCCGTTTGACATTCGAAGAGGCCAGACGTTTGAGGCTGCGCAAACGTTCGGTCTGCGCAAACCTTGTACATAACAGCGCTGATGCGCATTTCGCGGCGCGGGCGGTGTCCGACACTGATTTTGGACCGTCCGGTCGCCGCCAGCTATCGGTCCCCCGGACGTTTCAAACCCCGCTGCAGGGTTTCGCAGATGGAGGCGGCCGCGTCAGAAGCCTGACGCAGACGTCGGTTGCTGCGACAAATCAAGGGCCGGCCATTGCATCCAACATTGATCATTATGGTGCTTGCCGTCTTCATCACAGGATTTGTAATTGCTAAACAGAGTATTCGAAATAATCTGAAGTTCTAGGTGCGCGTAAGCGATTCTGCAGACAAAAGTATCTAAACATTGGCAGGCATTGACTGCAGGGAGGCACGCTGCTGGTCAGCCAGCTGACAGGGCTCCTCATCCTAAACCGGTGCTTCCGTGCACTAGAGTCCAGAATACATGTACAAACACCTTCTGACAGAGAATCCCAAAGCGTTGATTACGATGGAGAGTCTCTCTGCAACCCCATACTGCACAAAGCTGCACTCAACCCTCCAGAGTGTAAATCAATCTGGCAGCTTCTGTATCTCAAACACGCTGAAGTCCTTCAGCCTTCCAGGGCTGGAGGTGTCTGCACTCGGCCCGATAAGCATGCCGCTTAATCCCTACCAAGCGCAGCAGCTTGCACAAGCGTGCTTCCCCGCACCTTTTGGCCGCAGGTGAGAATTAAGTGTCGCGCGCTCAAATTAGCCCTTGACCTCACCAGGTTGCATTTTCTTCCAGTATTTCACGATCCAATCTTTCAAAGTGATCTGTCTCTTTTGGCGTTTTTCTACATCTGCTGGTTTAAATAGAGATCTTCTTGGAAGACCTCCGATTGCCTGCACTTGAGGTGCCATTAAGACGCCTCATTATTGTTGAATTCTCTGTCATGCTTGCTCCAGAAATGGAAGCAGGCTAAAAATTGACCTCAGGTGACGCAGCGACGCAGATTCAACGAACTGTCTCAACAGTAAGCCGCTTCCTTTCCTTCTGTAACAGGGACGCAACCATCTATGACGACAGTGTCCGCAAATGCCGGCAGCTTTCCCCCCACGAATTCAGACTAGCGGGACTGGATTGGGATTCCCAAGTGCGTCAGCTGGCAAATGAAAGGGTCAAGCGGGACCTTGGCCTCCCAGAGACTCTCACAGTGATTCCAAAACTCTACAAGTGCCTCTTATATGAGGCTGGCGACTTTTTTACGAGTCATCGTGACACCGAGAGAGAGGAAGGCATGTTTGCGACCCTGGTCATCGCGCTGCCCTCCGCACACTCTGGAGGTGAGCAGTTGGAATACAAGCCATCCATTACTCCTATCCTCAAAGATCATCTTTATTTTTGTCTTAATTCTGACCTGGCTTTTGGTAAGTTTGCGTCTGATCACGTTGCAAGCTTCGAATGGTACTTGCAGCATCTCATTCCGGCTGCTCACAGATTACAAGGGGACCAATCTGCTCGACGACCTTGATGTGGATTTCGTTTTGCACCTCGAGACAAGCTTCGTACTTCGGACTAGTTTTCGAAGTGAAATGATTCAAGACGCGTGTACTTCTAGGAGAGCTTGTGGTTCGCCACGCCGGCCAGGAGATTGTCGTCGACTTCGGCAGCAGAGACCTGTACCAGCTGCACTACGCCGCCTTCTTCGCAGACTGTCAGCACGAGCTGCGGCCAGTCCGCTCGGGTTACCGCCTGGCGCTTGTCTACAACCTCATCGCTCAGGTATGGCCCTTACAGAGTCACTGACATCAGGAACTTCTTTGTTCGGACGAGATCCGTCCGCACCAATGTAGAAGGTGACGGACTCAGTTTAGCATGTTCACAGAGATTGAAGAAGATCCAGAAATATACCATGAGATCTGCCATGATGCAATATTCAGAACGGGAACCTTGACGGCATGAAAGCCCAAACAGAAGTTTAAGAGGTTGCCTGGGTTTCACGAAATTTCTTGACACCCTGAACTTGGTCTGAACCAACAATTTGACTAAATTCAGTTCAGATTTAATTTCAGATAAACACTCTCCAAAACCGCGACGTCGGAAGCTGATGAGCAATCGGTAAAAGTGTCGCATACGTCGAACTTTATGAAAGACAGAAGAATCTTCGTGACGTGGATATGATGAAAACCGCCAGCACATTCTAGTTCAGGAAGAAAGTTGAAAAATATAAGAGTAATGTATCGGGCGCCTGACTGACAAAGTTAGCGACTACAGCTTTGTCACCTTATTCGTTTCCTTCCGCTCGACCGCATTCCGTTTTGATGTTTGTGGTGTATGCAGGGATCCACGCGCGTCCCGCAGCCTGCCAACAACACGGAAGCGGCTGGAGAGATCGTGAAGGCCACCAAAGCTTGGAGCCAAGAAGAGAGAGGCCCTCAGAAGCTGGTCATCCCTTTGGCACACCAGTACTCGAGCAAGAGCCTGACCTTCGACAGCCTCCGGGGAACGGACATGGCCACCATTGACGTCATCTTGCAGGCAGCCAAGGTGCGGAAGACTCAATGTTTCTTGGCTTTTGGTGAAATGAAAAGCACTCGCTCTGAGAAAATGGGGTTATTATGTTCAAACTTGTCGAACTCCATTTAAATCCATTCGGAGAGAGTAAGTTGTTTCCTTTCAGGGCTGTCTGCTCGCACGCATGTACGTTTCCGCCGCTGGCAATAATGGTCGACTCAACACGTCCCCCGGTGCTCTGCATGACGTCACGCTTTTTCATAGGTCAAATTCTCGCAAATATAGGAAATTGTCTCGTCGATTGACCTAATAATCGGTGTCGGTCTTGTGATTCAGGCCCCGGGTGCACCTCCCTTTCATTGTTACTTGGGAACATTGGAAAAGTACGAGGACGGTTGGAAAGAATCGTACCGGAGGGGCGACGTCACGAGTACGTACACGAAGTTGCGCGACCTGGTGGCTGCTGACGAGGCGGGGCACACGTATGACACGCTCACGTTCAGTCGGAGTGGTGAGGATCGTTCACTCGGGTCTCGTCAATCGGGGCTGAACAGCTTGTGAACACTAGCATCTTGTAGCCTTCAAATTTGGATGGATTCATGTATGTCACGAAAGATTGATACCTTGAGTGCCGTTAGGTCATGGATTTGACTCTAAGTGATCCACAGAACGTTAAAGAGAGCCTCACTAGGCAGCAATGTGGCTATCTTTTCTCTACCTTGTCATCCGCAGCAGACCAACGTTTGACCGACTCTTCTACTTGCAGCTTCGGAAATGCATGCTTGACGCGCTCACCCTCATCCTATTGACATTCCTGCAGAGCTCGTCCCAGAGGAAGCTCTGGACAACCGGGGCTGGGCAAGAAGGTGAAGACACCGGGAACGAGGGAGTGAAAGAGGAGCGCTGGTACCATCAGGCGGCGGTCATCCTCTGGCTGCACACTAATCACTGGGAGGTGATCAGCGCCGACAACGGAGATCAGGCCGTCATGGTGAGCCAGCGGAACACCTGACGGAGCAGGGTCGATCGGAGATGGCAACTCGCTCCCCTATGCATTCATTCCCTCTGCAAATCATTCCAACCTATGAAAGGACATGGTCGTAAAGCTACCATACTTTGACGAGCGTCTGTTATAGACTGGCAACAATGAGAAAGGCAGTGTTTCTTTACCACCCTTTCAATTTTGGTATATTCCAGGAGGCGTGCTCAGTTTCCGACGCGCTGAGAGCTCTTCCGCGCATTCTTGAGGCCGTATGCATGCGCACGGGAACCCTTTCTCCAGGGGAGGCGGGCACCGTCACGGATCTCATCCTCAAGCACGGCCACGTGTCACTCGAGGACGAGATGTCGCGTGCGCTCGAGGCGCTGTGCAAACGTTCGAACCTGCTTTCAGACGTTCATGCCAGAAAGCTGGCCAATCTCGTCATTCAACACGGCACTATGGACCATGCAAAGGTGAGCATCCAAGTTTAGCAACGGCCGTCACGTCGTTCTTCTGGTGTTGTCAGCCCGGCAACGAATAATGGGCACACATTTTAACATTGGGACTCGTGAAGATTACTAAGGACAGCCAAAATGAGATGAAAGCATCAATTGTTGCATCTGCTTGCTAAAAAGTCACCCGAAACAAACGCTCTGTTGGACTGGATTCTGCATCTGAACCTGCCTTCAGCGGCCAAGTCTTTCTGTAACTGTCTTGCTCTTTCGACCGCTGAAACTCTGCTTCTCCGTATAACTTTTTCTTGTCCAATAGAAACAGGTTTCTGAATGCCACGACGTGCACTTACAAAATTCTCGTCCCACAAGTAAGCCTCCAAAACATCAGCAGACGATGCACCAGTTTTACACGAGACACAAACGACGTCCTACGTTCCTTCGCATATCGCAAGCTTCGCCCTAAACGCACTGAACAACTTCGAACGCGGCAACAGTTGATCCTCGTTTTGCTGCTGCTTCCAGACGTTTGTCCATCGCTATCGTGGCCCGCACGCGCCCGCCAAGCCCGTCGTGGCTCTCCTCGGGGCCCACTTCGGCTGGGAACCGCTGCAGCTACAACTGCTCGCCGCTATCAAGCACTCTTTCTCTCCATCCAATCTGGCCCGCGGCTTCTGGCTCATGCTAGACGTAGGGCCACCTTTTGCAAACCAAGAAGGGTCGGCTGAAGGAGAGCCCCGCTGCGGGGCGGCCGCGGGGGCCAGCTCGACCGGGGGCAAAGGGCGCCTGGACGGAGCGGCTGCGGCCGCGAGCGAGCGCGCGCGCGTCGAACTGTGCGCGGACGCCGTCGCCTGGTTGACCGCGTTCGTTTGCGCGCGCCGCCTCGCTGTCGATGACTGGGATAAAGGCGACGATAATCTCCAGTTCGGCCTCAGAGACATAACTGCCACCGGAGCCTATTTAACGGTTCTGGAGCGGTACGGACCCAACAGCTGGGCACTCTTGACGGAGAGAGTAGCGAAAGAATTGGTTGGCGTCTCCCTGACTATGGCGACGGAGCTGCTGTTCAGGATCGCGGTCGACAAATGCGGCGGGTGCCCGGGCGCACGCGCAAACGGCGACCTTTTACCTGGGGCCGTGGCTTTCTGCAAGAGCTTTGCGAACGAGGTGGTCGCCGCGCTTCTGAAAGAACAGGACGCGCCGCCCCCTCCCCCACCCCGCTCGACGCCGTACTATTATGATCCGCTAGACCCCGCGCGTAGCCCTGAGTGGTTCTGCCAACTGCTCCGGTCACTCCACTGCCTCCAAGTTCCCCTGGAAACCATGCAGTCGTTGTTCGCCCACTTCGTCGCCACGCCTCGGCTTCACGACGTAGACACGACAGTCGTTCCGGCAATCGAGCCGCTTTTTGAGTGGTTAGGAGCCGACCGCGCCAAAGCGACCCCCTGGTTTGTGAAGCTCTGCCTGGCGTGCCTGGCCGAGCGGAAGAAGGTCTGTGTGGAGCCTCCCGTGCCGCGGAACTGGGCGGTTCCCGCAACGTGCGGGTGCGACTGCGACAATTGCCAGGAGCTACTAAAACTCTGCCTCCATCCAGCCCGCACGCGACATACTATGACTGTGCCAGAAGAGATGGAGGCCCATGTACGGGACACTGTGCAAAGGTGAGCCAGACACTTTGCGGCCTGAGCAGGCTTCACTGCCAAACTCAAGTTTTGATGTATGTCATTGTGTTTAGATGTATGTCAAGGGTATTCGTATATCAACATTTGTTGTTTTCCGACAGTATTGGATTGGCCTTGATCATTAGAAGCACCTTCTAGAGCTCCTTTGCACGGCGCAGTGCCAGCTATAAAAGTCCAAGCACCCTGGAAAGTGGTTAAAGCCAAGGGGGTTTGCTCTACAGGTACGCAATCCCCGTCTGGACGGAAGGGCGAAAAGGGCGTACCTATCTCGAGTGGATCCAGGTTGGCTCTACAGGCTTCTCCGATGAATGGGATGCGACTCAGGCCGTCCGGTTGCAGGAGGCTTACGCGAAGAACGTAGAAAAGCTAGCGCAAACTGAAAAGGTCCTCAACAAGGTGCTTGGAGAAGATCTGCTTGCCAATTTGAAGGGGAACGTGTGAACCTAAAAACTACTTCGCGTATACGTTCTCGGATGTTCATTCTGCGAAAGAGCTAGACATGCCATGCGCACCGTGGCACGTGTTCCGTGCTTGTAGATCTACGTTGTAATATACCATGCATGTACGTATTATCATTTACGAAGTATACGAAGGAAAAACGTACATGCTCGCCTCTCATTGTCGGAAGACCTGTTTACCAACCCTGGGCCGCAGTTACGTACAATTGAAGTGGATTGACTTTGTAGCCGGCTGTATATCCTTATTGAAAGAGGCCCGCACGCGCGAATACAGTGTAGTGCTGCAGCGGCTGCGTTTGCTCGCGACACCAGATTTCCAAGCGGTCAACCGATGTCGACGTACGTAGGACGCGCCTAGGCGCACATGTGCATGCTTCATACAATTGCACGATCTGAATCCATCCTCGCACATGTACCTACAATGTGGGGCGGCAAGTGCCACTGTGCATATATAACCACTAGGGCCCAATTGCATGCATGCTTTCATATAGGACCGTAATTCAGTAATGAAAGCGTGTGGGCGCGAACATACGTGTACTCGTCGGAAGATCCTGCTGTACAGCCACATACATTCGGAAAGCTCGACATGTCAGATATGAAAGAGGAGTTTGCGGAAGCATCAGCCTCCAGAACTCATATCATTGTGCATGGCTTTTTGATTGCTTCCCCTTTATTGCATGCAGCAAGAAGGGCCGCTGTCAGGGTACAAGGCACCATACTTTCAAAATTTATAGCGGGACCATATGCGGCGCGGAGCATGGGAAGATAATCACAGCGCACTTTTGCTTAGCAATCTGACACACACAGAATCCTTCGTTGCAGACATGGAGACAATTATCCGCAGCAAGCTTTTGAAGTGGCCCGCTTGAACTACAAAACGCCCTCCAAAAAGGCAGTGCGCGAGCATTGATTTAGTCGTCCCACCCCCCCCATGTCACTCCTCGCAGACCTCGGACCCCTTCCCACACCCCGCCCCCAGTTCCTTGACGATAACTCCTTCCCCTTCCCCCGTTGCTCCCCTTATCTACTCGTCCAACTCTTTGTTGATCTCCTTGATCAGCTCTTTTCTATATTCCTCGAACGATCCGTCATACCGCGCCACCTTCCCGTGCTCCACTACCCACACCTCGCTCGTCTCCTCGTCCCCGCACACACGCGAAATGAGCCGCGCGTCGTGGCTCACGAGCACCACTCCCCCACTGAACTCTTCTAGAGCGTCTGCCAAAGCGTCGATGCTCTGCATGTCCAGATGGTTCGTTGGCTCGTCGAACAACAGTCTGCGGAAGGATCGAGACGGTTAAGCAACCAAAAGGGGAGGCGAACCAGATAGATACAAACACTCTGATGAGGAACTTTAGACGCGGGGGCAAGTCAAATAGCAAACTGGCGCAGGCAGAGTTTGGCGGCAAAGGTTTGTGGGCACCAGGAAGGCAAAAGTCAAACGCAAGGGAACTTAAACCTGGCTGAAACAAACGAGGGAGAAGACGGAGGTAAACAGAGAGAACAAGGACCTCGCAGAGGTGTATGGAGAATAAAGAAGCCATATCTGCTTCAGAGTACGGGGTGTGTTAAAAGATATAGGGAGGTAGAGTCCAAGAAAACAAGGTAAACGACTGTACTCCTCTACCGCCAGATCGCAAAGTTACCTTGACTCAAAGCGAAGAGGCTCCTCCAGGCGAAACGACTTTCCCGCCCTTGTTGCTTGCGAACGTGGTTCACCGTTGCCCCTCTTAGACAAAGTGGGACACAATGAAGAGCACGTTGCCCATCGCTTGGCACTACGGTCACTTAGAAACGGACTCGTCTACTTACATGTGCGGCTGCTTGAGCGATATTGAGGTGAACACGACGCGCGCCTTCTGGCCGCCCGACAATTTGATGATTGGCGTGAGGTGGTTGTGGCTGGGCAGCCCGAACTTGCCCAGCTTGGCGCGCATCGCCTCGCTCTTACTGGGGCCCTCCTGGTCAGGGTACAGCCGCAACAGGTACTGCGCGAAGGAAAAGGAGACGTGAGCTATTGGATAGCCGTTAGGCAGTTGATTCTCAAATTAGGTATCAATTTCACGGTCAAGGTGGTGTTTGGGATTGGTTTTGAGCACAAAATGAGGTATTGAGCTTCTGCTTACGAGGCGCCGAACCGGCTTTCGGGGCCCTCTTAAGCAACCAAACGTCGCGAAATTGCACAAGACAGAAATAACGGGGTATGCAGACCGACGTCGCCGACTTTCGTCTGGAAGGGGAGGCCGGAAATGCGTCGAGATAGGAGGACTTTATGCACAAAAGCCTTGAATTAAATCCAACGCACGAGCGCAAAGGTATGGGAGGGGAGGTTGGCGCTTCTGCAAAGCGGCCGATTGCTGCTCCTCTTCACCTGGATAAACAAGCATAAAAAGGCACCAGCAGGGAACCCTCCGCCTGCATGAATCCGAGGACTCAATTCAGCACGTTTGCACAGCCCCGCAGCAATACCACCCCAGAGCCCGAAAAGATTCTCACCTTCTGAAGCACCTTTGAACCCAACAGACAAAACTACACATATGAATTCTGGGAGTCTATAATACTTAGGGCCGCTCCCTCACCTGCACGGGGTTCTCGTCCATTGTCAGCAAGTCCACAAAGTGCTGCGAATACCGCCCGATGCGCAGCTTCTGACTCCGCCTCGTTTCTCCCTCCGTCGGGTCCAGATCCCCGGCCAGCAGGTTCAGCAGCGTCGACTTCCCCGCCCCGTTGGGCCCAATGATCGCCACCCTAGTTCCCATGTCCACCCCCACGTTGACGTCACTCAGCCGGAAGTCCGACCGGTTCGGGTACTCAAAGCTGACGTCAATTATTTGCAGCAGGGGCGGCGTCAGCAGCGTCGGCTCCGGGAAATGGAACACCACCTCGTAGTCTTTCCACTTCCGGGGGGCTTCCACAGGCGCGTCCTCGTCCCCCCCCGCCGCGGCGGCGGCCTTGCCTTTACTCTTTTTCTCCCGCTTTTCCTGCGCCATTTTGGCGCGGTCCTTGACCTTATCCTGGCTGGCCTTGCTGCCGCTCGCTTTGGCGGCCTTAAGCTGCTTGTCGTACTTCTCGTAAAGCTTGTTGTTCTCCGTCCGTTTCTTCTCGTACATGTCGTCGAACGCGTCGAAGTTGCCCCTGCGGAGAGCCCGCGGGGGAGGCGTCAAGACTCGTGCTTCGAGAAGGCAGTGCTACCAAAAGCACATCGTGTGCTCGGAGAGAAATAGCTAAACTCAAGGGGTACAGTGCCGAATCTTCAAGGCTTTATCCTACGTTGAACAACTAACACGACCTGATTTTCAAGCCCAGTGGAACAGTAAGTAAGTATCCAGATAATCTTCACGTCGAAGCAAAGTATCTCCCTAACGAATCAACTATCCAGTCAAGACATGCCAGCGTACCACTCAAGACATTTCCGCCTCTCCAACCTCATGCTGATCATCTTTGTTCCCAAAGATGCTGTTTGACCTTTCCTTTAAACCTAGAATAGGGCCCCAGATAGGTTGCGCAAGTGCCCTCAAACGGGAACTCTGGAGAGCAGGGTTCCAAAACTCTGGCTTTCAGATCTTTTGGGGTTTGCCCCTCACCTGTAGTAGTGCAGCTTGAGATCAAACAGGTGTATAATATCGGTGCAGACGGAGTTGAGGAAGTCGCGGTCGTGAGACACGACCACGAGCGTCTTCTTCCAGCGCATGAGGTACTCCTCGAGCCACAGCACGGCGCGCAGGTCCAAGTGATTAGTAGGCTCGTCCAGGAGAAGCAGCGTGGGCTGGATGAAGAGCGCGCGCGCGAGGGAGATGCGCATGCGCCACCCGCCGCTGAAGGACTTGGTGGCTCGGCCCTGCGATTTTGGGGGAAGAAGAATGTTTGTCAGACGGCGTGGGGTCAAACCTGGAAAGGAAGCGACCATCAGGTTGGATAGTGGTGGCGAGCGTGAATTCCATCTTTGGTCGGACGAAGTGTTCACAAAACATGCAGAGTAGGTTGGAGGTAGCCGTCTAACTTGCTGAAGGTCAAAGTCGAGAGTCTTGTGCGTCACGCCAGAATTTATACTGGAGGCGAAATTGCGCAAAAGGGTTCCTCATCCCCTTCCTCTCCCAAGTGAGAATCTGGTTCTGGAAAAATGCTGAACGGACCTTGATCACACAGCGGGGCGTCTCCGATCAATGGCAACATGAGAACGCGAAGATTGGCGGCCAAGCTTGTTCAACTTGGCCTCAAGAAAGATTGCCACAGATCCCAACGGTTGACCGGCAAAAGTGAGGTGACGGGATTGTTAATGCTAGCTTGAAGAGCAAACAAGCTTTCCATGAATGCTTGCACATATACTCGTAGACCGAGCCTGTAGCCGTAACGTCTCAACAAGAATCATATTCTCACCTCACTAAATCCAAGTGAGTCCTGCTTAGACAAGAAACAAGTTCATCCCTCGTCCTTTACCAAAGTCAAAACGAGCAACGACCGTCCGTTGGTGCCTTGTCAAGGCAGTAAGAGAACGAACGACCATCCGTCTTTTGGCGTCCCGTCAAAGCAGAAAGAAAACGAACGACCGTCCATTGGCGCACCCCGTCGAACCAGAAAGCGTAACGACAGCCTGAAGCCTACCACTTTCCAATTCAACCTCCGCAATAATATTCGACTTGGGAACTTGAGAGCGAAATTGCTGACACTGCCCTTTTCCTTGCTCGTTTTCTGGCCCCCACCTGCATAGCGGAGTCAAAGCCCAGTCCTGCCAGAATCTTGGACGCCCTCGCGTCCGCTGACTCGGCACCAATCTCCTTCATGCGCTCGTAAATCACCGTCAAGCGATCCGCCGCCGCTGCCTCTTCTTCCTCGTCAACATCTTTGCTGTCGTCATCTAACGTCAGGGCCTGTCCAAAACGAGACAGAAGGTCAGCGCACCAAGGAAAAGCTTCATTGACGGTTGGAAACAGCTTCCAACAAGACATCGGTTAGCAACCTCGCGCAGTCAAAGTGGCAAACAATGGAGGGGACCCAAGGTATTACTCGACCCAACGCTCCCGCAAGTCTCGTCTCTGCATGAAAAGCACGTTGAGTACGGTATATAGCACCTGACTACAAAGACTGACAATCGCTGTGTCTGCAGAACAGATTCATTTTGCTCATATCATCTCACCACTCTGCTCCAACTCGTTGCCGCAACTGTGGGGACAATCTGTCAGTTCCCTCTGTCTGAGAACGATTCTTCCCAATTCAGAAGGAAAGGATATGCGGCCTGAGACTCCCTCACCTGTAACCGCTGCTCCTCCTCTCTGAGCGACACAAGCTCCTGGTCTGCCGCCACCACCGCCTCCAACGCACTCTTGTCCTCGCCCACGACCTGACATCAGCATAAGAAATGCAAGGGTCAGAACAAGGGTCGTCCGAGGACCCTGACATATTACATATCCGAGCATCACAAACATAAGCAAGATGCTGCTCGGGCAAAGTAAAGCCTTCATGACATTCCCCTCGTCACTGACTCCGTTTTGCATGCTCTGACATTTTGATTGCTGTTACGACGTGCTACGAACTGCGGACATATCATTCTTCAGAGAATGGTTATGTTGGAAAAGATTTGACACCCCCGAGGAAACATTGATCGACGGAGGTGAAAGTGCCGATCCTTGGGAGAAACAAAGTCCGCCAGTAATTTACAAATCGCACTCATCAAACAACTTGTTTACCACAAGGATACTTGGCCTGAAGTCTTGTTTCAGCCCATCGCACAGGCGGGACACCAAAACTTATCAAATCGAGACCCTGGTTTCAAGAAGCACACGCACACGGATAACCACTGGCAAAACCCTCACCTCCTGTTCCACTAGCAGGACGTCAATATTCTTCGGGATTGGTATTTGTCGCGTGGACACCAGTTTGAGCAGCGTCGTTTTGCCCTTCCCGTTCGGCCCCACGAGGCCGTACCTCCTGCCCGCAACGATGTTCAAGTTCGTGTTCACTAGCAGCTCCTTCCCCTTCGCCGACACCGAAAAGTTCTCCACCTTGACATCCCTACTGTTCGCGTCGACCGCTTCTTGCTCCCCCTCTAGTTGGCTGGACCGCGAAGCCACGGCCACCGAGAAAGCATTCATGTCGTCCCGCAGGGCCTCTTCTTTTATTTTGAGCGCCGCGGCCGCTTGCTGCATCTCTTTCCGTTCCCGCTTCTTGGCTTCGCGGTCTGTCACCGATGTGTCTAGCTCTGCAGCGTCGGACTTTGCGCTCACAGAGACAGGTCTGGACCCGGATGAGCTGGCCTGGAGATAAGTTAGAGAAAGTTTAGTCGAAGGAGAATCCTGTCTTGTGACTGGGGCAAGTCAGCATCACCCGGGGTTGTGCAGTTCAGAGGACATATTCGAAGGCCTTCTGAGAGTATCCGCCCGGGTTAAACAAACGACAATCATAGAAGAAAGTTCCTCTGATACAGGCTTCCTGAGAAAGCTGCCTTTTCAAGCCTGGAAGCAGGTTTCGATGAGCAGAAGACTGCCCACGCAGCCCCGACATGCGCAATGCAACCCTGAGCAATCGGCGACAGGCGCTCTGCTTGTAAAAGTGGGCGGGCCCTTAGCTTGGTTTCCCCCCTCCAATCAGAGATCCAAAGGTGATCACATCACAAGAATATGGATATGTGAAGGGCACAACGAACGACAGAAAGACAAAGGAGAGGGCAGAGCGGCCAAACCAGGCAGCAGATCTAAGACTGATCACAGGCAGGATTTGAGTCGAATCTGATTCAGAACCAAACATATACTTGGTAATGGTCATGCATAAGGAGACGCTTTCAACAAACATCCCATCGCAGCATTGGTGGAAAAACTTACCTTAGCACCGCCAGCTGCTCCGGCTCCTTCTTCCTCTCCCTCTAGTTCCTCCTCATCATCAGACGGCGGAAGATCAATCCCCCCAAGATAGCTATCTCCCGGCTTCGGGCCTCCTTTTCCTTTCAGCTGTGGCTTTGGCTTTGGCTTGGCCTTTGTCTTCTCTTCTGCAGGAGCACTGCTGCTCGACTTTGCAGAAGAACTCTTCCTTGTGTCCCTATCTTTCCTCACGCTGACCTGTGCGGAGGTGAAATCATCAACCGCATCAGCGCCGGAGGGCGACTTCTTGACAGTCTTCTCACGGACCATGGCTGCGACTTTTGCAACGAGCGCGCAATGCTGACCAGATCGACCAAGGCGTTGATTTTTCAAGCAGAAATCCTAAACTTCTACCTCTCATACAAAGTCAAGGACGAGGAAATAGCCCCTCCAGAGTCCAGAAGATCTGCTGGCAATTGAGGCTTGAGGAACTGCTGTCAAGAAGTGTCACTGTCATGAGTGACAAACTCGCAAGTTGCAAGCTGAGCGCTCGCTGTACAAACTTCATGCAAAGCTCAAAATTGATTCTAAATTTTTTGAAGATTGAAGCAGCAGAAGGCAGCGGCAATTCATGCTGACAACGTAAAAACCTGAGCGCCAAATATGATCATAAGCAGCGGTTTCTACACTATACGACGCGACGCTTTTGACGTTTGTTGAACGAATATGGCTGGGCCTCCCAGATTTCGGAGGCTAGGTACTAATAGATACCGAAAATTGGAACTTTCCATTTTGTAGAATTCATTGCAGATTCATCGACACGTGAAATTAATGTACCGTACCCTATGATCGGGCCAGCTTTTGCTGGCTCGTATATGCAGCTGTCCAAATACCATCGGGGCATAAACAAAAGGGACAAACTGGGACAAACGTGTTACATATGTAGTACTAGTATTACCGAGCGGGTCCAAATTTCGAAGAGAGTTCTTGGAGAAGGCGCTTGCTGATTGAATGAACTTGATCAGCTGGTGGCAGCAGGAGGAAGGGGGAGGAAGGGGGAGGAAGCGCGAAGAGCAAGTAGCGAGCAGCTGTCATCAGTGAGCAGCGAGGGGTTCTGCCCAGTCCATGCCTTGGGCACAGCTGCCATTTTATGAGCACTGAGTCAGCATGTCTGCAGCTGCCGCATTGGTGTCAAAGAGTGGCCCAGCCGTATCGCCCAGCAGCAGTGGTGACAGTGACGTTCCGCTTGGCACTCAAGCCCTCCAGGCATCTGCCACCAGCAGTGGGGCGAAGGGCGGATCTAAGCCAGGTCCCAAACCGGGCACCAAGTACAAAACACGGGTGTACAAGGTCAAACCCGGGCCAAAGCCAAGGGACTCTGACGGCAATGTGATAGAGAAGGCGGAGTACGCACATGGGAATTACCACCGCGAGGTCTTGACAAAGGGCACCCTGCCCCCGAAAAGTCCGTCCGTGACGCCGTCCCCCGTTGTGAAGCACACCCCAGCCCCGTCTAAGTTCCCCGATGCAGCGGACTTGGATCATAAGAGGGATACAGACCTGCGGCGGAAGCACGAGGTGGAGCAGGCCAGGCTTGATGGGAAGAAAGTGGCGACCCCGGACGTAAAGCGGCCGTTTTCGAGTGTTGATGATGTCATCGACCGGTTGCTGCCGTACCATGTTCTGGCCAGCTATGACGCAGATGAGCTAGACCTGGAGCAGTGGCAGCGGGACGGTCAGTTGCCCTATGAATGAGTTTCGCTGATTGTCTGCTTGATGGTAGAGTTAAAAATTGGAGTATTTCAGAAGCTGGAAAGCCCCCTTCTGAGCATCGCTGGTAAATGAGAGGCGAAGGTGCCTTCCCAATTCAGCTCGTCAGAAGCGGGGGATAACTAATGCTTTTGTAATTGCTCTTATGTGTGGACACAGAGTGTTATGCAATCCGACTTCTCGTGCATGCAACGCTGGAGATATTCAGCTGTCCAAAGCCCAGTCAAGGTGCAATCAAACCTGACTTGCAATTATCAGTGTTTTGGACTTCCGGAGTTTGACGCTCTGAAATTGAGAAGTGCGCCCGTGAAGCTTAGTGACAATCGGTTCCATCATCGTTAGCCTGTTTCATTCTTTTGGACGCTTCCTGGCTTATATGCCTCCCGGAGACCTTAGGGACCTGGCTACAAGGGAATTATGCCTTGTACATATTGATTATCACAGTGGGTCTGGCAAGGAAAGGACACCTGGATTTGCCACCTGCGATCTTTCAGCTTATCTGACCCTCCGAAAGGCACCTTATGCACACAGTTGACAGACTGTGTATTGCACCAAGACTGGATGAGATTCAAATTTGTTCATCAATCAATCTCACGTCTCAACTGATCGGTCGAATCTTCAACAAGCTCGTCTGTGCCCACCTGCTGAATCCCTTGTTCTTGGAGCAGAGGAATAAAACGAGCACGCTTTGAAACTCGAAGAAACGAGGATTTATGACTATTCTGCAGAGTCGCCGCTGCTGTGCTCGCGCGCACAGGCCTGGAAGGAGCTGCTCATCGGACGCGCCGCCGAGTTCTCCACCCAGATGATGCAGCAGGTCGAGCGCTTCAACCGCGTCGTGCGCCGAAAGCTCGCCGGCCACGTACCAGGGGAAGAAACGCTTTTAGCGGCGAAGCTGTTGATCGAAGATGAACGCGCAAAGCTGGCGGCGGAGAAGAAGCTGCGACAGGAGGAGTTGGACCGGCGGCTCGAGGAGAAGCGGGCAGAGGAGGAGCGGAGGAGGAAGCAGGCAGAGGAAGCGGAGCGGGTTAGGTTAGAGCAAGAGCGTGTTAAGCAGGAGGAGGAGAGGGTCAAGGCCGAAGAGGAGAGGGTTAAGAAGGAGGCGGCTGAGAGGAGAGCGGTCGCTGCGGTTGCGGCAGAGGGGTCAGGGGAGTCGGAGGACGAAGGGGGGGAGTCGCAGTCAGGGGAGAGGGACGGGGAGGGCAACAGTGGGGGTGATGAAGGTGAGCGGTGGTCAAGGGACTCTGTCGTTGTCTTGCACGTCAAGAGCGGACACAGAAAAAAATGGTGCCTTCGCAATGTGCTGGCAAGTCTCAAAGTTTCCTACGATTCGGTGCCCTCAGCTGTGTGGAAGTCCGGTTTTGCAACACCTTGAAATCCTTGCCGTTGCTTTGATTAACATAGAAATCGCATGGCAGTTAGACCTAGTTCTGGATCAAAGCTTCTAGAAAGCCGAACTCCCCAGCACTGATTGCTTCAGATGGAGTATTAGCGACAACTGACGGATCGTATCGTCCTCGCTGTTACACAGCGAATTTAAGAGTTCGGAACAAGATTCTCATCTTTGCTTCTTCGATTGTCTTCCTTCCAGAGGAAAGCGAGGATTCGGATGGCGCCGGCATCCTGATCAATAAACCATCTCATACAACAGATGGTAGTGAGCTTGTAAACTTCAACAATCCTTTCTTGGGGTCCTCTGACTGGACGAAGCAGGGATCAGGTCTGAAAGGAGCGGGATATCCGCTCAAGAGCAGTGATAGTGGCACCCGAACAACATCTGGAATAGATTGATTGTCTCTGCCTTTAGAGTGACGTCGACTTTCGTACGCGCGCATCTGCTGGAACAAGTTGCATACCGATTACCTTGTCGAAAGACGTGTTCTGGAATGTGCTTGAGAACGACATGCATGCTGCCCATGGTGGGCCCGACCGGAAGTGTTCCTCTCTAAGTTCCTTACAGCTGGCGCCGCCTTTTCATTGTTGCCAAGTTTTGCAGCCGATCTCGAGGGATCAGTGCACATACTGCATACTGCAGGGTCATGCGTGATGATAAGAACATGTGATCGAGTTACGTATATTGTGATGTAAAAAGACCGTCATATGTACTAAGTCGATCATGCATGCGTGCTATGGCTTCAGAGCAAACAAATCCTATAGTCCGCCATGTGGCTGGGCTTGTCTTTGCGCTGCTGATACATTGTGGTCTACATATGTGCACCTGAGACGACATTCTAGAATGATCAACTTCGCGCATATATGTGGAAACGTGTAACACGTACTGTAAGTACAGAGTCAATCCTTCGACCTACTCGTTTGCCTACTGGCGGCAGGTTGAAAGCAATTCTCCAAATATTATAGAGCAAGGCAGAACGTAAGTTTGTTATGAACCTGACTCTGCTCGACTTCACAACAAACTGCTCAACACTGCGTTGTAGAAAGTTCAGTAAACTATGTCAGTAGCAACGAACTCTGACTACAAGCCTCACGTCCCACCTCGCTGGATCCTTTATACGGGATGCTACTTTGGAAAACAAACCCCAAACTAGATCAGAACAGCCAGAATTGGTCGTCCTCTAGTACATGGCGGACACCTTCTGCCAGGAGGGGCGGCTGGAGATCCTCTGCCACCAGGCCCACACGTTGGGGTACTTCTTCAAAACAGCCTCGCCGCCCCCCTTGTTAACGTAGTAATCTGCCCAACAAAGACACATGAGTCAAGTCGATGCCAGACGTGTGGCAGTCGAAGGGCACACCCTGACGAGCCGCGTCTACAGATCTACAGCATCAGCAGAAGTACCTCTGAATCCTGGTCAGGCACCTCAAGCGAGCCGAAAGGTGCGCTAAAAAGGGCATTCAAAAAGACCTACCTGTGTAGGCAAGGTGGGAGAGATCAGCGGCGGAGAAGCTGGAGCCATTGAGATACTCCTTGTCGGCCAAGTGAGCGTCGTACACAGCAAGCACCTGCGGAATAAGGCAATGTGTTGAAGGGCCGTGAGTATACACACGAGGCGGTGGGAAGATAAGTTCAGCAAGGAAAGTAGAAGGTAGTCGTTAAGTTCGTTGGTTGAAGAAGCGCGGTTGAAGTCAAGCTATCATTCGACAGCGAACACATTGCGCGAGTCTTCTCAATCTGGAACTGTTTTTGCTTCAGATCGTTTAGACTAGGGGCACAACGGGCTCATCAGCAACTCGCTTTTGTTGGGTTGCTAGCAATGAAAGCCGGCTTGTGAGCGCACGCTAATCGAACACAATCTAAACGGATCACACGGCTGAAACAAGAGGACGAGGCTGTGGATATCGAAGTACTCGCAGCAGGCCCTTGCAGAAGGTTCTGAGTGCCACGAAAGGCAACTTTCTGCCGGAGTAGCCTCACCTTCTCGAGCTTTTCAGTCTCCTGAGCAACAACCTTCTCATCCGTCTGCTGTCCATACATCGGAAGGAAGACCTTCTGTGCGACTATCGTGCTGAGTGGAGGGTTGTAGTTCTGGGCCTCAACCTGCAAACAACTCTCCACGAGTCAGATTATGTCTGACTTTCAATCAGTGGTGTGCGGCTTGAGCTAAGATAAATCACATGCATCAGATCTCCGCCACTGAAGGCTATCAGCTCCCCAACTGCAAAAGCTGTGTGTGATCCTTATGATGCAATCAACGATTATAGATCTTATACAGCAGAGTGCAATCTGGGTTTAGGTCAGATGTCTTGGCATTTAGCACACTGTCTTCGGTCGTCAACCAATGGTTCTGCTGCTTGGTCTACTCGTCTGACTTAGTTTTGGGGCTTGATTGCACTTGCAAAGGCAGCTTTTAGAAGAGCCCAAAGCAGCTTCTCAGTGAAAGCTTGCTCAAGCGTTCTGCTTTGTTTTAAGGTCCCTGAGGCAAAATCATACCTCAACCCAGGTATCAGTGAGGGCCTTCTCAGCAGCAGTCTTGCCCAACAGGTCTGTTCCCTGGCTCGCCCACTTGTTGCTAATGTACCTGTGTGAGACGGTCCCAACTTTGGTACTTCACATTCTCACTTCAGACGAAGAATGGCCCTTTGAAACGAATTCAAAATTGGGAAGTGGATAGGTTGCCACTTCGCTCCTGCTGAGTGTCCAGTTTAAAGGCGATTGGCATACATGTAGTAATCATAGTGTGCTCTGCTATGGCCCTTTGAATTATTATAGCCGTTCCCCTAAGTAAAACCGAGTTGTTCATGCAACCATACACTGGTTGATCTAATTGAAAACAAACAGACACGATGATCCATATGAGACATTGCAATCGGATTTTCCCTCCAAGCCATTCTCCCAGCAATGTCACATACCAAACTACAAGAAAGCAGGCGCACCTGGCGATTGCCCTCGACTCGAAAACCTTCACATCGCCGTCCTCGAAAGCGGGGATCTGGCCAAAAGGCTGCCTGGCCAGGTGGTCAGGCTGCTTGTGCGCTCCCTTGGAGAGGTCCACAGTGACCACCTCATAGGGAACGCTTTTCTGCGAGACAAAAGGTAAGAACAGTAAGCTCTTATTGATAGAACGTCATGCTCACTGGAAAAAAACCCAACGGAGATCAAACAGGATGTGCAAAGAAGATGTATTGTAGAGGGTCATCAAGGAGATTCATCTGTTCCAGCTTGATACTGCTCATTGCTCAAATTATAATGCAAGTCCGGGAGACTCCGCTGACTCGACACACTGGCAAACGTGTGAATGCTCGCGGCAGGTCCTAAATGAACTGATGGTCAGAAAAACCTTTTCTGAAGGTTGAGAGAGTGGACAAGGCAGTTGGGGAGAACCGCTGCCCTACCTCCTCAAGCGTTGTAATCACCCGTCTGGTGCAGGTGCTCATATTCCTGTAATGCACAGAAGAAGGAAAAAAGCGCGTAAGGTTCTAGCACCCTGTCTACATTTGGCAACAACCTAGAAAGGATGGACCAAAGAAGCAATAGCAAGCAACAACTACAATCTGGGGCTGCACTCATAGAGGCAGCCAGCATCATAGATGCATCAGGCATAGCAGGCACTGAGGAAAATCTACATGCGAATAATCAGCCACTTCAGAAGAGGATGGAATCATCAGGACTGGATTGTGCTGTGACATACTGATCAAAACGACTTACATTCCATAGATGGTGACGGGGGCCATCTTGCAAATTGGAGGTAGACTGGCGGCAGAGGCAGGAGCACTGGGTAAGACTAGCGAGTTATGCAGATGAGGAGACGCTTTGTTCTGAGGAAGCAAAGAGAAATGGCTTGTGCAAAGTTGAGCTCGGAGATAAGTGTGAGAGCGATCAGAAAGCGGAAATTAAATACCTAGAGTACGTGTTGGGATGATTGGACCGAGATAGGCCCTAGTGCTGCTGGAACGAACTGCAGGGCGAACTGCAGAAGAAGTTGGATACTTCTGGAAGGCGGCAAAGTGCTCGTTCAGAACATGCTACATTACAACATTGCTGGAGGGGGACGTCATGGAGGTGGAGGTGACTATATGGGGTTCCCTCACAGACCCTCATAACCCGAGCCCCCTAATCCCACTTATTCTGCATCTTATGACTCTTATTGAACGGTAGAGAAGGCCAGGGCCGCCAGATTGAATTAATCTACGGATTAATCACAGGTTCCATTTTCCAACTCTTGTCAAGGGTTTGGTCCAACAGGCAGCTGTGGTTAGCCACTGCAGTTAGCCACTTCAAATTGGAGTTTGGCTCTACGCGCACCAACTTTAACGGTTGTTGCCAGTTGGTACTGCAAGTGCTACTACTACAGCTCTTTGCCTCAAACCTGCCATCGGGTTTCAAATGTTCCGAGCGTGGTTCCTGATCTTAGACCATCCGATCGACGACGAGGAAGTCATCCAGCGGTTCAAGATCAGGAACGACTCGGAACCGTGCTCGGAGAGATCGGAACCCGCTGGCAAGTTTGACGCAAAGAGCTGTACCTACCGTACCTTCATTGCAGAGCTAAAACGCTAGCTTTACATGTAATGCCGCATGCACAGCAACGGCCGCTAGAATCTGCATCTCTACTGGATCCTTATGATGACGCTCAATTGCCACATCTAACACCGGCCAAACGATATTGGACGGCCGCAAATTGTACGTTAAAAGATGCTCGCGTCAGCATATTAGATGCACCGAGTTTACCTCGGCTTCACTCGATTTCACTCGATCCATTTCCTTCTGCTGGTTTCCGACCTGGCACCGGCCACCTCGGAGCCAGCCGGGCCAGTACTCCCCTGGGGCAGGCCGAACCGGACGAGTCAAAGTCTGCCAGGTGATTACCCGGGTAGTAGACTCGGTTCGACTTCGGGAGCAGCCGGGGCCGGGCCGAACGGCGGAAAAGTACGCTGAGCAGTTGCAATGTGGCATGTGCATTATGATGATGGCAGCCGTACATTATTGACGTTGCATGTGCGCGCCACCGGCCCGCCGCGCCGGAGTCGCGGCCGCGGCCCGGCGGCCACCGTCAAGCTTGAAAATCTGATTTTGAGTGTCTTGAGTCCGCAACAAGAAGCTTCGCCAAACTAGTTGTCAACATACTCAAGTTCAGGTCTGATGGCTTCTCTGAGTCTACGACTCTGATGCCTGCTTGTCAGCAGAAACGAGCGCCATGGCCAAAGCGCAGCGAGACGTGGTGGAGATGGACATCGAAGAAGTGATGGGCCTCATCGCACCTCAGAAGAAGCCAGCTGTACCAAGTCAGGCTGCCGTTCCGGCAAGCTTGCATTCGCCGTCAGATTCTACCCGGAGAAATCAGCAGACTCCGACCGGTGGAGCTCCTCCATCTCATCGTGGCGAGGGTTCGGTACCCTTTGCAGGCCCAGGGGGGACAAGTACTCAGTCATATTCGGAAACAGGCACCAAAGAAATGCAGAGCAACGCAATGGAGGAGGACGATCTGTACGATCCTTTGGCAGGGGATGAGTCGCCGTCTCCTTCAGTAAAGCAGGAACTATTTGAGCAGGCAAAGCAATTGGGGGCCGCAAGTGAGGGTCTATCGGTTTCAAAAGGAACGTCTGATGATGGTACTTTACAAAAGGTGGTGCCACTTCCAGGGGTCAAAGAATCTGCAGAACAAGCAAGCGAGGCGTCTCAATCAGGAAAAGACCATCTTGGTGCAATGCAGCGCGCTCGAAATCCTCCAAAAGCGGCGCCCTTAGCAGGTTTGTTGGAACAGTACGATGACGAAGAGAGCGAGGGGGAGGAAGAGGGTGGTGTAAGCATAGAGGAGGGGGGAAGGGGCCCTACGGTAGAGAGAGGAGATGCGAAACGAGGGACGAAGAGCATGGAGCTCAAAGAAGCATTGCAGTTTGTCTCAGAAGTGAGGGAGCCGCCTCTGGATGACATGCAGGAGGCGGGTGTGGAAAGCAGAGAAGGCGGAGAGGAGGCTGCAGAGGAGAGAATGGAGACGCAGGCAGACATGCGCGGTGGCAAAGAGAGGGCTGAGAGAGGTGGTTTAGAGAGGGACGAAAATTTGGATTCAGGGAGGCAGAGAGACGGCGGAGAGGCGAGCACTAGGCATTCTGAGCATGGCGAGAGATACGGTCCCAAGGATCGTGGGGGCGGCCAGGACCGACGGCGCGACAATTGGCGGGGCAGCGAGAGGTCGAGGCACCCGGATGACCCCAGGAGTGAGAGGGATCCCCCACGGGATGTTAGATTCAGTGAGCCAAGAGGTCACCGGCAGAGCAGGGGCCACTTTGAGAGAGCTGAAGACAACGCCCGTGGTGGAAGATTCGGCGGAGAACGGGACCGGGGTGATCGAAGAAGAGACGATGCTTCGTTCCGGGGGGGAAACAAAGATATGCGGGACCGGGGCAGAGAATCGGAGTTCAGAAATGGGCCGAGGACGGAGCGAAGAGGGGAGGGTCGGGACCGAGAGCCTCCGAGCAGGCACAGCGACTCTCGACACAGGATGCGTCCACGATCTCCGGCGATTGACGACCGCCGGGAAAAGCCTCCTGCGGGGCCTAGTCACAAGCCCCCCCGGAAAGCTGACTCTCGACCCGATTCCAAACCCGCTGCCAAAGCAGACCAAAAGCACGGTCCAGCCGCCAAGGAAGGCAGCACGGGCGCCGATGTGGATCTGAGTGCGGCAGTGGCAGCGGCTGCGGCGGCGGCGGCGAAAAGTGCGAAATTGGCGGCCAGCAGGGCGCCCCCCCCTCCGGCCGATCCTGCGGAGGCTGCCGCGAAAGCGGCAGAGATGGGTGAGCATTTCATAACTGGGCATGCTCAAAAGCACTGTCTCATCGTGCTTGCTTAGACTCATTTCCGATTTTGACCCTGTAAATGTTACCGATGCGCACGGCAGTTCGATTGTCCTCCACGGTAGTCCATGGGGAGACCTTTTCCAATGAAATTCGGGATTGTAGTGCCCATCGACACGACCACCCACCTTTTGCGGCAACTCCATCATGGTTTGAGTTGACTGATATGTTCCCTTTCTGCCTACGATTGCTGTCACTCACAGTCTGGTTCTATATTGTGTCGCACTCTCAACCCGCTGGCTTGTGTCAAGATTCGATGCTCATACAAAGCACTTTGCCGCCAGGAAAAAAGTGATAGTTGATTGCAGTCTGTGGATCGATTTCGTTTGTGACCAAGTTTTCTCCCTTGCATTCTCAAGCTCCATCCATCAGGATGACGCTGCACGCAGCTTCCAAAGTTGACCTCGATCGTTATACGATCGTTGTCCAATCGTGGTCCGAACAAGACGGATCTGGTCAGCGGAATGTAAAGGCGGGTTCCATGAACGCCTAGGTCCACAAGCATCGACTACTCAGAAAGTGCTTGATGCACCTTCTGCTTTTTTCGTGCAGTGAACAAGACGCTGATGATCCAGAACGCAGTGCTACAGCAGAAACGGAAGATGCTCTGGGGCGATAAGGCAGCAACAACCGAAGAGGTGCGGTTACAGGCTATCTTGTCATTTGTATTGCCCTCTCCATATTTGCCCCGCTGTAGATTTGCACGTTCACCAGAGAGGCTGGATTCGGTTGTGCAACTTGCTGACAACATGGTTGACATGCAAAGCTTTATGTCTGCTTGTCAATTCGGCGGTCTCAATGTACCATATCAGGACCCGTCTAAATCATTTCAAGACTGCTGTCAGCAAGATGCTGAAGGCCTCTCTTGGTACGCTTTTCAATTGGTGTCTGTGGTAGGCCCAAGAGAGCAAGGATTGTGTTGGAAACTCTGGTCGCTTGTTGAATAATTGTGTCTCGGAGGGCAGCCGGACCTGGTCTAGTGTGCAATACTGTTTCGCACTGCATGCTAATATAATGCTTGGAGATTTGTTCGTACTTGAGACTTCAGGTTGGGGATATGGGCCCAAAACGCAGGGGTATTTTGTCATAAACCCAAAGCCGAAACCTTGACCGCAACTTCCACTATGCAGGCGGCCACAGGAGGGACCAATCGGTGGGACGCTGTGGCAGTGGGCGACACCGAGCGTACGCACAAGTTCCAGAAGCTCATGGTAAGAGAAACGGCGCCGTTTTTTCGCTGTGAGTGTCTTTCTCAAAGCTTGCTTTTGAATAAATATCCAACATGGATAAGCTTCCGCACATTTGACTCTTAAATGCATTTCCCTGAGAGACGACTCGGCAAGAGCCGATGGGCGGTTATAAAAGCGAATGCGACGATTTCGCAAGCTTCGCGCATGAAGTAGTCCTCCAAGTCGTTTGCATCGAGGATCTTCAATCTGGCGTGTGTCGTTCACCTTACGACGCCAACATTTGTCTTTAGAAAGGAGGACATCTGCGCTGGTCGAGCTCCAAAGCCGCCTGGCTGATTATAACAGTTGGGAAGTGTAGTTGGGTCTGGCCGGACACTTGGCAATCATCTAGATCGATTCCGTTTTAGGAGTCATCCGTTTTATCTAGTAAGCGTTTGTCTGTCCGGTGCTTGGTTATGAAGCACCTCGTTCAAACCTCTTCCCATTCTGCTCGCTGCCTGTACTTGCAGCCGACGTTTCTCATGGCATTGCTCACCGTGATCCTGTTTGATATCCGCCCAATAATGAGGCACCAACGTCTAACCCTTGCGTCTGCGTCCTTCCGTTACTCCTCCGTTGCTCCCACGACTGACACCCTCTCAGTTTCTGAGTGTCCTCCCGCTGGCGACGCATACAGGGCCTCAAGGGCGCAGCTCCGCTATCCCCGCCGAAAACGGGGGAGGTGCCAGCTGTCGTGCCAGCTGTCATGACCGCGGAGAAGCAGCAGCAAGTGCAAGCGGAGCTAGAGCGACAGTACGCAGCGGGGCTGAGGCGAAGGGACGGGCGCACCGTTGGGCTCGGCTTGTAGAAGCCTGGTGATAAACTGCGGGAGCTTGATGCGGTTAGTTGTGACGGAAAGTGGAAGAGAGGCGGTGTGTGGATAAGATCATGCATGTCCAGTCAAGCCATACTTGTTAGTCAAAGCAGCTTGCGGTATACATGTAGAATCGAACGAGATGGACCAAGGGCCCGTGATAGCAAGAGCTTCCATTCAGTTGAAGAGAAAGAGGAGGATCTCTTTCAAGTCAGATAAGGTCGATCAGCTAAAACAAAGCATCTGGGATCTGTATCGTGGTCAAGCACCAAGTACTGCTGCGGTAATTGTACCTTCATTGCATGTTACACGCGAGAAAATATCTTTCAATTTCTGTGCTACACACTATGCGAGCGCGGGCCGGGGCATTATTATGCGCGGGCTATAGATGCACGCTCTGTCACTCAGTGTCACGTTGCATGTATATGCGGGCTGGATATTTCGGGTCTAAGCTCGGCGTGAACGGTGATATGCTTGCAAGCGATTATACCTGACTGACTAGACATTATGACTATAGCAATGGTCATGATCTGTGACAGTTCGCTTGTCCAGGCTGCTAGCTTGACTGCATGGCCCAGCATGCCGCGCCGGAATTTGCTTGCTTCAGAGACTAAGATCACTCATGCATGCGGGCTACACAATTCACGTGCGTGTATCGATTGCCACGTTCTGGTGCAGTGAGTGCTTCATCCCGAGCTTCTATCTACGTTTACTAATATCAAGTTATGTACACGATTGCGGGGTCTGTACAGCTAGTCCTAAAATGAGGCTATCCCAGAGTCCAACGAGAATGAAGTGACCTTGCTTCTGCTGTCAAGCAGGCCATATCTGACTCTGATTGTGTAACGAGTTTTAAAACCCTTGTCTGGCTAAATCTGCATTACAACACTATAAGGTCAGAGAGAGCATGCCTGGGCTGGTATCCAAATTCCACCCTCACATGCTTCGTTCGTCGTCGCACAGTGTGCGAGTAAGAGAGGCAGACCCTCTGCATCGGCGGCCTATTATGCCCCCAAGGGCAGAACCCCGGAGAATAGCTCTTACCAACCATGACCAGCTGATCATACGAGAAGCTTCCGGTCCTTCTTCATACGTGACGTCGAACCAGTACGGCTCCTCCTCAACACGTCCCTAAAGCTCAGACAAGGAGATATCCAAGCACTTGACAAGGAACTCTGCAAGACAGAGATACACCAGGGAAAGTCAACAAGGATATGGAAGACTACTTGTGATCAAGAATGACTGGAGAGTCGTCCTCGCAAATATACTTCTGTATTGAAACTCTAGATTTTATTGCAGAAAAGCACCTGATTGAAGCTTTCTTCAGGCGGGAAATCGGCAATCAAGAACAGGACGTAAATGAAAGGCGAGCCTTAGAAGACCGTTGGTGATGAGAACACCGTTAGTAATATGTTATAAACACCAGCGAAGCGGATTTCCAAGCCGTTACTTCAATCAGGCAGATAGTCAGAGGACACGATAGGTAGCTTCTGACGACCATATAACAGTGCTGCAAAGCAGCGGTAGTGCACGATGCGGCTTCACGAGTAGCTTGCGTGATCTTGCCTGCGTCGTCCTTCGTGAAGCACATTGGAGGCTTGATCCGGAAGACGTTGCCTCGGAGCCCGCCCTTGCCCAACAGAACGCCCAAATCTGCGAAACGGAGAGAGCGGACGAATGTAACCTCGAGGAAAATGCGGTTTTCAGGAAGCATGCCCCGTAAGAACTCAGAATTCTCTTTCGACAAATGTCGAGCTAGAGGAAGTAGAAGAGGCTAAGAGGCAGCACAGAGTAAAAACGGGGTCCCTCAATCTTCCTCGATCTTTGCGAAATAACAGGTTGTCAAAGCGCAGGAGCGAGTCCGGTGGGCTCAACCAGCTTTCTGTTGGCTACCGGCCCGCGCGAAGGGTCTAAGCATACTGAAGCTTCAGTGCGAGCTGTCGAATTGGAAAGCGATGACCAGGATGACAGAATGCTTATGGCGGTGCTAATGCCCGCTGTCCAGGTGTAACAACGGATTGGTCAAGCAGAGCGCCCCGCTACCTATGGTCAACCAGACACAGCGGGAACGGATGAGCAAGGCACGGAAACCCGTCCCGACCTTCCTCGTTGGTCTGGACAAGGCTCTCGGCGCGCAAGCAACATAGGCGTGAAACCTTCCCTTGTGGTCATTGAAAGGGTGGATGGGTAGTTTGCATATTCGCTACATCTCTCCATGTTGGCGATATCACCGAAGAAGTCAGGTGCTTTCACAGCCGTTCTGGTAACATAGAAAACAAGCCGGCGCTCACCCTTCATTTTCTCGAACACCTGGAGGGTCTCCGGAGTCGCCGGCGCCTTCGTCTTTCTGTCCGTCACCAGCTCCACGCCCAACATGAGGCCGCGGCCGCGAACATCGCCAATGACTGGAGGACACGTGGCAAAAGGGTGTAACTTGGGCAGGAGAAAGGAGCATCGAAGCTATTTGGCCCACCCAATCTTTAACACTACGGTGGAAGGACTCCCTAATATTCCTTGAAGGCGAATCGAACCGACAGGCTAAGGGCATTGGAGGGACATTTGTGAGCAACCAAACTTGGGAGAGGAGTATGAGCACTTAAAACACGAAGTGGATTGTAAGCGGAAGCCCCACTCGACGGTGGTTGGCCCTCAAGTCGTTCTTAGGATAGAACCTGAAAAGTATCGACGGTGTACAAGCTTTGAGCCACCTCCTGACCTTTTCGAGCGTAAAGTGCGCAAGACAAACAGCTCGCGAACGGATGATGCGAGAAATCCTTCATATTACGAGTACTTGTCAGACTCTCCCTCACCGTCGTGCTTCTCCTGCAGTTTCCTGAACTCCGTCAGCAGGTAGTCGCCCACGGCTTTACAGTGCTCCTGCAGAGGGAACGAGATGAGCATCAGAAAGTGGTCACAGCGCGGAAACATAGATGTCATGGGCTATGACAAGGCGATCGTAGTACGAGTCCGAAACGGCGGCTTGAGAGAAGGACCCTATGACACCTTGACGACTAGCTCTTTCCCGAATCTGCAAACATGATGAGCTATGACGAGGGACTGGCCATGAAGATAGAGGCAAACGGCCGTTCGTATCGGTCGGCGCCAAATTGGAGTGGCCTTTCAAATTTCCAATCACGTATACTGCTTCGTTACCTCAGAAATCTCTTTCTACACAGAATTATGGAACATCAAAGAGCAATTGAAGCGAAGGAAGGAGCAATTCGGGCTCTAACAGCGACGATATTCTGCATGTGACCGGGAGTCGAGAGGAAACGGATGGAAGAGCGGGATTCCGAGAGAGAACGAAATTCGGCGGAAATGAGCTTTACGAAGAGGCCACGCACCTGGCGCTTTTCCTGGTCGAGCACTCGCAGCACGGCCTGCCCCGCGGCGGACACGACGGGGTTGCCGCCGTACGTGTTGAAGTGGATGCGCGAGGTCAGGACCTGCGCGACCTCGGGGGTGGTCACGACGGCCGCCAGCGGTAGCCCATTTCCGATACCCTGCAAAGCAGTTGCGGATACTAGGGTTTGTTATTCCTCACTTTTTGGAGCTGTTCAAGGAACAAGATACTGACTGGGCTGTGCTCCGTGCCACATGCGCTTTGAAAATCAGAGCGGAAGTGACACACAGTAGCGGGAGGACTTGAATCGTCTCCGTTCGGCATCACTCTGTCGACAGATGAGTTGCACTACCGTTAAGACAAAACGACGAAAAGTTGCTGTAAGGGGTCAGACAGATGCAAAAGCTGTAAGCAGGGACAGATGAGCTCTAATAAGACCTCATACGTCGTGCTCTCTATATAAAGACCAGAATGTACGAAAGCAGTCGTGATTTCTGAAGTTTCAGCGACGAGAAAGCCAGCGTCTGCACCGCTCTGGGTAAACCGAAGCGTTCGTCACCAGGCTATACAATCTACTACTAGACACTACTAGAAAATTCGCAGATTTGAATGTTGATGCAAAGAGCAGGGACAGCGTAGAAAGGCGCCGTGACAGAAGCTCAGCTAGCATGGTACAGCTTAAGCAGTCCGACCCAGATGCTTCTAGGTGGAACGCAGTTTCAACGTACACCACATGCGCTCGTACCTTGGCCATGGTTACGATGTCCGGCGTGACGCCCTGGTTCTGGAAGCCCCAGTAGTGCGTCCCCGTCCGCCCAAACCCGGTCTGAACTTCATCGGCTATGCACAGCCCGCCAGCATCTCTTATGTGCTTGTACACCGCAGGGAGATAACCGTCTGCCAGAGGAACAGCCCCGCCGACTCCCTGCGGAAGAAAACATCGTTCCGTTTAATATGCAAAGTCGGGTGAATTGCTCAGGAATACTGACGTCGTTGACATAGGCTAGAGAAACGAGAGCAAGCTTGTTTTTCCGCACTGACAAGCGCACAGCTCGGCTGCCCTCCCAACTGTTATACTTAAGAGGGCTGCTGTAAACTCCTGCAGGAGACTGGCCCAGTTTTTCCGAGTGGGTCCACTAGAAACACGTAACAACGTCCTCAATTGTACGAACGGGCAATCTAGTGAACAGCACGAGTAGGGAGCTGAAACAACCACGTTCCAGGTACAGAGCATCCATCCGTGAGTAGCTTTCGCAATCCACATGTCCGTGACCTTTAAGGGTCTTCAAAAACTCTGAAGCAGGGCCTTTACAGACCTGTATCGTCTCTGCAAAGAAGCCCGCAACACGCCCGCTCGTGGCCGTCTGGATGAGGTCCTGAACGTCCTCCGCATAGCGTGCCCCGTCGTTTCCAAACGCGCCTTTGTACGGGTCTGGATTCAGGGCGTGATGCACACCAAAGCCCTGCGATTGATAATTGTACAGATGTCAACCATATGCCGCATATTCTCTGCCAAAAACCACCCTTCTGATGAAGGAAAGAGAGAAGCAAAATCAGCTGGAGACCAAGAGATTGAGCTGGAACGAAGTGCTGGCCAGCAATTAGCCGGCTTTTCCCTGGATGATTTGGAGTCGATCCGACAGCGCTTTTCCCTGGATAATTTGGAGTCGAACTCAGCTGACCAATGATGACGTGTACGGTTGCCGCTTTGGAGCCAACTGCTCGATCACGTTGAGGAAACACAGGGAAAAGCAGCCACTGCAAATGTGTCTTCTGAGATGCATACTATACGCTGAAACAAGCCCGGTCTCACCTGTGCTGTGTTGTACTTCCATGTGTGGTGCGCGGTCAGGCCCATGGTGGCGGGACTCATGCCATGATAGGCATTGCGGAGGGCAATGATGTCATAGTTGCCGGTGTAGAGCCGGGCCATAGTCATGGCCATGTCATTGGCTTCAGACCCAGAATTGACAAAGTAGCACACCTGCAAATAAGGGGTTTGCAGTCTCTGTTAGGTTGGCTCCTTCAACTAGACTCACGAAGCAGCAGAGCAGGACACTGAGCTCGATGAACGAATATGAGCGTGCAAGGGAACGATGCGCTACGAGGTGAATACCAGTTTGGCTGGGCCACACCTTGGCTTTAAAGTAGCACACTTGCCAGCAGAAGTTTGAACTTGACACAATGTGGGACAGCAACAAACGAGTGGAATGCAAGGAATGGGCAAGTGTAAAAGCAACTCAAGACCGGCGCATGAGTAATGAGTGAGGATCTGGTTTGAAGAAACATCCTTGAGGGTCCTCTAAGAGCCCCACATTCACCTCAAATTCAGTCTGGTTCAAGCTTCACAAGCCAGCGGATTTTGTGTTTGAGGTGACAGATTATCCGGCGCCCCACCTTCAGATTGCCAGGCATCTTGGCAGCAAGCGCCTCGGCATAGTCTGCAATCTGGTGGTTCAAATAGATGGTGGTAGTGTGCTGCAGCAGCTCATTCTGCCGCCTGACTGCCTCCACAATCTCGGGGTGGCAGTGCCCAGCGCTGACGGTTACGATCCCCGCAAAGGCGTCAAGATAGCGACGGCCGGACTCGTCGAAGAGGTATTGCATCTTGCCTTCTACAATGTTGAGCTGCGACAGAGAGGGGTCAAAGTTTGTTATGCGTGTCAACCCTGGGCAAGTAGGAGGCGACGAAGCTGGGCCCAATAAAAGAAGCCAGGGATCCGAATAGAATCAAGTCTGTCCAAGCAAGGGTGAAGGGTTATTTCAACAGGTCAGAGCGGTGAAAAGCAAGAGGATTTCAGCACTGAAAAGTGGGGAGCTAGAGAGATGTGTCCTCAAGCACCGCGTTACTCCAGATCACCGTACCGGTTGCTTGTAGTATAGAAACATGGCTGGGTTGAGGAACTTCTTCCGTTTGTCTAAGACCTCAGCCAGCTTGGGACCTGAATACGGCTTTGGCTTGTAGTCAAAGTCGGGCATCTTTGGCGGAGCAGGTTCATCGCTGGAAACCTCAGCAGCCAGCGACTTGTGCCTAAGCTGGAGGCCACTTGCAGGTCCTCCTGCAAACATACGACGATTGATTGTGTTTTTTGAGGGGTCAATTCTAGACCTAGCAGGAATTTTGCAAGCACAAAGACTCTGATTCTGATGAAGCCTATGGTCAAGAATTGTCATCTTTAGCTAGTCATGAAGATGTCAAAAGAGCTGAAGATCAATTAGAACCCAGTCTGCAGGTCCCAGTTCAGAGCAGGAGCAAGCAGACTTACCTGATTGCAAAACCCTGAGCTGTCCCACGCTGCCCATAAGATTCCGAGCACATTGGTGCAATCTTAGCAAAGCCATCTTTGCTGCGGTTTGTCAATGCAGCGCCGCTCTGTTTTCTCAAGATGAAATTGAAACAGGCACCTCAGATACCCTCCCAGCACGCGGCCGTTACATGCATCTAACACAAGACTCCGAAATGCTGAAACCTCGGCTTTAGACGCAGCAAACAGCCACCAAGGCTAAGCAGATCGCTCCTGCATCTACTAGCTCATCCTTGTACTAGCTAGTAGGTATGATTGACCTTGAGAACCTGGACTTTTCTTCCTTCTAAGTTCTAGGACTATGCAGCAGCTACAGAGGGCACCTGTGACCTAGCCTGGGTCACCTATGACTAGTATGAGTCAGATCACGCGAGACGATTCGACGAACGGGTGCCCACGTGTTCCACGTGACCAAGACGAGTGCGCACACCGTAGAACAGTGAAACTGCATGATACCTAGTTCAGTAGCGCGCCTGCCGCGCACCAGCGTGATCACCCACGAGCGCGAGCGGCTGCTACTAAGTTCGAGCAGTACAGAGCCCTGACTCCTGAGTGTGCAATCAGCATTGACAGCACGAGTCCGAGGGCCCGCATCCGAGCAGCAGAATATAGCTCGACTTTGACACCTTTTCAACTTTATTGCTCTGATCTGACGCCAGCTCGGGTTCAACCGCATGCAACAACGAGGAAAAGAATTGAGCTGAGGCTGGAATACAACCACTCATGTTGCAAAACACGCGCAGGGATGGCTGTATATTGACTCTGAGAGATCTCGTGAAGGATGAAAAGCTCCCCCACGGATGCGAAGCCAGGCGTTCATGCAGTACTGTTATAAAGAATCTATGCCATTCATTCTCGGGCTCACTTCATCCATAATATCATTCGACTGAATTGAATGGCTAGCCTGATGCGTTCCGTCCATGCGACTGGGAGCTTTGGACTCGGACATGCGTATCCGCGAAGTGTGCACAAAGTGTGGCGTCGCAGCACCGGCATCAAGCTAGCCACGATGATGCACCGGCCTCCAATAAGTCGATGTAACATGCTTATTGAGTGTCATGTAAACAGATCGACTTGCATGCCAATGCCTGTATAATATGCTCTATGCACGAGGTGACTCGATTCCAACATCCGACGGTTCTCTCTCGAAGTTGCTCTTCGAAGGTATAAAAGGGAGTGACAGTATTCACTTCAAACGGAAAGTGCTTCAAATGAAGGAAGCCCGATACCAGACACGTGAAGGATGCAGTAGCCAAAGACACAAAAACTTAGCTAAGAGGGCTTGCAATGCAGACGCTGAATGCATGTAGCATATCTCTATCACCTGCAATTACGAATTCGACACATCACACATCATGAGTTCCAGTGGGTGTCGTCACAGCTCAAGTTAGATACATGCTAGCAACGATATTTCAAATCTTGCAGGAACCAATATTAAAATCGTAACTTAAGGGCAGAGAGTCCCCAAAACAACACAAGGACCTGCGGTTTCTCGAATGCAGCTGGCCGACGCACAAACCGGAACCGTATCTTGCATCAATTTTGATTCTTCGTGCGAAGTCAGAGCTGGGATTGCTAGGTCCTTATGTAACTTGTAAGTCAAATAGTCTCGACGGCTTAAAGTTGTAGGGGACACACTTACGCAGCTATATGCTGATGAAACCGACTATTCTTGAGAGGTCGAATAGCAGGGCAATCGAAACTTACTCAATCCAAAGCATATGGGTCCAGATGATCCTCGCCAAACAAGCCTTCACCGTTCGAGATGCCCGAGGGAGCCGGCTTCTGACGCTGCAATCACAGAGATAGTATGAACGTTCGACAATTTTGACGCTATGGAAGATCGTGTACAGTAGTTTGCTCTTTCATTCGGACACGTCCAACGTTGCTTGGCCGCCAACAAGCTATGCCAAACATGAACTCACCGATGCTGCACCATACTGGGTTCGCTTCCAGGAGCTAGACTGGATTCTGGTCTGAGTACCTCCGCTGAATGTTCCCTGCGGCAGGAAGCATGCGTTCAGGAAAACAAGCCGCTGCTCTCCGAAGAAGATTTCTAAAACACTCTGGTGCCGAAGCCACTCGAACTTCTATATTAGTGCCAAACCTGAAGGGCCAGGGTGCATGGGCATAGCTGACTTTACGGTGTGTGGACCGAGTCCTACCCCGAAGGTGACGCTTTTGGTCTTCTTGTGGTTAGTGACGGTCTGATTCTGTCTCGACGTCGCGACTTCAACCTCGTGCCTCCGTATCTGTACAGAAGGAGCGGAGATCAGACCCCACAATTCGATCAATATCGAGTGGAACGTTGAGCAGCAAAGGCATCTGATCCTGACCCCTCGGCACCGCATTATCGGCTAGCTTTCTTCCTGCTAATCGTGAGACCATGTTTTTGTTCACCTTCTGAACCGTTGTGGCGGCTGGATTGAAGATCTCCTCCTCGTCTTCGTCGCTTTCTGGCTGTGTGCGTGTTTGCCTTGGGCGCTTCTTCTGCCGGAAGACAACGACGTGAGGGAGTTGCATTCACCTTTTGAGCATCATATTCTCTAACAGTCTCCTTTTATCTGTGAATGCTACAAGATTTGAGCATGTCCTTAATCACACGATTCTGAAGCAATTTCATACAAATTGCTTGAATCTCGAGGCCAAGTAATCTGCTTGTTGCTCCAAAAAGGGTTCAAATACGTGAAATAGGGCTACGACAGAAGCTCGAACCTGCTTGACGTTCTTCTGGTCAATGATAACTGTGGGTTCTTCAGGCTCTCTCTCTGCTGTGCGCCTTGATAAGCCGCGATTCCTTGGCCCCGCGTGACGTTTGTTCGCCTGCGAAAAGACCCGGACGCAGGTTGGCTTCCTGCTTCTCAGACATTCTAACGTCTTTGCATTCAAGGGCTTCACGTTTACAGCTCAATTAGATTCTTTGTTTCTATATGAGGACAAATTACCTTGTCTTCGCCAGCTTTACCTTGTCTTTGACCACGTTGGGTGCCGCCTCTTTTATCTCCTGATCCGTCGCGGTCAAATCCAGGAGCTTGACCTCCTCGGCTGCAATTGCTTCGGCGCTCTGAAAGGAGGAGGGTCAAACTGTTAATACGATGGATCCAAGTTGCTGAGTCCAAGTGTAGAATCATAAGAGGGAATGGTCATAAATGTCAATCGCTTGTCGACCATCAGGATAATGCTTCAGGCCCCAAAACCACGACTCAGGCTTACTTGAGGGTCCTTCGTTTCTTCTCGATCAACTTTGCTTCGAGTCAGCGACTTCGCCTCCGCAACCTGCAAGCAAAGTTTTAATTTCAAAGTGAAGACATCCAAACAGCACTCACCATCGACAAGCAGTCGACAGTTTGTAGAACTGCCAAGTGAACGAAATAACGAGAGTATTAGCAAGGTCGTGTCTTCAAGGAGATTGAAGTAATGCGGAGCTGAGGGTGCATGCGAACCTCTTTTGCCTGCAGGTCATTCTGCAGTTGCTTCACCTCCTTCTCATGATTGAGCTTGAGGTTTTCCAGGTCTTGATGAGCTCTTTCAACCTCGCCTTGGGCCTGCATGATGGTAGAAGACTGTAAGCATCGAGGGATTGGTCGACATATATAAGGAATTGCATCCGTTGTTGCATCCGCGTGAAGAAGCAATTGCCTTGCGTCGTTGAACTCAATTACCTTGCGTAGCTGGGCTTTAATCTCCTGGGTAGCCATGCTGATTGCTTCCTCCTGTTGCCGTTGCACTCCCGTCTGGATCTTCTTTTCCGCCTTTGGTTTTTCCTGCAAAAAGTCATTTCAGGTAGCCGACAGAAGTCCTAAGCTGTTATAATATATATGCATGGAGGGAAGAAAAAGCAAGGAGTCGAAACAAGTCAAATAAAGATAATCAGGACGTCGAGACAGATGCCGAAAACGATCCCACCTTGCCCACAGCATCTTTCAGCTGAGCTTCACTGTTGAGGGCATCTTCAAGCTCTGCTTGCTTGACCTTCAACAAGCTCTGAAGAGTCTCGGTCAACTTGGCGTGGTCAGCGTCTTTGCCAGCTAGCTCTTCCAACATCTGGAGGTACAAAGATAAATAAAAAGAGGTCCCCTCAAGTAATAAAAGATACTGAATCAAAATGAAATTGAAGTACCAAGTTGACATAGTTTTCATCGATGGCCACAAATGAGGCGGTGAAACCATTCAATCATTCTCGAACACCAATACGTGGCCCATGTTCAGATTCTATCGCGCGGTCACGATGCAGTCGTGTACGATTGCAGAAGTCCTTGTCTGACCATAAGGTTTCTAGGTGCTTACCTTCCTCTGAAGCTCATCTTGCTGTGCTTTTATCAAATCTTGACATCTCGATCTTTCCTTACAGATCTGTACGTCGAACTCTTCCTTCGCATCTTGCATAAGTTTTTGCGCCTGTGACAAGTGTAATAGTTTGTCAATCAGAGTAAGGTTGAGCAGATTACTCTGCTCGGAACAAGATTGTCGTCAATTGGCAAGCCATTTGCCTCTCCAAATGAGACATTCGTACCTGATACCATGCACACACCTTTTCCTTCTCAGCTCTCATAGTCTTCGTCTCTTCCTCCAAGCCCTTGCGAATGTCCGCCATCTCCTGCAAAGATCATAGGACAGTGGTTGACTTCATAACACAGATTCGTAGATTCTCAGAAATGTTCACGAGGGAATCACAGGCCTGCTCTCTTTCAACGGGCCGGTAAGAATAGCGCTTGGCCGATCCTTTTTTCAATCGATCTTTCCTAACTTAGTAAATATGCAAGGGAGCAGACTTCTTACTTGATTGTTCCGATCAGAAATCTCTTTCAGATGTTGATTCAGCTCCGCCTGCTTCTTTTCCATCTTCGCTTCTGCTTCTTTTGCTGCAGCTTGCATGGTTTCATCGAGTGACTTGAGCTTCTCAAGGAGCTGCAAAGAAACCCCCAAAACAGCAGTAAATAGTCGACTTGGGGTCGAAGATCCGCTGTCAAAATACGACCCAGGATACAAGAAGAACCACGATGGCTCCAACGAACGGAAGATCAAGCAATATGGATAATAGTACTTCCTATTTCGGTGAAGATTACCTGTGCATTGGTGGTTTCCTTGTTCTCAACGGCACCTTGCAAGCTCTCTTTCTCCTCGATTTCCCTCGCTAACTCCTTCTTCATTGCTTCTAATTGTACCAAGCAAGCCTCTTTTTTTGTTTCCTCCTCCGAAACAACTCTTCTGAGCCGGTCCACATCGGAGGCCTTCGATTGAAGCTCTTCATTGAACTTGAGCAGATTCTCTTCCATTTTAAATGTCAGCGTAATGGCGGCTTGCTCCAGATTCTCCTGCACAGAAAGTAAGGGCCACTGATATAAGAATTCCAACCGCCTGATTGGGCAACCGCAGCTGAATTTGTCAAGCATAGGAGGAATTCGACTATCCGACAAAGTGAGTGATAAGCTAAAATAGTTTTACCTTTTGTTTTTGGAGGTCCACCGTGGTCTCTTTCTGTCGAATAAGCTCCGTCTCCAGCACTTCTTTGTTGTTTTGCGTGGCTGAGACGATTTCCGCCAACCTTTGGATCTCAGCTGACAGAGAAGCTGCTTGATTAGCGCCATGCCTAGTGGTCGATTCGTTGAGGGCTTGGAATTCTTGGAACTGGCGTGCAGCGTCTGGAAAAACAAATTGATATCGGATCAAGATACTGCTACGTTGAAATCTTTAACCCGGTTATGAATAGTCAGCCCGTGAAAAGCGTGTCAGCTGCTCAAAAATTGAGTCTTTTCAAAACATGGCCCCGAAATGCCGTTTGTATTGGGAAGGCCGGAAACGGTTCTCAACAGCTCACCTGTAAGGTTGGCCCTCAACTCTTGGACTTCGGCTTCTAGTATTCCGTTCTTCGTTTGCTCCTCTGAACTACGTTCATTGCTTGCTTTCAGCGCCTCGGAAAGATCTCCGACCTTCTGAAGGAAGATCTGCCCTTGTGCTTCCAGATGTTGAACGTTCTCTGAGGCCTCCGCCAGTTGATGGGTGACTTCAACCAGCTCTTGTTTGGCTTGCTTGAATTGGTTATCCACTGCCTCTCGATGCTTCTCCGTCTCCTTCTGGGCTTTCAACTGCAGAGGCTTTTCCAGGGTTTGTTTTGCGACTTGGGTACCCCTCTTTCGGTGCGTTGATACGCATTCTTCTGAGTGTTCCAAAAAGTGCATTTAGCAGCTATCAGCATCTGAGCTACCAGCATCTGAACTAGTTCTTGGGTTTAGCACTTACCGCCCTGCTTGAGCTACTAAAGTCAAACCAGCATGCGTAGCGGCTTACCGAGTTCTCAAGCTGGACGTTGAGCTGCTCGTACTCATCATTTCTCCTGCTGAGCTGTGACTTCAGCGTCTCCTCCCCGGCTCTGAGGTTTGCTATCGTCTCGGCGAGACTGTCGTTTCTCCCGCTGGCCTCTTTCAAAGCAGCTTCAAAATCATCTGTCGAGCGCAAGTTGTTCAGTTTTAATCATACTGTGACATCTTCACTCAAGGAAGGCTGAAACGCTAACCCGTCAGAGAAATCTTCGAAGGATTTCCTCGAAAAGAGTACAGATCTTTTGTATGTCTCCTGGACGCATCAAGTAGCAAAGATGGTCTCCAGGTTTTGAGAAGGCAATATACTTACCTAATAAGAATCTGCAGATGGAGAAAGAGATGCACAACCTGCCTGACTTACCTTTCTCTGCACGCAATTTCAGGATCTCTTCTTCCTTCCTGTGAATCTCCTCCTGCAGCTCCGACAGAGTCTTCTGAATTTCCACGCTTTCTGTCAATCCTGGATAAAATGGACATACGTTACGATGCAGTCAATTGACATTATAGTAGCAGTCTGACGGAAGATTGACGAGAGATTGAATAGATTTCGATTTAAAGAGACAATCTTGGCAGTTTAGAAGAGTCTCATTCCGTGTGAATCTCCTCAGAAGAACGTTTCCCTTACACAAAGACTCACTCTTCGCTGCATTAGCTTCTGCCCGCTCGTTCTCCCTCCTGAGTGCTACAATCTTCGCCTGAGTATCTTCGTAATAGTTCGCCCTCTCGATAAGCTTCTGTTCAAGGTCAACGCGGATGCTTTCACCTGCGAATTACACCAGCAGTCACGATTCGGCATTTCCAATTAAACGTGCATCTCTTGACCTCCAACGGTATCAAACTTATCTGGAAAGATTTTGTCATTGCTGGATTTTTAATATTTGGAACATGAGGAGGGGACCCTGACCTTCTTCCACTTGTTGCTGGAGGCTTTGCAAAGTTTCCGTTAGAGACTGGCTAAATGCGTTTATAACCTGTAGGGACAACAAGAAGATCCAATCAAAGGCTTCATCAAAACGTGTTCATGGCCTCCCCTACAATCAATCGAGCGGAGTACATAAACGACCGAAACAAAGTCCGGGGCCTAGCTTGGCATGCTGTGTCGAAGATACCGCAGCAGAATCACTATCACGTCTCACGTCTGCGCAGTTCCTGATCCCCAAGCTTGCGTACCTGCAATCTTGTTTCTAGACTCTGCCATTTCTTCTCGTCCTCTTCCAATTTGACCTGCACTTTTCAAAGACGCTTTATTTAAAGGCCCAGAGCAGTCTCCACTTGATACAACGGATGGTAAGGCAGGACAGCGACAAAATGATTGTCATTCAATCCTATGAACTCAGTTCGGCAGATGACTTAGCAGCTTTATGAACCTGCCCTGTGACTTCCAATGCAGATTTCGTACAATTGACCAGGAGAGTTGCTCCTTGAAGAAGCTTCGTGCTGATCAACCTGACCAACACTCTAGACATGTTCCCTCCTTGAGTTCACGCCTCATCTTACTAGTCTATACTGCAGATCAAACAAGCACTTACTCTGAGCATGTGATTTTCATTCTGCAACTCTTGCTTCTTCAGCTCCAAAGTCTTTTCAATCTTCTCAAATCTTTGAAGCTTTGTTTGGGTAATGCTCAGGTCAGTCTTCGTAGTAGCTTGATCGTGCATCATCCTTTCTGCTGTCAGTTTCAAGTGGGTGAAGCTTTCAGTAGGGGTGAATTCCGCTTTGGCCATGCTGCCCTTCGTTGCAGCTGCTTGGCGATTTGATTCCCCCGAGCTTCCATTGGTTAGAAGACTGCGTAATCCAGGTAGTCGAGAGGCAGACTGCTCCACACTTCGCATGGCAGCCATGGGCGGACGACTCTTCTGCAATTGCATGGTCGCCATACCTCTTCTGATTGTACCTGGCGCGAAAATGCTTTTGATCTTCCCAACGGCCTGACAATCAAAGCGGAACTTCGCACAGGGGTTTCCACGAACTGACCCGTCTCAGAAGCTCCTCTATATCTGTTTTCTCTCACGACGCCCGCAGTTATAAGTTGAGGAAGCACGAGGCGCCAACATGAAGGCACAGCTTCATGACGCTTCAATCCATCTCTGCATTCGGAGATCCCAACAAAGAATGGTCTGTCTGCCTACCGCCGGCCGCCAGCTACCCTCCCCTCACCCCAACTACTGCAGCCATTGCGGAGCGTACGCAGCGTGCAAGCTGCCCTTTAGAAAGCTAGCCTACTCGTTGTTACTCGTGCGGACAAGGCGCCTGACATCATAAAGGGAAATTGTTCAAAGACAAGCTAACAGGCACTGTGACAACAATACGCGCTGGTGGTGGTGCCGAACGACCAACTGCTGGAGTGTAATACTGACAATCAGGTCATGCACCCGGCTCTCCTGACACCAATTTTGCTTCTGGCTGAAGCACTGGAGATCTGCATATGTTGTGTCAATAGCCCAAGGTTTCAGCCGCTAGTGACTGACATCAGATGAGGCGTGATCACGACTCAAGCTCACAAAAAGGCGTATAAGTCTTGGCTGATTCGCTGACTGGCCGCTTCGCAGTTGATCAATAGGATATCGGACGTGTAGTTTCATAGCTCTGGCGGAGCATGCACTTCAAGGAGCATGTTATGGCAAGAAGCTTCTGCCTTTCAAAGGTCGAAATCGAAAGAGCCGCACCGGTGCCAAAAGAGCCCAAGCAACAAGGTGATGTTGCACATGTGAAGGAAATTCGATGTCGGAACCACGCAGTCATCTTTTCGTGCGCAGACCCTCACAGATAGAGGAGGCATTCTGCATTTGGCGACGGATGCTGCAACAAAAGGTCCACACGAAGAGCGGCGGACCCTCCCCCTCCCCAGAATGCTCACGCGAGCGCGATTGATCTACCCGGCCCTCAGGTATAATTTTCAGATTATCAGCAGCGCTTCCACTCGAAGCGTCATTTCGTCGGGGGTCTTCAGCTCCTCACTCTAACCCTGCCCTCGACCGTGCCGCGCTCCTCCTGGGGGCCGCTTTAGTGCCATAACCTGCCTCCACTTTTTCGGCCGCGGGTAGCTCGAGATCCCTTTTTGAATTCATGTCTAGGCCACACCCGATCCTTGCAGCACCTAGAGATTGTCCACCTCGGTCGGACCTTCCTGCCAGTGAACTTGTTCTTGCCGGTATGTCTGCCCAACTTTCAAACGTTTGAAACTTCTACTGAAGAGAGAGTTGCGACAGACCCCTTTCTGGTCTTTGTTAAATGCTGACCAGGATCGAACTACTGAGACCAGTAAAGGTTTTCGCAGGCTTAAATCTCAAATCAAAGTCCATTTGAGCTAAGATTCGCGGCGCTGGGACGCTAGAAGATCCTCGCTCTTGATTGTTGTCGCTCTTTTGCTCACGTTCTTCCGCCCCCTCCCTAAATTACGGGCGGCCTCGTGAAAGGGGACTTGAACGAGCTGACGTCGGGGCCATCATGAAAGACGCGGGTGACGCTATCTGGAGATCGATATCGGCGAGGGCTCTGGCCCAGACGCGCGCGCACGGGAGCAACGGGCGCGCTCGGCTCGCCGCTGCAGAGCCTGGACGCCGACGGGCGTGAACTACAACCTGACGTCAGGAAGCGACCTCACGTTGCAAGAGGTGAGGCGCTCTTACCGTTTCGATCTGTGCTGCGTGGGAAGGTTTTGAGAAGGGGACCATACTTTTCGGCATATTGTAAACTTGATGAAAGAGACTGAGAGGTCGTCACAAGGGCCGACGAAGTTTTGGCCGAATACCATAAGGGCCATATCTTAGCTGATGGTCATGGGCGCGAACCCTTCTAGTATAGCAAGCCTTCTGACACAAGATGAAGTAGCTTCACGGTAGGTGTCTCATTGTGACGCTCGTTTGACCGATAATCAAAGAAGGGTTTCTGTGCATTCCCTTGTTCTCCGCGGTCGTTTGCTTTCTGATTTTCTGTCAAGGGCGTTGCGATGCCCGTTAAAAATTAGCTTCTCAGCGCTTATTTGCAAAATCCCAGGTATGCCCGTTGATAGTACTGTGAACATGGAAAGGTTTTTATTTGGCATGCTGAATTACTTTTAGTCCTTGACTCTCTGGCATCACGTTACAAGCCTCCGCAAACCAACCGTAGATCATTTTGGGAAGATTCACCACTTAAGCGACTAAAAAACATCCTACTCAGTGCAGATGGCCACGGTTGCAGTAACCGTAGCGGATCACGTGCACCCCGCTCCGAATATCATCATCGCAACGGTTTTCAACGACAACTTTCGGGTTGGTCCGTCGTTCCAGAAGTCCACAAATATGAATACAATCAGTGGTTGCCTGGTTGAGAAGCTTTCTGTCGAGACTCTGACGGAGAGGCGACGCTAGGTGAGCACCTGATTGATTACCTAGAGGACGAGTGACACACAAATTCGAAAGCGCCCCGAGTGCTTCTGTACCAAGGCGCTTGGGAATCGCTTCCAGATTTGTATGTCTACTAGGCTTTTGTCAGTGCGACTTCGGTCCTCTTATACCGACCATTTACGGCCCGCAAGTTCCTGCTCTGGGATTTGAGACTGTTGCTTACCTGCAGGGAAAGCTTCGCATAACAACCACATTCCTCACCGGATTCCGAGACGAGCCAGGCGAAAGTGTTGCGGACGACGCTCGAACAGCGTACAAGGGTTTGTACGCCGAATTGGACGCCTTGTGGGACAATTCCGCGTGCACGTTGGAGAATGGGCCCTACCGCCGCCGCAATTAACCCTGGAGTACGGGAACCGGACGCGTTCCTGGCCCATACGGTTACATATCAGACAACCAGATATTGTGTAGATACCATTTAGGGGGAAATTGGCACTTGCGCTTTTGAAGAAAGCGAGCATGGTCAGATTCGACCTTGTCGCGAACATGGCGGCTGGTAGGTGCCTAGTTAAAGTGATGGATATAGAATCTTGTCATTCCTGTCTGTTTGCGTGCCATATGATTGATCGATGGCCCGCCTTGCGAGTGCAGTCTTTGCAGATGAGGCCTAGCAATATACCGTAACGTTGCAAGTGAGGGCTTCAACCCACACTGCCACTTACAATTCAGTGGGCGCTGTCTCCAACTACATTGTCTACGCAGGACGTCAATGCGCCCGATTCATCTCCACGAACCGCATGTCCAACGAGGTGCATTACTCCCATATGACTCATGAAGCGCGGCCTTGAGGCCTTACTGGAGATCCGAGGTTGTTTATGTTCTCGATCCTCTAGAGCACAAGTCACTCAGTGGAGGTGTAGCACAATGTCTCGAAGGTTTCAGGTCAAACCTTTGTTAGAATCTGTAATAATCTAACAACGTATGCAAGTCTCAAGCACATGTATGCCACGCTCAAGTCACCACTAAATGCCAAAGCTCTGTCATCTGGACACTCGCCTTGCGCTCGGTGATCGTCTCTGATTTTGAGCAGACTACATTCTTCACATTGATCAAATCTAAGGGCAGCTCCGAGCTTAGAGTCTCGGCAACGTTTGTATTGTGCCGCAACTTTGAGACAGGCTCGGTGCTCCACCGTACATTTAGACTCCGCTTCACAAAAATGCCGGCCGCCGACAACTGCCCGCGGACGATGGGACGGATATCACCCAGACAATTTCCCATTGGCATGCTACTTTGGATGTAGGTACAAAATAATTGCAACTCGACGTTAGGTTGCGGGACTTCTTGCTAGCAGAGAGCACAAATCCCTTATGTCCGCGAGGACACTGGTTGATCACCCACGAAAAAAAACCTATAAACCGAGATGGTCTCGACCGTCCGATAAGCACAGGGCAATCTCTGCCGTTGGTTGAAGGATATGCTTGCATACAGAACCGTCAGACATGGTCGCTTTTCGGCCGTTCGATGAGAAGCACGGCTATCTGGACGGCTTTTGGTTCACCTGAGTTGCCGTTTAGCGCCGCCGGTTGCCCAAGCAAGCACGTGATCACACATGCAAAATATGGCGCCAAGTCATCTGTAGACTGTACGTACTATTACATGAAATCCCAATGAGCAAAGCTGACGGGGCTTTATCTCCCAGCTCGGGCAAGCTGCATTTTGCTTAGCGGTTAGCCTTGAGTCTGAGCTTGGAGTTCGTCATTCTCCAGTTCTCTGGAAGACAACTTACCAGCTTTTTGGCGCTCTTGCTTCCAGCTTTCCAGCTTGCACGGTTTGCGATCGCGCTGCCCAGCCCCCCCCCACTGTGTTTAGCCAGCAGTCTAGATGCGCCACGTCATGGCGTCTCTCTACAGCCTGTTTGAGCAGGTGATTGTGATGCCCCTGGAGCACCTTGCTCAGACCTTTTGTGGGCGAGCACGCGGTGCTGCTGAGGTCCTTTGCTCCACCTTGAGCGAGGTACCTGGAGGGGAGCTGTTGGCAGGGGTTGCGCGTGAGGCCTTGGATGCGCTTCTCCCTGCAGAGGAGAAGGCCCAGGCGGAGGGGCAGTGGAGGATGGTGGGAGGGCTGGTGGAGCCAGAGGAGGAGGAGGGAGAGGTGGAGAGGGAGGAGGAGGAGAGGTTGGTGGTTGTGACTGAGGGTGTCCGAGAGGAGGAGGATGCGTCAGAGTCTCCCCGGACAGACTGCGCAGAGGGTGATTGCCAGCAGGTGATGACCCTCAAAAGTTTGTTCAGATTCTGGCACCTGGCAGCAGAGTATAAAAGAGAGGGCTTTCATTCCCCACAATTGCAGCCCTTTACAGACCAACGTCCTTGTGTCGTGTTGTCAAGTGCATCTTGTACAACAGGCTTGATATCTCATCTCTGCTATCTCTTGCATTTGCACAACCTGTCTCTTTGTTCAATTGTGCTTCTGTTGCCCACCAAGATTGTAACCGAAAAAAGGGGTATGAAGTAGCTTTAAGGTCATGGACAATGCCGCAGCATTTCTGGAGAATCAGCGGGTTTCCCCATGTTGGATTCAGCAGCGGGCCTGGCGTTTGACCACTGTAAGGGGAGTATTTGTTGAAATCATTCATAGATCTGGCCTGTTTTCTGACTGCAATTGCCTCCCCCTTACAGGCGCCCTCTGCAGAGCCCCTCCTCGACGTGGTTGACGCCTCCCCCGCCGAAGCCTCGGCGCCCGACCAGACGGAGCAGCGGGACACCGGCGCGGCGGAGGCGGACTCCACTGTCACTAGGGAGGAGGCAGACGACTGTGGCGCCCGGGAGGGGGACGCAGATCGGTCTCCCGGCGCCTCCTGCGCAGAGGGTGGCTACCACGAGGTACGGCACTGGTTTCTTTTCAGGAAAGACAGCAGAAAATGACATGTAAAGAAACGTAGTCAAGGAGTGCAGATGCAGATGGTGCTGGCTTGCGTAGGAATCAAAAGCGGAACACAAACATGCTTCACTTGCGCAGGGACAGGCATCCTTGGTCTGAAGTTAGGAATCTGTGCACCTTCCGATGTTTGATGGTCAGAAGTTGGATCAATCCTGTCAGTGAAAACCTCTTGAAGCTGTGCTCATGTTATCCAAGAGGGCGTCCCGCATCACGCCCTTTTGTACAAACACATCTGACAAAGTAACAATTTCGTAGATCTCATGTAAAGCCCCTTCCAACAATTAAAGTCTGAAAGTCATTCCATTCTCTCCACAGGCACCCTCTGCCGCGCCCCTCACTGAGGCGGCTGCAGACTCCCCCGCCGCTGCCCCTGCGCCCTTGGTCCCCCACACGACCAGCCTCTAGAAGGAGCAGCGGGGCAGCGGCAGGGTTGGGTCGCCATCTGCAGGGGGAGGACTATTCAGCGCTGACGCGTTCGTCCTCCCCAGCGACGACGGGACCTTGTTCTCAGATCCCCTGTTTGACTTTGAGCCGCTCCCTGCTTCGGACGTGGGGGTTAGGGCTTCTGATGGGGAGAGGGCGGTGGCTGAGACAGTGGGGGCTGATGAGGGCGAGGCAGAGGCGCTGTCTCATGGGGAGGCGCTGCTGCTCAGGGGGGTGCTGGTAGAGACTGCGGGTGTGGAGGGGGTGGGGCCGAGGGAGGAGAGTGTCATGCTGCAGGACCAGGATCTAGTACAGGTGCGCGCTGGTTGGTCTTGTGCTTCGTCTTGTAGAATAGGACCATAGAATTAGTAGGACCTTGCTCACATCCTCGTCTTCGAACCTGTTTCTACTCTCACGTCTGAGAGTGTGTCAGAGTTTGGCTTCATCAAGAAAATATTGGCCATTTTGAACCTTGTTGCGCCTTGCGAGATACATATGCTCGAAGTAAGTTTTTCTGCAGGAATTGTGCGGATTGCAAAACCGAGAGCTCAATTCCTCGTTGCAATTGTACCTGCAGGCCGCCAGGATCGCTCCGCGCTTTCCCCCCCAGTACTCATCCCTGGCTAGGGTCCTGGACTTCTACCCACATGTCATGATGGGGACGGAGCTGGGCAAGGTGAGCAGTCAGAGCCGCGGTCTTTCTGCTTAGCCCTTCAACAAATCTTGACCGAGCTTGGCTCGCTGTAGGTTGGAAGCAGCAACAAAAGCAGTAAATTTCTTTCAGAGATGCCTGGGGACTTCTTGGCTTTTCAACCATTATCAGGTTTCTCGGATTTCACTTTGGCAGACTCTTAGGGGATATCTGGTTCTCATTGGAAGCGATCATCTCTGCCAATTTTCCCTCTGTCTTTTGAAAAGTTCTCGAGGTCTCCAAGCTGGGGTAAAGCAATGTCTGTTGAGTAGGCTTTTTACCTGTCAAGACAAACAGTGCTTCCAGGTAAAGATACGTAATTGAGTTCTGGAACAAGCGTGAGAGAAGTGTAGTCTGAACGAACATTTGGACTCCGGTTTTTAAGAGTTAGGCTTTCACGAGTTGCGGACAGGATCGGAAGCCGACAGCGTCTCCTGCTTAGTGCAGGGCGGGCAGGGGACGGTGCACCTGGCGGACGTGCTCTGCGCGAACAGGGGGCGCTTCCCGGTTGCCGCAAAGGTCCCCGCAGCGGGCCTCCCGGGGGACTACCTGCTGCAAGAGGTGAGGGAAGCCCGCACTTCTGTTGCTTGTTGACATCTACGAAGCCGGATTTGTTGGTCGGGCATCAGAGGTCTGAGGATTTCAGGATCCTTTCTATGGTGATAGCAGATTTCTTTCTTTTTAGGAGTCTCTTTTTGAAAATCTGAGGCAGGATTGGAAATGCATTGGTTTCCGCTGGAAGCAATCATGAGACTCCCCCAAAGACTGTGATATGATCTCAGCTTCGCTCACGAGAAACACGTTTGTCCTACAGCTTCCTCGAAAGAACTTTAATCTGTACGCTTTAGGGTTCTACATTTCCAGGCTTTCAGCTTTTGAATTGCTCACCAACTCTCCCACTGACCCGTCAACTCTCCTCTCGCAGGCCCTCGTCTGTCTGGAGCTCCAGGGCTGCCCCAACGTGATCCACCTCCTGGGCTTCACCGTCCAGCGGGGCACGTTCATCCCGCTCTACGCGCTCGCGGACCCCTCCCCCGCCTGGACGCAGCCCGGAGCCGGGGCGCAGTGGACCCCCCCCCAGCTGTACCACATCGCGGTGATGGTCTACCAGGTCGCGCTGGGGCTGGAGGGGATGCACGACCTGGGCTGGCTGCACGGGTGAGGGTTTGAGAATTTTGTTATGGCTCTGTTTGGAATGCTTTGGCGGCGGGTGCAAGGCTTTGATCAATGTGAGCCGAGGATAGAATGCGGATGCTCTTTGGTTTGTCGGTCTTCAGGTGGCTCGGTAAGGGACTCTGTGCATACCAGCATGGAGCTTGCAAAGTACGTGACGACGCCGAATGATTGCAATGTTCGGTCAGGAAAGCAGTCCCTTTGCTATGCCGGCTCAAAAGGTAAATCTTAGCATGGATGGAGAAGAGCAGCCTGGATCGACTTGCGGCTGCTGGCCCTGAAGCTGGTTTATTCTTGCGAAACATCTCAAAGGCTGTTGTCATTTCGAGTCGTGTAACTACGGTCAAACACCTGCCGTCTCTCCTGCAGCGATCTCAAGGTTGAGAACATCCTCTTCGACTTCCGCCGCGTCATGCTGGCGGACTTCGGCATCGCCGTTCGGGAGAGCGAGGCTGCCGCCAAGGGGGCGGTAAGGCTCTTGCTGTTCCGTTTGTAGCTTTCTTTGCTTTCAACCCCACGACTGATCTTCCTATGCTTTGAAAAGTTCACAAATTTCGAGGATCTGCCCGCAGTTTTCGAGAGTCTCCGGTTCGGATAGATCTCTTTCCAGAAAGGTCTGCCTTGGTATGAGATTCTGGTGTGTTTGAATCTCAAAGAATTTAAGGATTATACATATGCCGTCACGGAGGGACCTTTCTGAATCTGCTCAAATACCCAAACGGCCTGCTTGACCTCTGCCTATACCTTGTACATCCGCTGCCTATGCCTCCTTTCCTTCTCTGAAAGCCTGTTTCAGTCGCACTCGGAATGTGTCTTAACCTCGCGTTAACCCTTGTTTTCTGCAGGGCGGCACCCTGGGTTACCTCTCCCCCGAGGTGTATCTCCATCGGTACCAGACGAAGCAGAGCGACGTCTACGCCTTGGGCGTGGTCATCTGGGCGCTGGTTACTGGCAGCCGCCCCCACTACGGCTTCCGCGATACCTTGGTGAGGCGCTTTATTCCACTTGCTCCTCATGATCTGGTGATTTCTACCTGTGAGAAGCTTCCGCCACGGCCTTGTTAAGGCATCGAACCAGACTTGTCGATGATCTAGGAGCTGACGTCCCGCACTCAGTGCACGCCCTTTCAATGTCATGATATCATTTGCAACCTCCCAACTCGTGGTGAGGGCCCTTTGGTCGACTTTCATTTGACGTCCCCTTTAGCATACCGCACCAAATTGTTGACAATGTCTTTTCTGACACTGAGGTTCCGCACTTCGGTGCGCGCTTGCTGGTTGTTGATCAGAGTGGGGCACTTTTCGAACCAGACGATACCACCATCAACACCCCTAGAAGATCCATCAACAGACATAAGTACCCTTTAGTAAAGTCGATCCGATCGCTCTACAAGCAAGGCATGTATGCCATTCCGTTAAGGCTCGAAATGGAAAATGGGAAAAAGAAGCCCTTCTTCAATAAAGGAGGGTATCTACAATTATCCGGGTCCATAGAGGCATACAAACAGAGAATCAACGCATTTGTTTGCCGAGCTCAATCGAACGTGAACGCTTTGGCGGTCCTGTGTGAAATTTCGGACATTTTTTTGTTTGACGTAGACGCAGAAGGGAAGGAGGCCACAGAAAGGAACGTAGGGAAGGAGGCTGGAACAAAGCTGTGGAAGGAATTGATAAACAAACACGGTGACAACGTCACATTAAAGGCGAGAACACGTTCAGGAAACGGTTTACACTACTTTTTCTCGGCAAGCAAGACCGAAGGGCTTCTCAATCCATCAAACTTCTCGACAATCTTTCACGAAGGTACCACATGTGCGATGGATGGTCGTGGAAAGGATGGATTAGCTTTTGTAAGCCCCTCGAGTTACCAAGATAACAAAGGCAGAACATTTGGTTATTCCTGGATAGAAGGTGATGAAACCACATCACGAGTTGCTATGCCGCCGTGGTTGGTTCGATTCCTGAACAACACGTCAGCAAAGGCAGTCGGTGGTACAACGGGAAATGTGAAGGTCAGCAAGACCCTCAGCAACTCGAATACTAGCAATAGGCCCATCAGCTCGCCGCACGTGACAATCCGTACATGCAAGCTGAAGAATCAACAGGGGGCTCGGACTTAAACATGGATTCTGTGACGGTTGGACAGGGTTCACACGCTGCC